AATCATATCTGATTGATACACGTCTGTCAAAACCCAATCCCCCACCCCCCCCCCCCCAACCCTGGTATTATGTAACACGTTCGAGGCTAGATTTACTCTAGGTCGAAAATATCTTGACGCGCTGGCAAGACCGAAAACAGAGTCGTATAGCCGTCAAGGTGAGCCAAGGACTAGATTCTCACAAGATCAACAGACGGAAACTTTGTACTGCTAAAGACAAACTATAAGAACAAACAAGGAATACATCTATTGTGCGAAATGACTAAAATTAATGATGTCTAAAATCGTTACAATATAGTTCACTACATCATATAGAATACACAAACGAGGAGCACAATTTTAACTTCACAAGCGCTTTCGATTTAATCTCCTCAGGTGACGTGATATCATGATATTCTCTCTTTAAATCTTTAAACATAATGTAAAATTATATAAAAAAAATTGATATATTTGAATTATATAATGCAGGAAACGATACTCCATACATATCTCTTTCCCCTCGTTACCCGTAGTCCTCCACACCAATTTTCCTCCTAACTTTACTAATTTTTCCTCTTTGTTCTCCCCTGTCCCCTTCCCCCATCTCTCTCTCTCTCTCTCTCTCTCTCTCCTTAGGACTATACAGCTTTAATGATGAAAAATATCCTTCCATATTTTCATCTCCTTTCTTTACAAACACCCATCTTTGTTACTCCCATGAGTACAGGAAACATTACAGAATCTTTGTGTAAAGACAGGCGCGGGCGCGGATCTAGCTTTTTGCTAAGGGGGGGGGGGGGGTTTGGAGGCGCGAATTTTTTTCTCGGCAAACCGACACACATAAAAAAAACAGGCTTTGTCCAATGGGGGTATAGGGTCACTAAATGCGACCCCCCCCCCCACATTTTTTTTTTCCAAAGGGGGGGGGGGGGGTTTAAACCCCCTAAACCCCCCGTAGATCCGCCACTGAAAGATGGCCACGTACAACACTTAATCTAAGATTAAAATTGTCACAAACATTGTCCTCATTTGAATATTACTATATTATACTTGTACATTGCTCACTTCAGGCTAAAGAGATGAAATTGAAAGCGCTTGTGAAGTTACACTTGTGCTCCTCGATCGTTCGTGTATTCTATATGATGTTGTGAACTATTTTCAACACATCTTTAACACTGCATTTCGTCGGAACTTTGTTCCTGTGAACATTTTGTGATATATTATACATTTATTGATTGGCAGGCTGTGTTATATAATATTTTTTGATCCCTGAAGGGAGTTTTATTTTCCCAAGGGGTTACATTTTCCCTTCAGGGATCCAAACATTTCATATGACACCTGCCAGTCAATATTTATAGATAGCTTTTTTATTTTTTATTTTATTATATTTTTTTTTTAGCTGTTGATACTATTATTAATTGATGACTTTTGCACTGACATCATTTTTTTTTATCAGCGCGCATGCAAGCTAATTATATCAAGCGTATTTGAAGCACAACACGCGCATTTTATTTAAAGCGTATAGTGTATAATGTGCAGATTTACATATTTCGCGCGCGCAAACCCATTATCGTTATATTAACGATTGCAAGTTCCCGCAAATTTTGAGCTGTCGACCAATCAGATCGCTGAAACTGTCTATGCTATCTAATATATATATATATAGGCCTATATAATATTCATAGCACATCATTGAGTGATAGATCATTTTTTCCACTTAGTATACATCATTATAATAGTGGTCAAAAATAGAACCTAGTACAATGTACATTAAAAGATCCACTCCTCCATCACATTTTAAGACTCATTTAACAAATTTTCATTTTCAAGTAAGTTCACCTATCTAGTTTTGTCTTCTTTGCAAAAGGGTTAAAACAGCACAATTTTGGCCTATGATAATTTTGTGGGTACTGGTCAAGTTCTTCTTGACGTAGTTAGAATCAAAGTTGTAGTCCTATATATGCTAGTTGCATGGTCTTAAGTAATCAAATTTAAAAGCCAAGCCAGATGCACTTTTCTCGTGCTTTCATGCATATTAGATGGATTGCAAATTATTTTTCCATTACATATTATTTGTTGGCTCTTAAAAACTCGTTGAGAAATAATTATCAATTTACTGCATCTTTGTTGTCAATTTTTTTTTATAGCTTATTTTATTTGTACCTGAATTAGACCCATGAAGCAGAACTGACTTATGTTCTTATCCAGGAAGCTTCCAGTGTAGTTTCCTCTGTCTAGTAGATCTCTGAACAGTTCGATCCAACAATGGGTGCATTCTTTGCGCAAAAAGCTCCACCAACTTTCAATTCTCTGATTCGAGGTACTTGCTCCTTCTATGTACACATGTTCTCCCCTGACGTCACTCCTTAGAAATTCTTGAAAAGCGCGAATATGTCCATTCTCTGTACCACGGTCACAACGCAAGACGCAGGGACATCCACCAAACTCCTTCACGGCATCTAGAAAGTAGCCTCCAATTAGCTTTGGGTCGTTATTTGTACTGTACACATTTAACCAAATCATTTCCCTTGAAAATCCGTCAATACATCCGCTTATACACAGGCCATATGGCTTTAATTTGTCATACCCATCGATATGCCAAATGTAATTTGGTCCTTTTGCGAAGTAGGCCCGTCTGACAAGTCGTCTAGCTTTCCTTAGCTGAACACCTTCTGGATCCAGTACTGTTAGTAAAAGTCGTACATCCTCTTTTCTAACACGAAGACCACTCTGTTGACATTTGGCATGCATCATCCTATATCCATGCAACTGTCCCGAACCCTGTAACTGATCCCGGATGAATTGTACTACATCATCCAAACGGCTGTATCTTCTACGATGGAGATTATTGGCTTTTAATATACGCTTAAGATGCCTTTCACTTAGGAGTATGTCGTGATTATGAAGAAGCATGAACAGAATATCTTTATGTGTCATTCCAAGATCAAAATACATTTAAATGAAGAAATTACGATCATGAACAGTAGCCATCTTGGGATTGAGTTGACGTGCGCTGATCATATAACAAACGATGTCTGGGGTTTCGAAAGTTATGCAACATGTATTGGTCGGGAATTATCTCAGGAAAACGAAAAATGATCTCAGGAAAACGAGAATTTATCTCAGGAAAACGAGAATTTATCTCAGGAAAACGGGAATTATCTCAGGAAAACGAAAAATTATCTCAGGAAAACGGAATTTATCTCAGGAAAACGAAAAATTATCTCAGGAAAACAAGAATTTATCTCAGGAAAACGAGAATTTATCTCAGGAAAACGGGAATTATCTCAGGAAAACGAAAAATTATCTCAGGAAAACGAAAATTTATCTCAGGAAAACGAGAATTTATCTCAGGAAAACGAGAATTTATCTCAGGAAAACGAGAATTTATCTCAGGAAAACGGGAATTATCTCAGGAAAACGAAAAATTATCTCAGGAAAACAAGAATTTATCTCAGGAAAACGAAAAATTATCTCAGGAAAACGAGAATTTATCTCAGGAAAACGGGAATTATCTCAGGAAAACGAAATATTATCTCAGGAAAACGAGAATTTATCTCAGGAAAACGAAAAATTATCTAAGGAAAACAAGAATTTATCTCAGGAAAACGGGAATTATCTCAGGAAAACGAAATATTATCTCAGGAAAACGAGAATTTATCTCAGGAAAACAAAAAATTATCTCAGGAAAACGAAAAATTATCTCAGGAAAACGAGAATTTATCTCAGGAAAACGGGAATTATCTCAGGAAAACGAAATATTATCTCAGGAAAACGAGAATTTATCTCAGGAAAACGAGAATTTATCTCAGGAAAACGAAAAATTATCTCAGGAAAACGAAAAATTATCTCAGGAAAACGAGAATTTATCTCAGGAAAACGGGAATTATCTCAGGAAAACGAAAAATTATCTCAGGAAAACGAGAATTTATCTCAGGAAAACGAGAATTTATCTCAGGAAAACGGGAATTATCTCAGGAAAACGAGAATTTATCTCAGGAAAACAAGAATTTATCTCAGGAAAACGGGAATTATCTGAGGAAAACGAAAAATTATCTCAGGAAAACGAGAATTTATCTCAGGAAAACAAAAAATTATCTCAGGAAAACGAGAATTTATCTCAGGAAAACGAGAATTTTTTTTTCTTCTCCATGTCACTTCCGGGGCTCCGTATGTTATTGTTAACCTGCTTAACTTATTATTAGTACTCTTACTAGTTACTACTAGTCTTAGTCTTACTCTTGGTAGAGTCTTACTCGAGTCATAGACCTAGGAATTAAGTTCTTTGTCCAGCTAGTCTGTAGCTGTTAAATTATATCTCGATCTCGATTCTGTATTGACCATTATCCTGTTATCTCTGAGTCTGACCACAGATCTGGAAGGACCACCTCTTGTATTTAATATTCTAGAGTAGTAGTACTTAGAATCTAGACCGAAAGCTTCAGTCTCTGATATCGACGGTTGTTCCGCTGAGATTGCATCTGGCTCCTCTAACGTATCGCCTCTAGGCCTATGGGGAATGTCAACAAATGTCAGTTTTATTTTAAAAAATGGGCCATATCAGACGGTTATTTCTGTCTAAGTAGTACTAGCCTTTTTAATTACCGGTAGACAGAAAAATCTGTCGGCTTGGAGTTTTAAAACATATTTTGTAATTTGACGCTCGTCTCCTCCAAGACAGACGGAACCCTCCTAGGACCTAGCTAGCTGACCGCCGTTATGGTAATTTCTGCTTGCCAGTTGTGCAGACTTGTGCCTATCCTATATATATATATATATATATATATGTGTCACTTAATGGACGACACCTTTTGATCAAGCAAAGAATTTTTTTTTGTCTAGGTTGATCTACATGTACAGTGTCAGTATAGATATAACTCTCGATCTATCTCATGTTAAACACTTCTTGATCTTTAATTCATCTCCTCTTCATTTCATCTCTTCTTAAGTTGAGACTTGAGAGTAGACTCGGGAGATGAAGATAAGAATTAAACTATAACCATCATAATTTTGCATTTCAGCCCACAGAGCAACACAATATTTCAGGGATACAAGAGGAAGCATCGATTACAAGCAGGTAGGCCAACCATGTTATCTAGTCTGTTCTGAGCCAGAAAGCTGTTAACTCTGTGTTAAAGTAAATGAGCTAATTATGTCCATCTGGCTCCAAACAGACATATAAAAAAATAGCCATCAACATTTTAGACATCAATTTCTTCATCTTTGTCAGAAATTATGTCAGAGATACACAGACATTTCAAAGGTGCATGGAATGAGATGGGGGTGCAAAGTAGATGCTTAGCATTCCCCAAGAACGAAGCATGTACAGTATTTTCTTGCATTTACAATGTATTATAAGGAAGTTGTTAATTTTTATATAAATTGTTAATTACAAATACTACAGCAGCTAAGTTTGTATGAGGTGTCTTCCCATTCTCTGTTCATCTCATTCCTCTTGTTTCAAAATATTGCCATGGGGATTCTTTTTAGTTCAAAACAATTCTTTTATGAGTGTGCTATTTACAAAATTGAAGAAAAGAATTGATTAAAAAAATAAAGAATTCTGTTGTACAAACCCTGTACTGTAGTTAACAAAAAATATGTTTAACTTAAATGTTGACAGATGAAAGAAAATTACAACTGCATGATCATGACTTCATAGATCAACATTGTTGCACTTTGCTTTATTTGTCTGGAGCTGACTCCATGTATTGCCTTATGTGCATAATGTTTCATGAATCTGAATGTGTGACAAACGTTGACTAAAGCAGTCAGCTGAGTATTTCAGAAGTCGACTGAAGCAGAAAAGAGCTCAGATAATTTCACATGATATACTGCAATAACTTTGGAGGTGAAGGCACTCTTGATCATGAGGCAAAGTCTAAGTAAACAAATTCATGCAGTACTTCAGTCAGAGGTCAAGAGATTAGTACTGTATTTGAAGGCATGATTGCTGAACATTGGAATGATAAAGTCCTCATTTGTGATCATCTTGTAAAATAGAGTAGGCACTTCTTACCTGTTTACATATATATATATATATATATATATATATATATATTACATTTTATCATTTTGGTCCTTGTTTCCAGCTAATTGAGTAATTATTCCTTTTTGGGGGTGATTTGTTATTGTTTTTATCCCAGATAAAATGAATTGCAGCTGATTAAGACACTCCTCAGTTATATTGCATTATCTTTTTATTGTTCTTGTTTAACTACGTCTCTTCAGCTGATTTTAGACAATCAAGATGCCTTCCAAGCTGGCAACCCTTACCCAGATGCCTACTATGATACTATTTGCCAAGGAGGTAAGATATTCCTCCTCTCTATAATCCCCCCTTGAATTATAAATTGACATCTATACATTCATTTTGTTTTATCCACAGAGGGATATTCCCATATATCATGAAATACTGATTACTCTTTTTCATCATTGAATACTTGTTTTAGCCTTCACGTGATGGAAGCTCAATTGCACTTTTTTTGTCCCCCTCCAAATCTCCACAAAAGCAGCATTTTAAATTCATGATAGTTAAAAAGTTGATTACCCAAGATAGCCTCATTAGTATTCAACCCTTCCCCTTAAGGGCCCTGCAATTATTATTACCGGTATAATAATAATAATAATAATCAAACATTTTTTTATATTTTTGTATCCCTAGTATGGTTAGGTACCCATTTGATACACCTGGATCAAGACAGCAACAATGTGTGTGTACAAAACACCTTGTCTGAGGATGTTAGCACCGGGCAAGGATTAAACTCTGGACCTATTATATGCTCGAGAGAGAGGCATAGCGATCAATATACCACAGTGCTCCCCCGATTGCCTAAAGATTTTTTGTAATGCTTTAAAGATGAACTCATCAGTGGTCTAGACACACCAATTCGTTTCGTTAGAGAACTGGAAGGATATCTTTTCAGCACCCCCCCCCCCTCCATTCCATAGATCTGAATGCATGTCTATGTCACTAGATTGCTCTACATTTGTCCTTCATTATATGGTTGTTACTCTTGCTATTTCACTGCCTTTGAATCACCTTTGTATCTACACAGGCAAGTTCCACAGTGTATCGGAGGACACCCACTGGGCCCCTTTCCTGACCACCACTATCCAGTATATCAGGGATCACTACCCACAGCCATGGAGTCAGGTGAGATCAACAACACTCCAAGACCCTAAGCATGGACCTGTTAATCAGCCATTGCGGGAGAGTGTTTTACAAAGATTAAGATCGACTTTAAGTTGGACTTAACTATGGCAGGCCATTCATGCCACTGTTTGCTCTCACCATTATGATCTTCAGATAATATTTTTTCCTTCAATAATGAATTATCAAAAAATGTAAATTCTGTAGATTTGTAACCATGATTTGTACATCCCTGTAGAGACCAATGCCAGTAAATGGCAAGAGCAAACAGTGGCGTGAACGGCTTGCCATAGAGTTAAGTCCAACTTTAGGACGATTGTGAAACGCCCCTTAGGAATACAGGCTTCAATCCTGTTAATGTACCTGTCCAATCCAATCTAATAAAACAAAAAGTAATCTTTTTCTTGTGGTGACAAAGAGCTGGACACACATGCTTTATTTATTTGCGCCTTCTTAATTAATGCATCACTTAAAAGCCCATTTGGACAAAGAAAGGCCAAATTCTCTAACAAAATGAATCAGACTTCAAGAGTTGCTTGACATAGTCATAGTCCACATACAAGCCATAATCTCTCAGAAATTAATGGGACTGCAGCAGTTTGTACATTTTGGTCGACAGGTGCATGACTTGTACATGAATCCACAAATTAATCTCCTCACAAGAGGATGAAAAGGAAAATCCTAAAAGTTTTTGTTGCAATAACTAATAAGGCTCATTGTTGCATTTCTAGTGTATGTGAAGATGAGGATAATCTTGATGCCGCATGAAGCAGAGCCTGTAAGTCAATTGAACAGATTATACCTGGAGGATTTGCTGTGCATCAAGAAAGGAAGACCTCAATATTAGTTTGTTTGATAAAGAGCAGACTAAACACAATTGTATTTATTATTTAAAAAACAAATCCTATGTGAGGCTGGACAATATACTGCATTATGCATAATGTACATCACTGATTGCAGTAGTGCTCAGTGTGAACATTGAACCACAGATTGATGTTATCCCTCTGCACATGATTTTGATTTCTTTCTAATGACATTCTGTACATGTATATCCCTCACCTGTGTAGGACGCCAAGAAGCTTGTGGTGTTCTTGTTGGGGTTTGCTTCTCACCAGGTAGCTGATGTATCCTGGCACAGCTTGGGCATTGACCAGGGATTCCTCACAACAATGGGAGATGTAAGACCATGAAGAAGTACAATCTCTGTCAGGGTTCCCAGCTCAGGCCTGATAGTTACCTGATTTAAATTGGTTTCCTGATTTTTTATTATTTTTTTCTTCCCCCGTTCACTTTTACTTTTACCCCTGCAGCTATAAATCAGAACAACCTGGACGAAGGGTCCACTTTTTTTTTCTTGTCCGGAAATCGGGGATAAATAAATCAGGGAAAAATCATGGAATTTTATGTTTCCTAGAAGAAAGAAATCAGTAGATTGTATTTTGTCTTGTGACCAAACAGCATATGTCCACTGAATGATTGGCATGTTCAGTGCCGCAGTGACTGCAACTACTGTTCATTGAAGATTTTTAAATAGGAAAAGGTCTAAATTGTTATCCTAGAGCTTAAGAAAGTCCATCAGGGAAAGTATATAATTAAGAGTAAGAATTAAAAATAAGGGAGTTTTGTTTGCATAAGCGATTAGTCCCCTGTTTATGACATCCTCCTGAATATTGCTGATTTATTTATATCTTGGTTAAACGTATGCTCTAGAGTGATTGAAATTTGTCATTTTATACTTCAGCATTGCTTTCTCAACTTTCATTCCAGATCAACTTTTTTGGTTCCTTCCCTGATGCCCACAGTGTAGGTGATGAAGGTTAGTTTTCAATCCCTGCCATAGCACCAATGTCCTTTGGCAAGTCATTAATCTACATTTACCACCCTTGACCCAGGTGTAGGATCTATTCCTTGTATGCAGAGTGCTATGATTTTTTTGTTCTTAAATGCCAGGGAAACCATATTTGATCTCATTTTACCCCTGCAAAAAGTGAGCTTCTTCCAGATCGCTGTTGAAACTTTTACTCTTGATCACCATGAATTTTGCGAATCCCCTTTTTATGCCTCCGCTACAAAGTAGCCGGAGGCATTATGTTTTCTGGTTGTCCGTTTTTGTCCGTACGTACGTCCCATTCTCGTGATCGCGTTCTCAAGAACCAATTGATGGATTCCCTCCAAACTTGGATCATGTATTAATCTAACAGAGCCAATGAACTGATTAGATTTTGGGGTCATCAGGTCGAAGGTCAAAGGTCACAGGGCTCATTATGTATACAAAAATAGCTCGTGATCGCATTATCTCAAGTACCCGTCAATAGATTCCTGCCAAACTTGGGTCATGTATGTATCTAACAGAGCCAATGAACTGATTAGATTTTGGGATCACGAGGTCGAAGGTCAAAGGTCACATGGCTCATTATGTATACAAAAATAGCTCGTGATCGCGTTATCTCAAGAACCGATCGATGGATTCCTGCCAAACTTGGGTCATGTATGTATCTTGCAGAGCCAACGAACTGATTAAATTTGGGGTCACGAGGTCAAAGGTCACAGGGCTCATTATGTATGCACAAATAGCTTGTGATCGCATTATCATGAGAACCAATAGACAGATTACTATCAAACTCAAGACATGGATATATGTATCTTGCAGAGCCAATTAACTGATTAGATTTTAGGGTCATCAGGTCAAAGGTCATGGGGCTTATTATGTATGACTATAAATAGCTTGTGAATGCATTATTATTGAAACCGACAGATGGATTACAATCAAACTTGAATTTTAAAAATTGCTTCCGTTTTGGTTTGTAAAAATGCTCTATGCATGGCGGAGGCATCATTTTTGTCATTTCATAGTTTCCTCTAATTTCTGTTGACAGCTTATGTCATCTCTGATTATATTTTAGGGGGGGGGTGTCATCATTTCAGGTGAAAGTTCTATTTTTATTTGTAATATGCAGTATCAAAGAGATGCTTAAAACTGTTAGTTTCTTCCATTCAGCTGGAGATTCTCTGTGACAACATCGTGCACATATTTCACGATAATTTGTTTCATTGTATTGAATACATTATTTTTTGTCATTTTTGAATTTTTACGATTGATGGTGATAGGCTTCAAAAATCCAAATAAAAGGAATATAGACAGCAAACATATATTTTTTCTCTATCTTTTGCAGGAGGAGATGTTTTATCCGAAGCAGAACTGGATTTACAGTACATTGATACTTTATCAAACTGGTAAGATCTTTTAAAAGAGTTAAAGCCCCCTAACAGCTAAATATAGCATTACAAAATCAAGGGATCATGTATTTTACGTTATTTAATCTATTTTAAGTCATTTTGTTTGAAAAGATTTTGTGTGTAAACTATGCAAACTAAACCCTCTGTTCATGTTTTAAAATTTGAAATTTATATTCTTGTTTATATTTCTTTCATTACTTAACTTTACCTAAGATTCAGACAAATGCTGTAGTCTCTGTGCCTTGTTTCATGGTAGAGTAAGAAGAACTTTGCTAGTAGGTTGCCATTAAACCATATACTTCCGGTTATAAGAACATGATTATCTTTCTAAACATACAGGTATGTTCCAGTCAAGGACTTGTATGAAATATATAAGATATATTACAACAACACAGTCATTTTGCAAGAGGATGTCATCGTAGAATGCACAGCAATTTTGTTCCTTGCCAGGTAAAAAATGGCTTTCTTTTAATTCTATAATCACCGTGGATCGAAATTGTAGAATGCTACACAGTTTGACGGTGTGGCTAAAGTTGACTAGCAATCCCTTGCTTGGTGCTTTAGTTGAACAAGGCAAGGAAAGGGGTTAAATCTCGCCCGAATGAAGTGTGACTTGTTCATCGTGATTACACATAACCAATCATATGGTTTGATGCAGAACTGTCATCAGTTTTTCATTTTCTATATTTGATATGCTTAGGGATTATTCACCATTTTTCTTTTGCAAGCTGTAAAATGTTGATTAGTAAAGACTAAATCATTTCAAAGCAATGCAGTGAAGCTAAAATCAATATAGATAGTACATATAAATGTACACAAAATTAATATCGATGAAAATAGATTTCCAAGCGGGAGATTGGAGATTAGTAAGATCTAAATCATTTTATAGCAATGCAGTGAAGCAAACACAAAATAGATATAGATCCTACATTTCTACTAGAAGATTAATTTTTGTAGTATTCTTGTGCAAATAACAATATTGGCAATATTTATTGCTTTGCTATGCATGAATGCCTTGTACAAAATGCAACCTGCCGACATTTGATATTTTGTTTGTAAGTGACTTATGTTGTTATCTTACCCATTATACAGGTTAGGAGAAAAGTTGGCACTTTCCAAGGTAATAAATTTACTATTTTTCAATCATGTGTTCAATTTCTTATTATAGACTCTTCAGATGCATACCATAGTTCTACCGTATTTGCCGGCAAGAAGGCCGCAGCGCATAGGCAACTAGATATCAGCGCTTAATAAATTCCTGGATTGGATTCGATAACATAAAGAATAATGTCTTATTCCAAACTATGCAGGCTAAAAAAATGGATTGATTGTTAAATTAAGGCATCGTTTAACAATGTTGAATCTGAGATGCATTACCCTACGTGTTATCAGTGTCTGTGATATGGTGTAATATTGAAGCCCTAAAAGATTTGCGCTTCAAAATGATCATGAAGTGCCTCAAAAAAGTAGAAATCTTTGGGTTTCCGGTTTTACCATACCGGTACTCATTTTCCCCATTAGACTGTAGTGTTGGGAAAACGGTTTTGAAATTTCGATTTCAAATCATAACTATCTTTATATTCAGACAGGCGATCGGGTTGTAAAATTCATGGGGTTCCTGACTGACCTAAAGGTTTATAATTATCATTGCAGCATGAGCTTAATCGAGGATTTTGATTTAGAATCTGAGAAAAAGATACGTAATCTATACTATTGACACATCTTCCCTTCTTGTTTGCTGTAGCTCTACATGGACTACTCTTCCAAGTCGCCTTTCATGGTGGAGGAGTTTGAGTCCTACTTCCTTGGGGGTGTGGATGACATGGCATCGTGGAGTCAGAGACTGTGGCATGATACCATCGATATGCTGGAGAACGGAACTGAGTGAGTGACAGATAGCATGCAGCAGACTTTGGTATTTGTCTGTGATCCAGTTGGGTTTTAGAGCTGCCACCTCTAGAACAGAAAATCAGTAATCACAAGGCTCAAGATCAGTAATTTGGGGAATAAATCAGTAATTTCCTATGCGGCGCTATGGATCTTAAAAAAACGGCACGCCAACACTGCGCTGATTTTACTCACGCAAAGTTGATGAATGTTGATTTTCAGGTTATCACAACACATCAGTTTTCCATGAAAAATTGGTTTATATTAAGATAATTCTCCATCTTTCTCAGCGAGTGTTGGATGGCTGCCATACTGCACAGCACTCGCTATGATAAATCATATTTACTCCAAAAAACCCAACCCAAAATCTGTAATTTTAGACAACATTCCGTACTGCTGTAATGATCGTTAATTTCCGTACCAATTTTGGGGAAATCTGTACTAGTTGGCAGCTCTGATTATCTGTAGTTATAGACATTACAACACTGAGAAAACTGTACTCTGATGTAGACCTATTTTTCTATGTTCTCATTTGATAAATTTCTTATGATCATGTATATGCATTACCAGGTATTTTAAAGACAGAGAGGGTGGGGTTGATGAGGGCTCAAGATCTTGCTAGTGGCGCAACATGCTGCTGTCTAATTGTGCACAACTCCCAACTTATGTAAAGAGGAAGACATCGCCAGTCTTGCAGTATAGTGACATCAACAACAAACATATTCTTTTTTTTGATAAATATTTTAACCTTTCAAAGGCTATTTTATTGAGTCAAACAAAACATTTTACAAATCAATGAAATGAAGTCTTTCTTTAACTCAAATAAAACAAAAAAACTTTAACATTTCTCTCCCTGTTGTTCATACAAACAAATGTTGCAGTGACTGCCATTTAGTATAAAATTTGTTATACATACCAAATATAGAATGAATATATCTCTCGTCTTTGTAATATTGAATGATTTTCTTCTTCAAAGAACTAAAATTTGGAAATTTGGAATGATGATGATATTTAATGTGTGTAAAATCCTGGATGGCCTTATATTACCTGTGCTGTCCTATCTACAGTGTTTGTGATGTACCCAATAACCCCATCTACATCAACTGCTCCCGGATTACGGCATCCACCAAGCCCCTGCCACCAGGGAGAAGGAAGACACCACTGCAAGGTCTCCGGAGCAAGATCAACCTCCATGGCTTGGACAAGCAGGACGTAAAGGTCACTCCGTCAACCAGAGGGGTTTATCTGTCACCTGCCGATTCGGTCAAGGTATAATGGGCTCCATCTTATAAACAATAGCGCTCGCAAGTTGATTTGAAAGTGATTTCAATCACAAATCTGTTTGAAAGAGATAGTGGACACTATGAACATAACTGACAAAGAAAGCGGACAAAATATACAGTTCCTCAGGCAGACAAAGGATCATCCCTTCACTGCTATTATGTAAAAATGTGTATAACTGGTGTCACATGCATATTTACCTTTTTACATAATAGCAGTGAAGGGATGTTCCTTTGTCTACCCGAGGAACTGTATATTTTGTCCGCTATCTTTGTCCGACATGTTCATAGTGGGAGATACATCAAGATAGGCTCCTAATCTATTTGTGTAACAAAGTGATTGTTCGACTTAATAGAAAATGTCTGTGTTTAGGGTGTAAAGGTCACTCCGTCAACCAGAGGGGTTTATCTGTCACCTGCCGATTCGGTCAAGGTATAATGGGCTCCATCTTATAAAGAATAGCACTCGCAAGTTGATCGATAGTGAAATGCAAATCTGATCGTAAGAGATAGTGGATTGTAAGTATATGATTGATTGGTTAAAGTGTGATTGATTCTCATCAAGATAGGCTCCTGTTCTATTTGTGTAACAAAGTAAATGTTTGACTTGTTAAGAAAATGTCTTTCATTAGGGTGGTATACCAACCTCTGAATTAATTGTGTGAAATAGTTATTATGTCAATTGATCTTGCTTGAACCAGTAATCATAGATTAGATAACAGTGTACATGCATCGCCATGAGTAACTCCTTGTTTTAGTTTATTACTCAGAAGTGCATTTGTATAATTTCATTGAAATCTCCACATTTGGTAGAGTTTATCTTATTCATTATTGAAAGGTAGTAACCTATTAGGCAGTCCTGATTATTAATAGGTAGTTTTTGGTACTGTATCTGAGATCATTGAAGTCATATTGAGGCAAGGCACTTTTTATATTTGAAAATAAAATCATGGATTTGGGTTTTAATTATGACAGGAACAGCTGCAGACCATCAGTGAGAGAGTCAGAGAAAAGGAAAGGAAAATCAAATCTCTTTCAGGAAAGGATGAGAGACCAACATCAACCTTCCATGTCGGAGATCCTTACGCAAGGCTTGGACAGTAAGCAGATTTATTATCTCATATCTGTTGTTCTTGATTTAATTTAGGGAAGAGAATTCCAAATGCTTGGTCCTTGGTACATTATAGGTTTTTGAAAAAAATGTGTACGCATATGTGGCAAATGAAAATCCATATCATTTCTTGTTCTATGGCTATGAATATTGCAATTGGAATTAAATTAAGCTACTGTGACTACGTTTATGACATAACTTAAGTACATGAAAATTCTTACTTGGTTTAAATATAAATCATCAAAATGCAAAATCTTTTAGTGAACTAACTAAAGATGATGTATGGGCAAGAAACGAGGCATGGTTGATTATTCTAACAGCACGTTTATGTTATTTGACTACCTATTCAAAAACAGGAGCATGACAAAATCAGAGCATTACGGAACCAAAACCGAGGACCTGATCTTAGGAGCGCCTGGATATGGCAAGGAAGGCCAGGCCCAGACCGGACGGGTGTACGTCATCTATGGAACTAACCAGGTCTTACAGAATGGGTCACATGACTTGGATAAGGAGGCTGATGTCATTCTTCAAGGTTTCAACGTAAGTTTTTTTTTTTTTTTTGGGGGGGGGGGGGGGGGGCGCGGGGGTATTTATCTTTGTAAGGTGTATATATCCTTTTACTAAAGCAATGTTCTTTCATAGTTTTTTGCTTACCGGTATACCTACATTTTCAATTAACAAGAAAAAAGTACTGGGGAAAATGTATTATGATGGGAAGCTTTACCTGGTCCGGTCACTCTGATTTATAGCGTGGCTCCACAATAACTTTCTCTGTTGGGGGTTCGTTCTGAAATTTGAGGGTTTATATGCAGTGAGCCTTGGGTGGAAATTCTGAATATGTGCATATTGGACCTAGATTTTGGGTGCCCATGTGTCCTGGGTGCTTGCTAGTGTTGAGCCCGGCTTATGGTACATTATGACATGTATAATAGTATAGCATGGGCTTTGAAACTCTAGCCTATCATGTGTAGACTAATCCAGACGGCAATAAAGAGGGATTAGTCTACATTCTCTAGACTCGGTACGTTACAATTTCACGAAAAGGCAAGGACGTAAACCAGTGTTGGTCTGAGAGCAGTGAGAACACTGTCACCTCATTTGGAAGCAGACAATAACTAAGGGCTTATCATAGTGTATTCTGTTTTTCCACTAATTTCTATATCCTGAAATTAAAAGACAGGGGATCAGAAGGGGAGATTTTTATAATCATTTTTTTGTACTGACACATGTACTCATACATGAAATTTTGAAGAAAAAAAAGTGAATTGTAAATATTTGAATTGTAATTTGTCCCAAATGGCAGAAGATTCTTCAGAAAATCACATGATTCATTGTGTTGATAGTAATATTTGTGTGATTCTTAGTTACACTGCATGTACATGTTTTCAGTTTGTATTCCTTGACTGTTTTGTGTTTTCTCTGATATTTCAAATCGTTACTTTTATTTTCACAGGAAGGAGATAAATTTGGTACCGATGTAGCAGCCCTGGACATCAATCTGGATGGTATCATGGACATTGCTGTCAGTGCGCCGTCAGTGGGATCCAGGAACTTAACATACCATGTAAGACACAACCCACCCCCCTCTCCCCTTCCCCTCTCCCCCTCTCCTCTCCCCCTCCCCTCTCCCCTCCCCTCTCCCCCTCCCCCTCCCCTCTCCCCCTCCCCACTCCCCCTCCCCACCTGTCAGTGCACCATCAGTGGGATCCACGGACTTGACATCCCTTGTAAGCCCCCCCCCCTCCCCCTCCCTCAACACAAAAATAAATAAATAATAAAAGTAAATAAAAAGTAAATAAATAAATTAATAAATAGATAAATTAAAAAAAAAAAAAAATGTCTGCCCCTCTTGAATATGTGAAAAGAGGACCTATATCACATCCCTTCTCATTATTTGCAGAGAAGGGGGACGGTATTGATGCCCTCTTCAAAATCAGAGTTTCTCAAACGCATAATTTGATTTCCTTAGATTTTCAAATATACATGCCTCCCTAATGCTACCTAAGCTATAATTCCCATACATGTATATTCTGCTGAGTATTTGTAGTTGAAATACATCTTGAAATGTCTTGAAATTATCCTCAAACGTTGGTTGTGTAGGAGACCAGTATGATAAAGGCTTTTCAAACGTGAAATACACGGTGAAATGACTGCATGGATCTTGCTGAAGATCACAAACACTGGAAAACACTGCAAAGAGATATGGACATAGAGAGAGAACAGTACAAATATTTGACCAAAATTTCAGATTACACAATGATAAACTTTTCCTAGTTATGTTAGAAAGTATTTCAAAGCTACTCTTTAACACAAGGAGAACAGTTTTAATCATTTAAATCCTCCTTTTCAAACATATTGCCTATGTTTAAAATGTATCTTTCTGTTTATTAGGGAGAAGTGTACATATTCTATGGAAGTAAGACGGGCGGGTCATCTCCGTCTCCAGACATCACGATCACATGCACGGTGAGTTTTACTTCTAATTCGTTGTTATAATCCTCTTTCTTTGATAATGGCTTTACTCTGGAATGAAAATGAAAAGATATTCTAGTTTTTCCACTTCATCAAATTACCTGAATATGAAAAGTTAAAGGTTGCTGTGAGCAATGAAGTATCTACCCATACCTACTTCTCTATGCATGATTAGGACCCTGTTTCATAACACTTGTTATCAATAACAAATGCTGAATCTCTGTGACAAATCTGCTCTCTACCAAACAAATGCCACAATTTCAATAGCTTTTAACACTTATTGTTACTTGTTATTTATATCAAGTCTTATGAAACAGGGCCCAGATGTGAAATACATTTTTACCTCTATTTCTTTCTGTTTTGGCCTTGACGTTCGACTGCAGCATGTATGCATGCGCCTGTCTTGTTCCAGCTCATTTTAACTCATTTTAAGTGTCACATTATGGATATTTCTGATAAAGTGAATGCAATATGACATGTATGTACTATTAACTTGTTAGAAGAGACTATCTGAACAGTATACATTGTCAGTTTATATTTTCAGTACATTCTCATTATGTATTATAAATAGCCAAATATGAGTTCACTTTGTGCCACAATTGTAACAATTAACCAGCACAACAAAACGTTTTCTGTGAAAATTGCCTGTCTGTTCCCAAATTGTAGCTGAAATATTGCAACTTTGGCTGGTCATTATCTACTGGAGACTTCAACTATGATGGTCATCCTGACCTCTTGATAGGGTCACCATACGCTCCAGCCAGTGGTCTTCCTCAAGCCGGTATGGTGTCTATCCTCTATGCAGGGCTAAACTACCAAAGTGAGTCTACGCTTGAAAGTTTAGTTGTTAGTTTACTGTGATCATGAACCAAAGCGAGTACTTAAAATGTAATTGTGTCTGCCTGCGATTCTGAAGCGAAGCTGAGGAAAGATAGTGTATACATTCATATCAGTTTGCACTATAATAAGTGCATGTATCTTTCATGTGCAGATTATATCGGCGTACATCTCACTGAGAAGGATATGAATTACACATACAAAGGAGATCAGGTAAGTGCTGAATAAACCTATAAAAAAACGATTGGATGTGTTAGCTATCTGTAAAGAATGGAAGTATATGTAAACAAAACCTCATTCAATGTCATCACTCTGTGTGGACAATATCCATGAAATGTTGATACATTTACCATCAATAGGGGTGTTAAGTGTCGAGTGATGCGTAAGACGTGTGGAAAATGTAGCATATCAGAAGAAATTAAAGTTTGAAGGTTGTGCAAATGGTTGAGGCTGCCAAGATTTAAGAAACATAATGTTGATCAAACATGCTCAATAGAATGGTATGCCACTGGTCTCTGCTATCAAAGAACAATAAATTTGATTCTTGGATAAAAACATACCTAAGTCCTAGATTTTGTACGTTCTTGTGCACCCATTTGGAAATTGTACCAGCAGCCAAGAAATCTGAATACCAACATTTGATATGTAAAAAAACATTAATTTTAACTTTCTTATCATTAGGTCTATTCAAATGTATTCAACTGTATTCAAAAGACAATTATACTTCTTGTTTTATCTTCATCTTTTAGGAATATGGATGGTTTGGCCATAAAATGTTGATGCACATAACACCACGTCATAAGCCCTTATTTCTTGTTTCCCAGCCAACATATCGCCTATGCGTCAAGTGAGTCTAAATACCATTTCACAAGAAATATGCATACCGTAAATCTCCGTGTATAAGGCGCACCTGTGTATAAGGCGCACCTCTTTTTGTTTTGTTGTTGTTGTTGTTTTGTTGCCGAAAACCCACGCGGGGAAGGACCTTCATTTTACATCGAGGTGCAGTTGAAGTTGTGAACTTGTCAAAAATAATAGTAACAACAGTCTAAGGCTTCATGATACCAAGTGTCCCACACCAGCCTCCTCACATCACCTAGCAGAAGCACTGTATTCTATGCCAAACATCAATAGTCATGCATGATATGAATAGCATCCTCTAAATTCTGACAATGGAGTACCTAGGATAGAACCTTGTGGTACACCATTTGTTATAGAAAAAAAAAATGAGGAATTATTATTATAAACTACATATTGAGATCTATTAGAAAGATTTCTTTCAAACCAAGATGACAAATTTGAATGTTGTTGTAGTTTCCGAGTGGTGAGTCACCACACTGATTACTGTTTTTTTTCTGTACCTGTGTATAAGACGCACCCCCGACTTTCAAATTTTTTCGGCGGCAAAAAAGTGCGCCTTATACACGGAGATTTACGGTATCCGTTTCGCATTACATTCATGCTGTATGAGGGTTAAGCTTTAATCAATGAAGTAATTAATGTTTAAACTACTTCTTGAGATTTTATTGAGCTCTCGTATTAAGCTCTATAATTGTAGCCTGTGAATGACAAAATTATTACTGAATTTGTTTTTCTTATAAATGAAGAACCTTGTAGTGATGTCCTTGCATATGCTGTATAATTCTTTCTTTTTTATAGATATTCGGAAAGATCATTGTCATTTTTTTGAAATTTGATTTTTTTTCTGATGGAGTTCATAGCTTTGTGCCTTCCATTTTTACCTAGTCCTGCTAATGTTCTTGTTCTCCTAAACACCTTCATTCTAATTGGGAGGCGCGGTAGCTCATTTAGTGGTCTCGTACTCCGGCTACCCGGATTCTAAACCAAGGCGATGCGCTAGTGCCCTTTGGTAAGGCATTAATCCTCATTACCAGGTCTCTCGGAGAGGACCTAAAGCCGTCGGTCCTCTGGTTGCTTACTAACAAGCATTTATGCTTTCTTCGCAGTCAGAAAAAATAAAGTGCTACTACATTAAGGTAAACTTTTATTTCAGTTCTTGATGTCTATCTTGAGTTTCTGAATGATCGTAATTCTACTTGTCTTGGACATCTTTTCCTTAGTCCGAACTGCTCTTACACGGTCCATGACATTCAGAGTGTTGGCGCCCTCTCCATCTTCTCTGCTGGGACCTCCCCCGTTCTCCTGGCTGTGCTCAAGGGGCAAGATACCTTCCAGAAGCTGGGAGCGGGATTCGCTGTCGGGGACCCCTTTGGGAACGGCAGTCTGGTCCTGGCCGTTGGATCAAACACAAAAGGTAGAGTTTTAAAGGGACTTGGTAACATCGTTCAGATGAGAGAAAATGGTGCTAAGGTAGTGACTTCAATGCTAGATGTTCAATTACAGATCATCTGAAAGTTGAGTGAAAACAAACCATTATTAATGATAAAAGTTTGAAAAAATGATACACCTGTATGATCGATTCCTTAATTCTCCCAACTATATTATTACAATTCAATTACATTTTAGGTGAATTTAAATTGTCACAAAGCAATGAATTGGCTCTATAAATCATTCCAGACGTTCATGTGTTGAAAGATTTTTTTAAAGCCTGTCTTATGCCTTATTTTCATTTTCATGGACAAATTTAAAAAATGGTTGGGAGAATGTACTGTTGCACAGTGATACCTTCAAAGAAAACCATAAATATCTTTGTGGTTTGAGAATTTGTTCAGTTAAATTTGCATGTTATAGGGTTAGTACAGCAGAAGGAATATAATAAGTAACATTTCATACAAAAGTTACGCAAATTTTTCATCAATCTTCAACAATGTTACCGAGTCACTTTAAGGTTGACTGTGCTATCTCTTTCAAAGAATTATAGCTAGTATGATGAATAGTTTTTGTACAGCATGTGCAATCACTTGCATCAGCGTGTGACTGTAATACAGACTTGCAGTATTTTATTGATAGGTGTAGCCAGGGCTGGCAGCGAATATACTTTTGACAAATGGAATCTTTTATGTGTAAAGGTATAAGTCTGCGTGGTTATCATGTATACAATGTACATTAAGCCAACAAGTTTATGTACTGTTTTTATTCTGTAACTTTTAGTCTATATTTTGATACTGTTTGCAAAATGCTGTTACTGTATTATGCCCAATGGCTGCCATAAAATTCTTTGAAAAACTTGTCGTACTAAAGCACTACTCCATGTTTTCTTTGCCAGATGTTGATGGGGAGATTCTCGATGTGCCAGTCAAGCTGACCGATGCTGGACAGGTCACTTTATACAACTTGGACATCAGCTCTCCCTCCACCCTTCTGCATGATCCATCCGGTTCCAGTACTGCTAGCAGACTGATAAGGCTTCATCTTGATCATTGGGAGGGTGTTTCCCTGGACCCTATAGCGCTGTATGAGGGCGACAGACAGTATGGGAGATATGGAGGAGAGCTCATGTTCCAGGATGTTACAGGAGATGGAATAGGTAAGAGGAAAAATATTATCCTTGAGAACAAGTAGATGCATACCCAACACAAGCAGATAGATCATTAACTTTGTATTCTTATTGTTAGATTTGCATTTAAGCCAGACTCCTGGGAGTGTTTTCACAAAGTTGAAATTATCTCTAAGTTGGACTTACCAATTATGGATAGCTGTTTGCATCTTTGAAAATAGTTTGTAAAAGTTGTTTTAAAAGGCATAAAATGTTGATTCAAATCATTCATATTTTCTATTATTATGGGAGATTTCATGTTCTTGATGTGGAATTTATGAAAAATCTAAAATATTTGAATTTTTGCTTTTGAATATATTTCATTATAAGGCTACAAAAGGCTCTCCATAATTTTTTTGTGAAACACCCCAGGTTTATATAGATCTGGGATCCCATGCTCTAGAATCTATTCCAGGTTTCATACATTATGTCTTAACTAAAATGGATCCCTTTAAATCCTATTTCTTCTTGGCCTTTTTTGTTCAATTTCCTTCCCTCTTGTGCTTGCCTGCATCCATTAAAAGTAGTATTGTGTTTTCTTTAGTACCGTACATTTTCCGAGACATGGCAGAAGCCAGTTTGTCTGCCAGTAGCTTCTTTTTTTGTAACATGAAGATGTGAACGAATTTGAGATTTTATTCATCAACTATTGCTTTGAAATGACATTGAATATATTAAAATTTTATGATTTTTTCATTCATATGTTCAATATTCAGATGATTTGGTTGTCAGTGCTCCATTAAGAACTCAAGACATCAGCGAAGAATTATTCAAAGGTAAATTAACAGATATTAACCAAAATTAACTTAATGTTTGGTGTCGATGAAATGATTCAATATTATTTTGATAACAACATTTTATATCCAGCTTTCTTGATAAGTTTCCCTAGTATTCTCATTTCTTTCTACGGTACTCATGAGGAATTGTGAAGCACTTATCTTTGAAAGAATTTTGCATGAGAAAAATTTCTCTTGCCAAATAATGTGATTACTGATGGGAAATTAAGCAGAAACTTATTTCTAAAGGTAAAGAGCCAGCCGTCCTTTTTATGCCTCCGCCACCGAAGGTGGTGCCGGAGGCATCATGTTTTTGGGTTGTCCGTCCGTACGTCCGTCCCGTTTGACCGTTATCCCAATATCTCAAGAACCATTTAAGATTTAAACTTAAGACTCGGGAATAGTATTTATCACCATAGGAAGACGATCTGATTAGATTTTGGAGTACGTAGGTCAAAGGTCACAGGTCACAGAGGTCAACTTATGAAATTCCTTGTATTGAGTTTGTTAGCGCGATATCTCAAGAACCATTTGAGATTTAAACTTCAAACTTAAGGATAGTATGTATCATCATAGGAAGACGATCTGATTAGATTTTGGAGCACGTATGTCAAAGGTCAAGGGTCACAGAGGTCAACTTATGAAATTCCATACATTGAGATTGTTATCATGATATCTCAAGAACCACTGGAGATTTAAACTTCTAACTTAGTGATAGTGTGTATCACTATAGGAAAACAATCTGATTAGATTTTGGAGCACGTAGGTCAAAGGTCAAGGGTCATAGAGGTCAACTTATGAAATTCCATACATTGAGATTGTTATCATGATATCTCAAGAACCACTGGAGATGTAAAAACTTCAAACTTAAGGATAGTATGTATCACCATAGGAAGACGATCTGATTAGATTTTGGAACACATAGGTCAAAGGTCAAGGGTCACAGAGGTCAACTTATGAAATTCCATACATTGAGATTGTTATCATAATATCTCAAGAACCACTGGAGATTTAAACTTCAAACTTAATGATAGTGTGTATCACCATAGGAAGACAATCTGATTAGATTTTGGAGCACGTAGGTCAAAGGTCAAGGGTCACAGAGGTCAACTTATGAAATTCCATACATTGAGATCGTTATCGCGATATCTCAAGAACCACTGGAGAATTTTCACTTCAAACTTAATGATAGTATGTATCACCATATCATAATATCTCAAGAACCACTGGAGATTTAAACTCCAAACTTGTTTAAATTGCTCTATGGCGGAGGCATCATTTTCGACTGCGCGCAGTCAAAATTCCATCTAGTTATTCTACAATTTTAAAATTCAGACTGTTTAAAGAAGTACATTCTTTATCTTGTGTGATTGATATATAGAGAGGATGGTTCTTCTGAAAAAGCAAGTTGTCAAGTCATCTTGAAAAGAATTTTTTTGGCCCGAATTCACAAAGGAGGTTTAGATTTAACCCATGGTTTAAACCCTCATTTACATAACCCATGGTTTAAAATGAGCGTGACACAAGTCAGAGGTCCAATATTAGAGGCGCGCAAGGCAAGGTATGCTTTTTGCGCTAATTTTTAAACCATGGGTTATTTAAATGAGGGTTTAAACCATGGGTTAAATCTAAACCTCCTTTGTGAATTCGGGCCATTGTGTTTGAAATTGGAGGCTTCTCAGTTTGCAATGGTCACTCTCTCACACACAGTTCATAATGAACTAATGAGTCACATGTGTATTTCTTCCTTGCAGTTGAAGAGGGAAGCATCTTTGTCTACAAGGGTGGTCCATCATTTGGAACAGGCAATGTGACTAGGTCATGTGACTTCCTCTCACTCGTCAAACCATGCCCGACAGAAAAGGTCAGTTTTTTACATTTCCCTTTTCACTACCCCAGGTCTCCATGGTGAAATAGTTCTGATTAAATCAGGAACATTTTCTGAAATCTGAATAGGATAGTTAAAACTGCTTTTGATTTTTGCCAAAATTTGTCATGATAAGGTGTAATGCTTATTTTATGCATTTACCAATAGGATGCAGACATCAATGTATTTGGATTAGCATGTGAGCGCCTGTGAAAGGGCAACTGGCTGGAATGCTCCCAAGGGAGTGGAGAGTGTGCACTGAAAAGTGCAGAATAGTGACAGAATCCAGTGTCCAGTTAATAATGCTGTAAGTGCTCTGGTTGGGCACGTTGTGACTGATAAAGTGCCCTTATAAGAAACAGTTAAAATTATTATTTTTTTATTACAACAATGCCAGTCTAATATGTATATTATAATTTATACAACACCTACGTGGATCCCTGTCATTTGATTGGAGGATTGTTGGTCACATGATATTCAATAGATGGTATATTGCACGGTCGTGCATTTTTGGTTATATGCGCCGTGCATTTTTGGTTATATGCAGACTGCGTACCTCTCTGCCATGCGCGCGCGTATCCCTGCGTGTATCTGACGCGAAGGCAATCTGAATGTAATTGAGAAGGCTTGAATCCAACTTGAATTTATCTTTAATATAAGGAGTAAAGCATAATTTGTTGATTAACGTTCTATTAGATCTTCTTCGATGTTGTATAAAACAAATAATGAATGTTTTTCATTCGTTCAATGGTGCGAATATTTTCATTCCTTGAAAGATTAACATTAATTCTATTCAACTCGGCTGACGCCTCGTTGAATAGAATGTTAATCTTTCAACTCATGAAAATGTTCGCACTATTGAACTCATAACCATTCATTATTTGTATACTGTGTTTTATGGCTATTGTGTAAGGTTATGCTATTTCTATACATTTTTCTCTGTTCTACAGGCATACAGCGTATTATCAAGCAATGAAGTAAGTTGATTAACACTTATTCTGCACTTTTAGATTGATAGATCTAATAAGACAAATAAGATGATGATTTGACTTAGCGTGCACAATTTGAAGAATGCACTTCTCCATTTTCTTGTTCCTCTAATCTTTGAAGCAAAGATTTACCTCCTCACATCTCTTTGTCATTATAAAATATAGTGCCCAAAAAACAAATTCAGTGTCTGTGAAAAGCAGAATTAAGATAGACCATCAGGTTTTGTGTCTTTATTTTTGGCCATCCATTTCCACTTTGCGAAATGTCTATTTTTTAAAATTATTATTTACCGCTGAGGACATTTGTGAGAATTAAGATACAATTTTTGTCTACAATGTTATTTCAAGTAGAGGTGTTGTTGTGTAGAGGATATGTTGTTGGCTAGTTTGAAATATACTTGCATTGATTTAGTTGAATTTGTGAAATATCTTTTTGTCAATTAAAAAAAAGTATACCGAATGTACATTGGTTTCCATCAATTCATCAAAGTCAGGATTTTTACAGAAATTTAACAAAAAGCTCATATTGACATCATTTTATTATTGACATAACTTATTTTACATTTTATCTTTTACAGGGTGGATCACGATTCGGTTCCAAATTGACAACATGGAGATTTAGTGAGGTATGTCTTGTCTGATCACATACATTTTTCTTATTCCTAGTTTTAAATGTTTTGTTATAGCCAAAAGTAGAACCATGATATTGCATTTTTATGCCTCCGCCACCGAAGGTGGTGCCGGAGGCATCATGTTTTCGGGTCGTCCGTCCGTACGTCCGTCCGTCCGTACGTCCGTCCCGTTTGACCGTTATCACAATATCTCAAGAACCATTTAAGATTTAAACTTCAAACTTAAGGATAGTATGTATCACCATAGGAAGACGATCTGATTAGATTTTGGAGCACGTATGTCAAAGGTCAAGGGTCACAGAGGTCAACTTATGAAATTCCATACATTGAGATTGTTATCATGATATCTCAAGAACCACTGGAGATTTAAACTTCAAACTTGGTGATAGTGTGTATCACTATACGAAAACAATCTGATTACATTTTGGAGCACGTAGGTCAAAGGTCAAGGGTCATAGAGGTCAACTTATGAAATTCCATACATTGAGATTGTTATCATATCTCAAGAACCACTGGAGATGTAAAAACTTCAAACTTAAGGATAGTATGTATCACCATAGGAAGACGATCTGATTAGATTTTAGAGCACGTAGGTCAAAGGTCAAGGGTCACAGAGGTCAACTTATAAAATTCCATACATTGAGATTGTTATCATAATATCTCAAGAACCACTGGAGATTTTAACTTCAAACTTAATGATAGTGTGTATCACCATAAGAAGACAATCTGATTAGATTTTGGAGCACGTAGGTCAAAGGTCAAAGGCCACAGCGCACATTATGAATGCAAAAACAGCTTGTGATCGCATTATCTCAAGAACCGATTGATGGATTCATGCCAAAATTAGGTCATGTTTGTTACTTGCAGAGCCAATGAACTGAGTAGATTCTTGGTTCATAAGGTCAAAGGTCAAAGGTCATGGGCCCATTATGTATGCAAAAATAGCTTGTGAACGCATTCTCATTAGAACTGACAGATGGATTACTATTTAACTCAGAACATCTTGCAGAGCCAATGAACTGAGTAGATTTTATGGTCATGAGGTCAAAGATCAAAGGGTCATATATGTATATGAGAAATTGCTTGTAATCACAATATTCTGAGAACCTGTCAATGGATTACCATTGAACGTGAATTCAATTTTTTTTTTCTGTTTTGGTTTGTAAAATTGCTCTATAACGGAGGCATCATTTTCGACTGCGGGCAGTCGAATTCCATCTAGTCTTTCTTATGTTTAATTGATGTTATCAAATTGCTGTGAGATGTGGTTCTATTTAAAGCCTATCTGCACCAGTTTGGCCAGGAGGGATTAGACCTCCCTGCATGGTCACTGACAGGTGGTTATCTCATCATATCAGCTCTCAATAAACATAAGAAAAAGGGGACTATGGGGGACCAACGATTACCGCTTAGGCACTGTTTGCTATATAGAGGACGCAAGTAGCTACAAGTAGTGCAGTCCCGCTTCAAATAGGTAGCTTTGTTTCTTTAGAGAAAATTGACTTCCAAGTAATTTCAAATTAGAGGCCTTCAGTGTCTCAGTGATTTCCATTTACACCAAAGATCAAAATACCGGTACATGTATCCACCACATGACAGTAATGGATATTAGTGATGGAATGTGTTCTTTTAGTTGTTTACCTCAAAACATAATTTTTTTGATTACCTGTCCATGTATGTTTTTGTTCTTTCCTTTCTTTTCTTTATTGTGGGAGGATGTGAACGAAAAGAAACACAGATAATATTTTGTTTTTGCTAATGAGATCTTTGAGATCCAGATATTTTGATAATGTGCAAGTAAATTAATTCATAATTACATTATTAATTTGCATACGGTTGAAACTTTACACTTTTGTTTCTACTTCTAGAAACCTCATCTGGTCGTCAGTGCACCTCGAAGTAACGGCGCAGAGAGGCTTGCAGGGGAAGTCTACATTTACACTCTCTAGGTGAAACGTTCAGCTCAGCAGGGCAGTGGTTGGGTCTGGAGCGCTTCAAGTAGGGTTGTTTGAACAGTGGCAATATCTGATTGAATGAAAAGATTGAGCAATGGATGCTAGAGTGATTGATTGCTGAATGGGTGAATGAATACTGTAAACGCTGTTATTTTTGCATGATTAATTTTTCGCGCTGAGCGACCCGAAACATATTCGCAGGTTCTTAAATTTGTGTTGCACTCAATTCAGCCCGTTCAGAACATGCTTAAAAAGTCATGCTTATATTTTCATGAGTTCTAAACTTTGCGTTTGCCGATATTAGTGCGAAATCTGCAAAAATGAATGTACCGCAAGTATTTCTACTTTTACAGTAGATGGATGAATGAATGAGTGAATGAGTGAGTGAGTGAGTGAGTAATGAATGGTGGATTGCAATATAATATAATAATCATGTCAATTTATTTTATTCAATGTAAAGCACTATAGAAACTCTTTTAACATACTATGCAAGAACATATATTTATTCTAAGCAATTCAAGATTAAAACATAAGGATTACACAATAGATGGATGAAGGAATTAATGAACTAAGAATGGGGAATGGATGGTTTTAAAATACAATAATCATGTGCCTTTATTTTATGTCATGGAATACCGCTTCAAAAACTTGTTAACGTGCCATGCAGATAAAAAACTCACTAACATGCTATGAAGTGACATGTGTGGTTTTATCATGTTCTTAAAAATTACACATTATTCAGATCACAACTTATAGTACACGTATAATAACCATACTCTTCAGTCACAGTTCATTTACATACCATACATGTATAAAGAAAAGATATTAAAAGTTCAAGCACAAGAATATAAAAAAAATCACTTTAGAAATAAGTCATGAGATTCATTGGTATATTTTAACAAGTCCTTGGTATCTCAAAATAGGCATAAAATGGCACATATCAGATAGGAAGGGTTTTTAGACATTACCCCCTAATTTATGAGAAGAAGGCCAAACATGCTGATATTGTACTTTACATCTTGGCTTGTGTAAGAAGTCCACAATGTCATATTAGATGGATTTTTAGCGCAACTACCTGATTTACAAGTCCTCAGGATTACTCTTGCTTGCAGCTTCAGGTTGTGAGAGATCTGAGATGAAGTAACCTCGGGCATAATGTACAGACACTCTATATTCTCAGTCGAACTCGAGTTGTAACCAGACAATGAATTTCTGAGCTTTAATAAACTTCCATAAAATAATGACACTGTCCTCATTCTTATCAATTCACTATTAAAGCTAATATTGTTTACAATATTCAGTTATACTCTATAACCAATACTCTACATACCAAGGACTGTAAATGACAGCCTTCTTCATTCAGCTTGTTCTCGGGAGTGCCTATAGTCTGCCTATAGTCTCTATCGAGAATGTATGTCAGTGCAGTGACTTGAACAAAACAAGAACTACTTTCCCATATCTTTCCGTAATATCGCTCATTGATTTAAAAGCGTACAATACACCACAGTACACCTGATCTTAATTCACACATTCAAAATAAGTGTTTTTGTACGAATGATCACAGTACTTTTGCAATTTCATTCAAAAATCACATACAATATATATACATTGAGAAGTGTACTGAATAATTAGCAGATAAAGCCGATGGCTTGAGGGAAGTGGGTGGACCCACAACATAAATAACAAATGTGGAAAATACAAAACATTAACATTCACAATATAACAAAATGCAAGACGTAAACAAGACAATACAAACTAAAATTATAATACAGAACGACATAATTTATCAGGGAAGTCATTTATACATGGCAAAATATGCAACTTGAATTTCTTCTTTCACATCTGGAGTTTCCCCTTTGTTCATCAAAGTATAAAGAGCATTGCAGCCAATTGCATGGTGTGCAATGTATAAACAGTATGTGAAAATATTGTCAATTCTGTGTTCTCATATATGCCACTCAATAACTCATGTAATTTCCATAGGTGTAACTGTCTTTCTTGCAAACTTCACTCTTACTGAGCTATGCAGATTGGGCAGACATAATCTCCTTCAGAAGGAATGCTTATTCCTACACACTTATAGTGACACCAGCTGCCACATTCTATTTGTCATATAAAAAACATGAATAATTTTAACATTGATATTAACAGATAAGTAAAGAACATACAAATAACATAATGAAAGATAAACACAAGATACAATTATATATACGAATGAAGAAATTGACAAGCAAAAACAAAGTCTTTAAGTGGTGCTGGTCCTTTACGACATGATGAAGAATTTTACCCTATAACACTTAACACCTTACACCTTACACCTAACAACTAACACCTGATTGCATATATGTATATACACATACCTCACATCATACCCAATCTGTTGGCAATCTTGGCTTGCTGCAGCCCACCATGTCAAAATTTTTACATTGCTTAGGTGGCTTTTCTGATGCTTTGAGAAGTTTGGAGAGCACATAATTGTGCATGCTTCTGGCATATTCTCCTTTAGGGGAATGCTTATTCCTACACACTTTCAGTTTCAATTTTATTTTTCATTTCCAACAGAACAGTCATTTTGACAAGAAATCAAATATACAATTCAACATTCAATAACATAATACATTTTACATGGTTTAAAGATATGAAATAGGAAGTATACATAAATATCCAGTGTAATGGTTTTTTAAGTTTTTAAAGATAAACCTGTGGAAATGAAGGGATCCACTGAAAAGCAGAGCTTGTAAAGTGTGAATCCCTCACTTATAGTGACACCATCTGCCACGTACCTCACATCATACCCAATCGGCTTGCAATCCTGGCTTGCTGCAGCCCACCATGTCACAAATTTTACATTGCTTAGGTGGCTTAGGTGGCTTTCCTGGTTCTCGGAGAAGTTTGGAGAGCACATTATTGCGCATGCATCTGGCATAATCTCCTTCAGGGGTATGCTTATTCCTACACACTTACGGTGACACCATCTGCCACAGGTATTCTGTGATGAGGACAGAGACCATTCCAGAAATGCCAAGGTCTTTCTTCTGCTCCAGGTAGTTGTATCTGAAGATCTTATTTTGGCGCTCTATTCTGTTGTTGGTGTTTACCTGAAGATCTTGTTTTGGCGCTTTATTTTGTTTTTGATGTTTACCTGAAGATCTCGGTTCTGCTCCATGTAGTTGTATTTGAAGATCTTGTTCTGTCGCTCTATTCCATTATTGGTATTTACCTGAAGATCTGGGTTCTGCTCCATGTAGTTGTATTTGAAGGTCTTGTTCTGTCGCTCTATTCCATTATTGGTATTTACCTGAAGATCTGGGTTCTGCTCCATGTAGTTGTATTTGAAGATCTTGTTCTGTCGCTCTATTCCATTATTGGTATTTACCTGAAGATCTGGGTTCTGCTCCATGTAGTTGTATTTGAAGGTCTTGTTCTGTCGCTCTATTCCATTATTGGTATTTACCTGAAGATCTGGGTTCTGCTCCATGTAGTTGTATTTGAAGGTCTTGTTCTGTCGCTCTATTCCATTATTGGTATTTACCTGAAGATCTGGGTTCTGCTCCATGTAGTTGTATTTGAAGATCTTGTTCTGTCGCTCTATTCCATTATTGGTATTTACCTGAAGATCTGGGTTCTGCTCCATGTAGTTGTATTTGAAGGTCTTGTTCTGTCGCTCTATTCCATTATTGGTATTTACCTGAAGATCTGGGTTCTGCTCCATGTAGTTGTATTTGAAGGTCTTGTTCTGTCGCTCTATTCCATTATTGGTATTTACCTGAAGATCTGGGTTCTGCTCCATGTAGTTGTATTTGAAGGTCTTGTTCTGTCGCTCTATTCCATTATTGGTATTTACCTGAAGATCTGGGTTCTGCTCCATGTAGTTGTATTTGAAGATCTTGTTCTGTCGCTCTATTCCATTATTGGTATTTACCTGAAGATCTGGGTTCTGCTCCATGTAGTTGTATTTGAAGATCTTGTTTTGGCGCTCTATTCCGTTGTTGGTGTTTACATAAAGATCTGGGTTCTGCTCCAGGTAGTTGTATTTGAAGATCTTGTTCTGTCGCTCTATTCCATTATTGGTATTTACCTGAAGATCTCGGTTCTGCTCCATGTAGTTGTATTTGAAGATCTTGTTTTGTCGCTCTATTCCGTTATTGGTATCATGCATCGCAGTTACATATACTGAATTCCATTTCCATATCCTTGGTTGTGTTCATCCTTTATCAAAACATGTATCCATTATTCCACAGTTTCCCATTAATAGCGGCTGAAAGCTACAAAGCATAACACAGAAGGACCTGAGAAACAACGTGAATAGTACGTAGCCTGGTTAATTTTTTCCACAGAAACCGTGCAAAACATTTTGGAAACCATGCAGGATGTGAGAAAATTATTGATTGATTTATTATTGTTTGCAGCTGCATGGGTTCATAGATCATGGTTTGACCATGGATAGTAGTACTAACCATGGTTTAACCAAGAGGATCGTAGTTGTGTGACAAAACACAATTTTGTCAAAGCAAACGACTGACACTATAGGTATGGAGCTATCAGCTTGGTACTAGATCTCCACTCAAGTGATGACTTGAAAGCGGCAAAGGCAGCTTCATATACTCGGCAGGTTGTGTTGCATGCATGAGCGCACCTTCTGCTTGCACGTACGAGGTCACGCCATTTTCTGTCTTGCTTTGCCACCGCAACCACGCCTGCTCTCGGTGGAAGTCACACAGGAAAGTTGTGCATTCTACAAAAAGCACATCTTTTAAGAGAAATCGGTCATGAAGTACGAAGGGTTCCAGTCCTTGCAATCTTCTTGCATCCATCGTTTGATGGTCTGAACGCCAAGCTGTATCGCTCTTGCAATCTCGTATTGCACAACGGATTCTCCAACGACTGAATAGCCGTGATTGGTCTCTACGGCCAAAAAGAACAATGGACCGGCATATTTCGTTGTGCGGTATGTAGCATCAAGAAGGCAAAGCTCTTTTGGTGTTCCATCTTCCTTTCCTAGATTTGCCTGATTACCTTTTGTGGGACCATATTCCTTTCCTAGATTTGCCTGATTATCTTTCGTGGGAATATCTTTCTTGTGTACATTTTCCCGATTACTCTCTTTTGATGTTCCATCTTTCCTTCCTAGGTTTGCATGATCACTTTCTTTAAGGTGGCTCTCATTCCTTCTTACATTTGAACAATTAATTTATTTTGCATATTGCATAATGTTTTGCATATTATGTACAAATTTATTTACCTGGAAATGTCTCTTCAATGGCTTTAATTTCTCTTTCAGAGAAATCAGTCATGAAATATGATGGATTCCAGTCCTTGCCATCTTCTTGCATCCATTGTTTGATGGTCTGAACGCCTAGCTGTATTGCTCTTGCCGTCTCATATTGCAAAACAAATTCTCCAACGACTGAATAGCTGTGATTGGTCTTTACGGCCAAAAAAAACTCCTTGGTTCCTTCGATAAGTTGACACAACAAAGGTGCATCCAATGTCCACAGACGTCACTTTTAGCCCACGTCAATGCCGTCTTGCCCCTTACATTCTTGCTGTAAGTTGTACAGTCATAAGGAGCAGGCCTAACTTGTCATCGATCATGTTTAGCACATCATCTGAACAGAAGTAGGTCATGTTTCTAAGTAGATCAACTTTTTCTCTGCACTTAGGGTCAATTGATTTTTTGCAGAGGGCAAATGACCTTGTTTCTTTAATGATGATGTTGTGTTCCCCTGCGGTTCCTATACTAAGCCACTTTTATTACGGAGTTTCATTTGCACTATTATAAGGAGTATGCCCAACTTGTCATCAATCATGTTCAGTACGTCATCCGAACTCGAGTAAGTCATGTCTCTTAGTAGGTCGTCTTTTTCCCTGCATTTAAGGGCCAATTGCTTTTTGGCAGAGGGCAAATGGCCTCGTTTTGGGAGTTCCTTCATTATATTTTCATCAGCTGGCTGCTCTACTTGATCAGGCTGATGGTCTCCCTGGTCTCTACCTTGGTCTGCAGGCACCTCAAGAAAATCGCACACTTCTGTATCCAAGGTGATGGATGAAATAAGATGGGTCGATTCTGCAAAAAAGGTGAAATTTGGCACATGACCACCAATGAACCTTTGCATCTCCTTTCTGGAAACTTATCTATTGAGTATGTGTCTCTTCTCCCTGATAGTGCTTGGAGAGTTAGCACAGCTTCCTCTAGGGGGATCCTGTTCACATAGCTGAACATGATTACCTGGCCAAGCATCTGGCTGAGGTTCATCATTCTTGTAAGGCTAGGAATGTTGTGCCACTTGCAGACCTTCATAACCCTCGATGAGGTGTCCACACCTCTCTTCTTGGTCTTTTGAGGATGTTGCTCCCTCTCTAACACCAGGCCTTCTTCAAAAGGTAGCTGTCTTCTCAGGAAGGACAAAGTTTTGTCCAGTTCATTGGTAGATGAGGTCTTCTTCATCAGTGAAGAGATAGGTGAAGTCCTGCAAGAGATGAATCTTTTCTCTGCAAGACACAGCTAAGCGGTTTAGCCGGCTACCTTGAGATAAGGAAGGGATCTCACCGCTGCCAACATCGCCTTCATGCACCGTCTCCACACAAGTCTCTTCTGTCCCAGTGAAGTTGAGAAACTTGGCAATCTCTGTGTCCAAGGTGTGAAAAGGTGATGCTGTAAATGAGTGCAGTCATCATACATTTAGGTCCTTCCTAGTGATTCCATAGCTGTCAGATTTTCTTTTATATATATCTGGGGAACCAATCATATCTGATTTGAATCAATCATATTTCCCTTTATCTCCACTGAAAATGTCCTATGTAAGTTAACTGCTGCTATTATACCATATAGCAAACGGGATATCAATGTTTTGCTTTCGCACGTGCTCCTCCAGTTTTTTTCTCTGAATTTTGATGTATTAGTTGCTCTCTGGCTTCACCCTCCATTTCCCCCGACCGTACTTGAGTGCTGCAATGTCCTTGCTTAACTGCTCATAGCCCAGAAGCATCTTTACTAGTACGCTGTTGTCTATCTGGTTCCCCTGAGATGAGAGTCTCCTTCCCCTGGTAAGTACGGTGTGCACCACAGACCCTGTGATGCGACCCTTACGTTGGTCAAACCATGTGGTGTTAGATGCTTGTCCCCGAGTTGCAAGTTCCAAGCGTTGAATAGTTTGTGTGTCATACTTTGGAGGGAAATCCAAAAACTCGTCTACAGAGCTGGCCTGGCTGGCTAAAGTCCAGAGCCGTATATGGGTAGATCTGGAGTGAGTTAAGTCACAAGATCTTCATGGTGACCTTCATTGATGTCACACTCAGCAGAAGATGAGCTTGCTTCTTCAGGATCCATTGAGATGTACTGGAAGCAGCATGCTGTTGGGAATGTTGGGTAGAGGGCTTTCACAAGCTTTGTTAAAGATGGACCTGAGCTTGTTCCTGTCGATCTGGCCTCTGTTGGTGAGAACAGCCATCTCGCCGTCTCGCTGGAGGGCAAATGGCCTCGTTTCGGGAGTTCCTTCATTGTGTTTTCATCAGCTGGCTGCTCTAATTGATCGGGCTGATGGTCTCCTTGGTCTATACCTTGGTCTGCAGGCACCTCAAGAAAGCCGCACACTTCTGTGTCCAAGATGATGGATGAAATAAGATGGTCGATTCTGCAAATAAGGTGGAATGGCATCATCATAGGTCTATTCCATAGCTCCTCCAGTTTTCACCATATCCTTTCTATACTGACTCCATTTTGTCTTCGCTATTTCTTTCAACCGCTTCCATTGCTCCAAACAGGATTTAGCCCCCGCCTGTCCAATTTGCTGACCTCGATCGGACCTCTTTGTTTTGTAGTACCGATCTGTGAAGCCATGCATCTTGGGAGATGAGATCAGACTATGTGTTGATGACGTTACAGAATTCCCCAAAACCTGAGACCACCGCGACAAAAGACTTGAGAGAGCATTCTCTGCTAAGCTAGCAAGGTTCATTTCATTTCATTTCATTTCATTTCTTTATTATGTCCATAGAGGATAATTGTTCATATTTACATTTACAATCTTGCTTCATAATCAACCTGCAAACTTAATGATACAGAAAAACAATAACATGAGTTATCTTCTCACTACATGTACCAATCAAGTCACAATAAATGCAGGCATGAAATAAACACAGAATATATGAACACGCACATCAGCCTAATCTTACATAATCCTGCTTAATTACACAGAATACTGTGAATTTGTGCTATACCGTCAAACATGTAAAAGCAATCCTCTAAATCATTTCTGCATACCGGAACTATAATTTCTTACCAGTCTATACGATTCAATGTCATGCTCCTCTCCTTACCTAGGCAATGGTTCGGACTCAAACGGGAGGAGCAGTCCATCGGCAGCCCCGGCCTCCCGCATCACAATTATCAGCGTTCATATTTTCATTGTCTTCAAATTCGCCCAATTCACCATCATCTTCACTTTCTCCACCATCATCACTGCTACTAACTTCTTCTTCATCCAACTCCAAGATTAATTTGAGTTCATCTGAGCTGTCTTCTGTCATTTTTACTGATGATTAATATCCTGATATAACATCTATACTTTCACTCTAATATGGCCTGCAGTGCTATCTGGTTGCGAAAAGAATGCGTGCAGTGAACGTGTTGTGAATAGTCCTCGGAATGACGGCACACGACCAAACCTGACTCTCGTAATTTCATTCCATTATTTCTCCTTCCCCTTATCTTTATTGACAATGAACTTAAAAACAAAGATGAAGAAGTGAATATAACCATAACGACTAATTTAATATGAATGGATATCACATTTAACTCTTTATAATAACTAGTAATTGTACACTTACCACATTGGGTTTATTGAAGAACAATGAAATTAGCGGTGAATCTCAGGATCCTGTCTGACCATAACACATGTGTTACTGTAGCAGAGTTTAAAGCTCCCTCTAGAGGCAAACTAAAAATATCTCTAAACTAGATATAACACTATGTGCTATAGATCAATTGAGCCTGCATGCGCAGTAGAAGCAGACTACGTACATCTCCATAGTGAATGATCTGTGGTTGTACATTTTAGCTGCGATTAAGATTTAGTCTAGACTTAGTCTGAGGTTTAGCTAGACCTTGCTATCAGAATACCAACCACAGATAATCTATACACTTAGTATGGATCGAGGTCCTGATTAAGTGCTGTTTAGCTAAAGCTCGGGTTAACTTTAGTTTAGAGGAACCAACTACGAAATAGTAGAATACCAGCCAATGCCTCCAGCACCATGCACCTGCAATGAGCGGAGGCATACAAATCTTATACAGATGTGTCAATGAAAATTAAATTTAAAAATCATTAACAAAATATACAGGAAATATAGTGAGGGGATGACATCATCAAATTGCTAAATTGCATCATGCTGTCTTTCACGATAAGGGTATACCGTCAGCTTCGGTGTTATTTTTCTTTCAGTAACTATATATTGGGAGTTATTCAACCTACATATTAATTCAATTGTAATGTGTCATAAATATGTGAGGCATGCCTTTTTTTGGAATGCACAAATATGTTTACCAAAAAAAAAAGTTTTACATTATTTTAATTGAACATGTGATATGTATTACTTTGTAGTGGTATTTTTTCAAGTGCATTATTACTTGTTTTTGTTTCAATTATTTAGTGGTTATGTGTATGAGGATATGATTAAATAGACCCTTATGTCTATGACTGTGTGTTTATATTGTAGTTCGTATGGATATTAACTACAGGTACATGTACTTATTTCTTTTTTACCATGTTCACAATTTTGTTTTGCAAGAAGTAATGTGAAATACAGTCATGTGAATATATTGTAATACAAGCTGTTCTTTGAAATAATACACATTTTATACATTTATACATTTATGAAGATTAACTTACTTTATGAAATTAAAAATTACCCAAAATAGACTGCATCCTGAATTTTATTTTTGTTTGCTGGGTGAATTCATGTAGATGTAGTCGTAGTCTATACATTGTACTGCTAGTCGGTCTTGTTTGCTTGTGTTGTGCGTGCTTGTGTTAGTACATTGTAGGTCTTCTACAATATTTTATACTGGACCACTCTTCTTATACCCCTTAATTATCCCCCTTAATTATCCTTACAAAACATCTTAATAAATGTGGGTTCTTCACAAATATTGTGTGGAAGATGCTGCACAAGAAGAATACTAGTTCTCCAAAGCTTAGACTTTGAAATGCAATACCGGTAGGCCATTTTCGTAATGTAACCAAATTCAATGCATAAGTCTTTGTGAAGTGCCTCAATACAAATTATTTCATTCACCTGAAAAGAATAATAGTATTTCAATAGACAGAATCCGAATTGCATACATTAGTTGTTGCCAGGTTGGACAAACATGGCTTGGCCTACCTAGCAACACTTAATATATGCTGTTTGCATTCTGACTTTTGAAATACTATTATTCTTATTAGGTGAATGAAATAATTTCTATTGAGGCACTTCACAAAGACTTATGCATTAAATTTGGTTACATATTACGAAAGTGGGCTATTGTAAAGTTGTGGGTAAAAATGTAATTATTATCATCCAAAATATGCAGGGAGTTTGTTAAATGGGCATGGGTAGTGGATTGAAAGGGATTTGAAGCCAGCCTGTTCTCAGGATTGGGAGCGAGATTAGGAAGGAGTTGATGTAGATACTGATAGAAGAGAATATGATGTTCTCTGCTGCTGAAAGTGAGGAGATATAAATGTATGTATGGAAGAAGTGTGATTGATAAAGATTTTAAAGTTTGAACAAGCATCTGCTATTGTATTCTCTCGGTAACTGGGAGCCAGTGTAGTTCGTTGAACAATGGGGGTGTATTGTTACATGTACTGTAAATGAATACACAATTACAATTTCAGTTCAGGGTTAAAAGACTTGTGTGTGTCTATACATATACGTATATTCACCCCACAAAGATTCAATTTATTACCAGTTAGGTATATAACAATAATTCATTCACATATTGCCACATAAGAATGGGCCCAGAAGGCCAAAGAATATTCATATTCAAGACATACATGTCACAAACAGGGCGTATACAATACCGCTATCATAGCCAGTGTGCACATGATATGCCGGATTACACATTGAAATAAATTCACAATACATAAAAGACTACATTAGAAGTGGACAAGTCTATGGTAGTTCATCATTTAGCGTCCCATACATCACCAGGTGCCCTTGTTTCATATACATAAAATGACTTCTGGGGGGCATTTCACGAAACTTGTCATCAGTGACAAATGACAGTTTTTGTTATAAGCTAGTGCAATCCTTGATTCTGATTGGTTATCAGCAGATTTGTCACTGATTTTTGTCCTTTTTCATTGAAAAAAGGCTTTGTGAAACGGGCCCCAGAATTCCTATTTTACTTGATCTTTGGTCTGATGCTAGCTCCGGTAGAGAGTCGATTAAATTCAATCATCAGGTATACTAAGACCTTACATTTGACCAGTAACGTATGGGACGAAACACCTTGTTAAGACTTGACTAAATAGGCCTACAAGTGAAATGACAACTAGAAAACAGAATCCTTGTTTTCATGTTCTTAATAACCGGGGACATATTATTTCCCATAAACATACACCTTCGTTCATCTGGGCCCCGGTGTTCATGTTTCTTCCAACAACAAAAATCTTCCCTTATTTTTTCCTTCTCTCCTTTCTTTCAAAGCACCATGGCTTCATACATTTAAAACAACTTCAGGTCACAGTGGGCAATCTTCACATTTGCTACAATTTGTTATTTCTTATTTTTAAGGAAGGAGATATCTTCCTACAAGTGACCTGGGGCTCCATTACACATGGTTAGCTATCGATGGCACGATTGAATGATAGTGTCTTTTATTTGTTTTTCAAAAAATATTTTTGTAATGTAATGGGTTCAAGTTGTAACCAGATTGCATCTCTATTTCTCAGGCCCTGTTTAAAGATGACTGCACAACACACTGAAAACATTCAACACATGCACAAGTAATACAGTCGGCTTCTTCCAATAGGTCAAGTCGTGTTTCAATACGATAAAGGTAAAGACCAGTTTTGGAAACGCCCCCCTCTCAAAAAATGAAATGGAAGCTCTTATTACCAATCATGTGAAAGAATATTGTATGTAAGAAGCCGACTGTATTACTTGTGCATGTGTTGAATGTTTTCAGTGTGTTGTGCAAACATTGTAATAAGCGCTATATAAATAAAATATAATGTATTATTATTAATATGTTTTGACTAATACGTGATGATACAAATTTTGCCGAGAAGCCGCCTACTAATTGATGTACATGTATTTGGTAAATTAGTACTGTATATCTATTTGAACCTGATAGACATTGTGCACATGTTGCATAGTGCCATATACATCTTTCTGTGTACAGTGCTTGTAACTTAACCAAGACTGGGCCAAATTTGTTATCATTTTGATGATTCCAGAACCTTGCAGTACACACCAATACTTATATGCTAGATGATCAACCTTTTATGATCGATTCCACAATGTTTCTTTTACAATGCAATCGCATGACCAGAACTGATCTTTATCTTTAAGTTTCGTAAACCTTGGTCAAACTTCCTTTTTTAAACTCTACCTCAGACGAAGCTTATATCTAGGATCAGGTTTAAATTTGTAGAAATAGACAGCACAGTGTAATTCAAAACACTTTGAAAAAGCAGAAACACATGATACTAATAACACAACAAATATGTAGGTGTAAAACAGAGTTGGCAACATAAGCATTAATTGGCGTATTTCCTGTGGCTGACCATTGAACACAATGGCTATGAATCCTACATTACACAAGACACGTATCATTGTGCATTTTGTCTGTTTGGATTTGAAGACACACAAAGTTGTTAATGACTTAATGCATGGCCCTTGTGGCTCTAGTCCCAGGCAGATGATTTATGCTGTGTCATAGGTCATGATCATAAACCTGTATCACAGGATTTGATTGTGTGCACCTCACTGACTCTTTATCTTTCCAATAACAGTTACATTTGTTTTAAAAATACAAATATTATTTTAATTTGTGGCTCAACAGCTCAAAAAAACAAATAAGTTGCAAATTTGACAAAGGATCAAGAACTGAAATGGTGTTTTCTCTGAATAAATGTCATTTGTTACTCCTAATTTAACAGTACTTAAATGGGTTCTAATGAGCACACTAATCATGTAATATGCCACAGGAAAGCTTGAAATCTTCACTTTGAGAAATAATTACACAGAATATCAATTTAAATTCTAGTGAGTTGGTGGTTTTGAGCCGACAAGCCACATGTAGTGAACCGTTCAGGCCACCCCGTCTAGTGGACAGATGCAATGTACATTATTGAGAGTTTTCACTTCATTCTTTTGTCATCGAAGGTCTGTAAAATGTTTAAAATTCTAGGTGCATAGCATTTAATAGCAAACAACATCATTTTCATCTGGCCTTGTAACATATTATATTGATTTTTCAACAAAAATACACACATGGTACAAAAAATGATGAATTCTTCATTTTTTTTCTTCATGTTTTCGGGAAGAAGTTCCGCATTATTTTTCAGACAACGTTCAGAGTGTTTAATCCTGTATTCCACTACGGTATTGGTTTTGATAAACCGAAAAACGAACCGACAATGTACAAAAATAATCTTTAGCAACACAAAACACCAGAAGCTACAGCAAATTTTCTGGACTGAACAAGTACTATTTTTTTAAATAATAACATACCAGTCAACAGTCTAAGATTAGTTGAGCTTGGCTCATCAAGAGAATAACGGTGGAATTTAATTAGAACTGGCAAGAAAGTAAAGGGGTGAGCATTTCTTATTAAACTTCTACTCCAAACTTCAAAATATATCGGTAACATAACGACGTTCAAGCAATGAACTCAAAAGCAATTTTAGGTACCCTGCTGCTATAAAAAATCATATCTGGATTATGTAATATATACATTAATGGTTTCAGAAGGTGATACATTAGGCTATTGAAATTAACTTTTGAAAGTCTTTGCAATTATGACATTTGTTATTAACAGAAACTTTAGTTTGGGAAGAAAAAAAATCAAATATTCAAATCAAAATTGAAAAAGATTAAATACGGTACGTGTAGCATAGACAGGGGTATTGACGTAGAAGCAAAGCCTTTCAATAAATAAATGTCATCTAAGCTTTAGATATTTTCAGTTATACTTGAGCAATTTGTATAACATTTCTCATATTATAACGATCAAACCTGCTCCATCTTTGAGGGCCACAACAATACCATAAGTCCAGAAACTTTCGCGAATTCTTAACCCAATGGATAATGAGTCCACTCATTCCTGTAGGCTTCAACACAGGATCCATCAGTTTCCAGAGTCAAAGGGTTAAGGACAACCATTTCCACAGAAAGAAACTTTTGCTAATGCACAGATTTTGGGTTGTGTGGATTGTGATTCAATTAATGTCGTGGCATGAAACTTTTTGTGGAAATGAACCACTCACAAAAATTTGAAAACATTTCATGCGCGTGAAAGCTTCTAGTTTTACAAGGACAAACTATTTTCATGGACTATATCACTAGAACATCTACATATCAGTTTTCCTTTTTTTTTTTTTAAGAGCCTACTCTCTATACAGATCCAATTTATTCTTTTGTGGCCTCTAGTGAGCAGGTTTGACGATACATGTTATTTGGGTGTTCATTTTCTGCAAACACATTTGGCAGATTGGGGCTAAATCAACAAAAACTTAATGATTATGCATAAACTACAACTCAAGTATATATATGCTATGTCAAGAGTAAATTAGAGATTAAAACAAACATAAGTATTAATTGAAGAGATTGATTGAATTGTACTCTATTTTTCAGTGTTGAATAATCCTTTCATGTTTAGATGGCGGAGGGAACAAATTAAATCAATGACATGGTTTACACCAATTTTATACCAACATGAAAACCAATATATGAGACTGATCCAACACTTCACTGTCCATAGTGTTGAATATATTTAAGGCTCCCATTGCATTCACAAAATATGTGAACTCTTGATCTCACATATCAAATGAACATACATGTACTTGTAGCAGGTTAAATTTGGATGGCCTTCACAGGGCTTTTATTGGCTTCGTAGCATATCTTCTTGTATGAAGGATCACATCCCCAGAGTTGCACCATCTTGGTTGCTATGGTGATAGCTCCTGTCAATGCAGAATATATTGCTTGATGAACCTTTCCAGCTCATTGTCCAACCAGCCAGCTTTATTCCTGCAGTGAAAAGAATGGATATGACAAAATGCAACTTGATGAATATATATTCATGATTTGGATCCTGAAACCCCATTATGCTTTTTTTTCTCTTCACAAACACCATATTAATATTAAGTAGCCATGAACGATATAAACAAAATATACAGTATAGCCATAGATAACCACACATTTATATGTATAGAATCATCCCACATGTTACAATGTTAAATCTGTGTGACGGAATTCTTTTGAAAGCTGTCAAAATTAGTAACGCATTCACGATAAGCTTTTGCAACAATTCTCATTTTCTTGCTCAAAAGCAAAAAAGAAACTGTAATTTTCATTTCTTAAAAAAAATAGCTTCTATATGATAATACTGAATGAATTTTCTAGTACGAGTATGAGTCTGACAATCAGTTTAATACACGATTCTTATTTATTTATTTCATTTTTATTTATTCATCAAACTTCCAGGAACATACCATAAAAGATACAACATTAATTTAAAAACTTTGGTTATTGACGACAAAAGCATTAATCATACAGTATATAACATCATTTCTGCCATTTATACCGATATCACGACTGGTATTTTGTCTGGGCTTAGTAGCAACACATCACGTGTGGCTAAGGTTCTATCATTTTAAATGAATATTGCAAAATTGCAATTGCTCCTATCACACGTAGCTAATGTCAGATAGTAGCTCTAGATAGTTATATCTCGGACCAAGGTGCTGGGACACCTACATGTACTTCCAGGGGGGTGTTTCACAAAGATCGTAAGTTCAACTTATCTCTAAGTTGAACTTAACAATTATGGAAAGCCGTTAGCTTCTATCAAATATTTTGTAAAAGTTATTTTAAATGGCATAAAATGTTGATTCAAATCATTCATATTTTTTATCATCAAGGAGGATTCATGTTCTTGATGTGGAATTTATAAAAAGTCTAAAATACTTGAGTTTTCGCTTTTGACTATATTTTATTTTAAGGCTACAAATGGCTCTCCATAATGTTTAAGTCCAACTTAGAGTTACGTTTGACTTAGGATCTTTGTGAAACACCCCTATGGTCTATCAGCGTCACTATAACTACTTAACCGAGTGATTGCGCTGCTGGCTTTTGACATATTTTTGTCATGATTCTTCATCAGAGATTAAACATGGATTGACCTCATGACCAGTTTTGGAGAATGTCTGTGCAGCATTTGAAAGCATTTTGAATACATCTATCACAATATTGTTAAAGACAAGCAATATCAAAGGTGTGCATGAATAATCACACTGGTAGTATGCTCCCCAGCAAATAGGCTGATAAGCATGCCCCTCCCACCCCATGTTACAAGTGTGGGATTAAGAGAGCTAATGTATATGCAGTAGGGATTTTGTAATGACCCCTTGGTCTAACCACTCAAAGCATAGAGTCAATGCTTATTGACCTCTAGCGCTGGATAAGTGCTGAGAGGCATCAATTGCACACAATGCACACAATTGCACACAATGAATACAAAATGGCTGATCGGCAAGTTTGACAATAGACTCACGATCGATTTGAATATTCAAAGAATTTTTTATCACATCGGTAAATTGAAAAGATTGTATTTTACTGCTATCTAGGTGTCATAAATTGTCACTTAAGTACCGATTTTGAGTAAACTCAGTTGAGTTTTGTACAGTGGTGTTTGAAATTTTGAGAATCAATAGAGGTCGTCTGATCAGTTTTTAATACACAATAAGTATACTAATGCAGCTATGTATGGGTTTATAAGATGATGACGTGGATCCTAATCAAATGATTGGTTGAAAGCGTACACGTGACCAGGCATTTATTTTGCCTGATGCATAATTTGGATAATGACCGGTCATTAGTAAAATCATGTTATAAAACATCATTTTATAAAACAAATAAAACATAATCTTATAAAACAAACAATACACATCATTTTGTTCGGGCATTAGTAAAATTACCCACACTTGATACCTTCAAAACAGTCCAAACACTGTCGGCTACCGTCTCGGGCGTGTGAGACTGTTCCAAAGGTAGCTCGTGTGGGTAATTCTTACTAATGCCCTCACTGCTGTGTATTATCTGTATAATAACCAACCTCATGAGTTTAGCCTTGGTGATTAGGCCCTCCAGTCTCTTAGTCTCCACCTCCATATCAACAATCTCCTTCTCCAGGCTCTGCTTGGAGGTCTCCACCTCCAGGGAGAGACGAGCAAAGGTCCCCGACAGCTCCCTGGGAAAACAAAAGCACAGGTAAATGTTTAAAGGCATCGTTTAAAGGTAAAGACCAGTTTTGGAAACACCCCCCTCTCAAAAAATGAAATGGAAGCTCTTATTACCAATCATGTGAAAGAATATGTTTTGACTAATACATGATGATAAAAACCGCCTACTAATTGATATATTTGGTAAATTAGTTTATCTATTGGGACCAAATAGATAATACGCATGTGTGCATAGTCCCATATACATCTTTCTGTGTACAGTGTTTGTAACTTTACGAAGAATGGGTCAAATTTCTTATCATTTTGATGATTCCAGAACCTTGCAGTACTCACCAAAACTTATATGCTAGATGATCAACCTTTTCTGATCTATTTCACAACGTTTCTTTCACAATGCAATCGCATGACCAGAACTGGTCTTTATCTTTAACAATGTTAAATCTGAGATGCATGTCCCTACGTGTTATCAGTGTCTGTGATATGGTGTAATATTAAAGCCCTACAAAAAATTGTGCTTCAACATGATCATGAAGTGCCTCAAAAAAGTATGAATCTTTGAGTGACTGGTTTTACCATACTCATTTTCCCCAATAGACTGTAGTGTTATAAAAACTGTTGGGAAAACAGACAATTTGATTTCAATTTCCAATCATAAAATTTTGATAATCAGACAGGCGATCGATCGGCTTGTTAAAGTAATGGGGTTCCTGACTGACCTAAAGGTTAATAATTATCATTGCAGCATGAGCTAAATCTAGGATTTTGTTTCAGAATCTGAGGCAATGTTACCGAGTCACTTTAACCCTTCATGTGCCATTTTAACGCCATATCTCGTCGCAACATTGTATTTCTCGTGAGACTAATTCACCAAAAACTTCAATTTGGTTAGTGTTCTCTTGTACATATCATAAGCTATATGGGTGGAACATGTAAGCCTGAGTTGTTTTAGTGTGTAAACTGCACCCAAACACGATGATAGGGTTCCATTATGAAATGCTCTACATGGGTTTAAAAACTAAAAGGGCTTGTAATGTAACTAACCAAGACACGGCTTAAGTTGGGCTGTTTTTCAAAAGGTTATGTGTTGCACAGATCATTCAAGGCAAATTGGCTCTGGTGGCATATACATTTGTAATGTCCACAAATACAATATTTTTTGTTTAGTGGAAAAGAGTAAGCAAAGAGGCAGAGGATGTGTAAGTTTTATTCCTGGTTTTGATTTAATATTTAAAAAAAAAAAAATTTTGGCATTTTAAAATTTTACTCCATGGATATGGATTTCTACAAAATAAGTATTTGTCATTCTCCATGTCAAAGGAGTGACAAGCAAAGGTTCCCCACAGCTCACTGCATAGGAGGAGAGAGAGAGCAATATCTATTCATAGAAGTAACCATTGAACCTGATGTTTGGACTATACCGGCATGGAAACCCTAACAAACTGAACAAAATAATTTTAGGCTTAGGCAGGTCAAATTAGGCTGGTCAAATAGTCTTTGCTGTACTGACCAGCCTTCAGTAGTTAATTTCATGCCTTTGGATTTGACCAGTCAGAGGTTTAAACTATCAATATAATAACAACCATTACTCACTGCTGTATTTGATGGCTGAGGTTGGAGCTAGTGAAGCTAACAAGAAGCTTGAGCTTGTCTGAGGCATATTCAACAAACTGCTTCTTGAAGATTCTCTCCTTGGCACGGTTTGTCCATGTCAGTCGCTCGTATGCGTACACCACACCGTAGAGACCACCCCCTACGACCAGTACCCTCCAACCTACGGACTTCCAAACCTGGGATGGGTGGGGAAGGAAGATAAACAATGATTATTGATGATGAAGATCATGATGACGATGACGACGACGATGATTGGTGAAGATGAAGATGATGATGACGATGAAGATGATGATGACGATGAAGATGATGATTGGTGGTGATGATTGGTGATGGTGATGAAAATGATGATTGGTCATGATGATTTTGATGATTTTGATAATGATAATGATGATGATGGATGATGGATGTTACTACTTGTAGTACTATGTATCTATCTATAACAACAACAATAACAGTGCTCTCTTGTATAGTGCTCATGCAAGGTTCCTGGCACTCCAAGAAAGAGAGAGAGAGAGACAGGAGGAGGTTAAGAAATAGAGACAGAGGGGGAGGGGAGAAGGCAATAAAGAGAGGGGGAGGAGATAGATAGAGCTAAAGAGGGGGGGGGGGGAGAAGGAGATAGAGAAAGGGAGAGGAGATAGACAGAGAGGGAAGAGAGAAGGAGAAGGATATATAGAGATAGAGACAGATATATATATATATATAGTCAAACCTGCTTTAGTGACGTGTCTACAACAAGCACATTATTTGTTTCCCTTGAAAATGGTTTCTCATTGAAATACATACTAGAGGAACCTGTCTACAACAAGCATATTTTTTGTTTCCCTTGGACGGTCGCTGTAGACAGGTAAGACTGTATATATATATATATATATATATATATATATATATATATATATATATATATATGCCATGATACTTACTATGCCACTGATGATCATGAGTCCCACTGAGGTTCTTGAGTAGAGTGATGCTATGCCAGACAGCATGGCCACCGTCATGTCAGCGGAAGAAGGCCCCTCTGTCACTGTTACCCCAGGAGGGAGGTTGCTGGGCACCTACAAACATACAACGGATCAAGTGTCAATCAATACATTCAATAGTAGTATACAAACGATGCATGCGCATGAGTTCATTATACAATTGAATATATCCGCACGATAACCGGTCGAGACTGTGTGTATCTATCGCACAAAAAACCGCTAGGCTGAGTGCGATAGAAACACACAGCCTCAACAAGCGCGTATAGATCGTATAATGAACGAATGAAAAAATGCATACAAATAAACTCCTAGAACTCCTAGATCCTTGTTATTCGATGTAAAAAGATTTCATTCAAAATTGTTTCGTGACAGTATGGCTGACAAATAAATCTCAAGTTTAATAGGCTTAATTTAGTGCACACATATAGATAAGCGCACTTGCCTCTCTATACGCATTTACGCATAGTGCTGCCCATGAAGGAGGTTGGTGGTTGAACCTTACAAAGAATCCAAATAAAAAAAAAATACAAACAAGAAGAAGAAGCAGAAGAAGATGATGATGAAGAAGAAGGAAAAGAAGAAGAAATTGTGATTCAAATGCAATTCTTGAACTAGGAGGCTCACAATACTCTGGAATTTGATAGTACTCTCCATCAAAACATTTGGGGCCTTAACCACAAATATTTCACAAATCTCAGTCTTCAGATATATTCCTATTACAATTTCTTTCAAAATACATGTCATACACGTGTTGTGATGTGTGCAATGGCCTAATGGGATTATTCTCACCATTCCCGTGAGGCCAGCAAGGGTGGCTCTGGTCCCCCTCGGTCCCAGAAATCTGTTCATGATGGCAGTCAGACCCAGTGAGAAGCGGAATTCAATATTCTCCTTAAAGTCGGCAAAGAGGTGCTGGCAGTCGAGACGGTAGCTGAGATCAAAGTCCCTGCGGAAGAGGAGACCCTCGACCCTCTCCTTTGAATCCCCGGGTAAGAGGGCAGACAGACGTTCTAACAAAAACAATTATAATTGATTCTTTAATAATGATGATGATGTTAAATGATAATAATAGCAAAAATTATAATACTAATAATTACTAATAATAACTACAACAACATAAAAAATAATAATGATAATAATAACAATAATTAAAAATAAAAATAATATTAAAAATAATAATAATGATAATAATAATGATAATAGCAATAGTATTAAATTTCATACTGTTACTTCTTGTATAGTGCAAATGTCATCATGACATTATGTACGATGTTAAATCTGGGATGCATGGCCCTTCGTGTTATCCGTGTCTGTGATATGGTGTACGGTAATATTAAAGCCCTACAAAAATTGCGCTTCAAAATGATCACAAAGTGCCTCAAAAATTAAAAATCTTTGAGTGACCGGTTTTTACCATACTCATTTTCCCCCAATATACTGCAGTGTTAGGAAAACCGTTAGAAAAACTAAAAACTGAAATTTCGATTTTCAATCCTAAATATCTTAATAATCAGACAGGCGATCAGCTTTTAAAAGTCATGGGGTTCCTGACTAGCCTAAAGGTTTATAATTATGATTGCAGCATGAGCTAAATCAAGGATTTTGTTTCAGAATCTGAGGCAATGTTACAGAGTCATTTTAATAGACAAAATACTGCTACATGTGTAGCTCTGTGGAAGCTCTGCGGGGTATCCTCACTGACCTGTCATCTGTGTTTGGACCTCCTCTACTGACTGTTTGATATTAGCTGAACATCTTGCTGCTAGGTTCTGACCAAGACCTGCTTCCACGTGCTTCTGAAGCTCCTAAAAGAACAAAAATATATAACGATGAATGATGATAATAATATAATGATATGTCCATTTATGTCGTGCAGCTACTTATATGAATATACTCTTTTGTGCTTAAAGGTATAGACCAGTGTTGGAAACGCTCCCCTCTCAAAAAATGAAATGGAAGCACTATTACCAATCATGTGTAAGAATATGTTTTGACTAATAATATTAATTTACATAGTGCGTAATAAACTGATCTTTTTTTTAAAGCACTCAACAATGTAAACAAAAAAATCAGAATACACTTGAATGCTTTGGAAATACTCAAACAGCAAATATCCATAAAAGATAAAAGATAATGTACTACACTGGGATAATAAAAGCATTAAACACCCCACACACTAAAAACGACATTCAATTCCTTTAAACTTTCAAGAGAAGGTTGAGTTCTGGGAAGAGGTGAAAAATAATTTGTGAGCGTTATCATTGTTATTATGCTAGTGTGGAAGAACATCAGATAGAACATGTTCCCTGAAAAGCATGGCTCTTCAAATGCTTTCATATTCTAAGTATGGCATGTAACATCGTAAACATCGGGACAGATTTTTACGCCACGTGTTCGTGTAGTCCCATATACATCTTTCTGTGTACAGTGCTTGTAACTTTACCAAGACTTGGCCAAATTTCTTATCATTTTGATGATTCCACAACCTTGCTATACACACGAATACTTATATGCTGGATGATCAACCTTTTCTGATCGATTCCACATCGTTTCTTTCACAATGCAATCGCATGACCAGAACTCAACTTCATCTTTAACATTATTAAGTTTTCTCTTCTACTGGTAACCTACCTCCTTGTAGACTTGAACCACTAATGATTCAGGATGGAAAGGTTTATCAAACTGATCCACCAGCAGGGATAATCTCCTGATCTCATCTGTCATGGTAGCCGATACCTACAAACCAAAACACCGTAAATCAATAAAAGATGGAGAGATTTTGAAGGGGACATTCTTCATCTTTAGGCTAAAGTCAAACGCCACAAAGAGCCATGTGCCTCATTGTAGCAACTTCAGATTAATTACAATCAATTAATACAGTTCATCACAATGGGTGTGTTATTGGATAATCTGGGGGGTGTTTCACAACACTTGTCATCAGTATAAAATGACAGTTTTTGTTATAAGCTACTGAAATCCTTGCTTCTGATTGGTTATCAGCAGATTTGTCACTGATTTTTGTCATTTGTCATTGAAGAAAGGCATTGTGAAACAGGTCCCTGATCTCACCTATCACGGTAGCTGTTACCTAGAAACCAAAACACAATACATAATCTCCTGATTGCATCTATCGTTGCAGCTTATAAAATGCTAACGAAAATCACGAGGCCAGAAACCCTATGTCACTTATAGTGGTTGTTATTTTACCTGACTGCTAAGAAAGCATAAATGCTCAAAGGGTCAAAGGTAACCTAATAAGCTGGTAAAACTATGGTAATGTTTCCAGGCTTTCACTCCTTTGTCAATATTCTACACTGAGTCAATTCTTAAATAAACCATGAACCAAGCTCTACATCTAATCCTAAAACTAAACCTCACCCAATTTCAACCCATACACTGACCCTATATATTCGACAAAATAAAGCCCAGAGTAACTGTAGCTGTAGCTAATGTGAGGGGACCCCTACTGGATATGGCTGTGATCAGCTTGATAATTATACCGATTGTTCAGAGATGTCTTTAATCCTCTCTTTCCTCTCAATTGCAAACCTAACCTTAAATTTAACACTAAACCAAACCCTTTATCTAGATGATAAAATAAAACATGGAGGAGAGATTGCTGCTAAAACAAATGTCAGGTCAACCTTTGGCGGGTATGATATTGGTGAGCTTACCTTTAATTCCAATTTTTTAAAGAGGTTTGTAATTCTCTCTTTGTGCTCAATTATAATACTAATGCCTCAGTCACACCTATGCGTATTTGGCTTGCGTATTGCTGCATATTTATGGCGAGCTGTTTCAACATATATTCCTATTTCTTGATATCAAGAAATGAATTCTTGATTTAAAGAAATCAAATTCTTGATATCACGAATTACCATTGCTTTACAACAGAAATTCATTTCTTGATATCAAGAAATAGGAATAAATGTAAAAACAGCTAGCCGTAAATATGCAGCAATACGCAAGCTAAATACGCAAAGGTGTGACTGAGACATAACCTTGAATCTTTGATAAAGTAAAGCTCAGAGCAATTGTTGCCAGACCGAATGCCAGCCGATCCCTAGAGAGTATGGTAGTCGTATGCTCACCTTTGATTCTGATTGTTCAGAAACATCTTTAATCCTCTCTTTGCTCTCTAAGCTCAGTATCTTCATCTGATCCTTCAGGTAGTCTAACCTATCGTTCTGATCCTTGCGCTTCTCGATGCAGGCCGCTCTGTATCAACAAAGGAAAAGACGTAAATGGACTGAATGTCTGAATTTGCAAAAGGCCTCAATTCATTGTTGAAACATGCCTAATACTATACCGTATGCAGAGCCAGAGTGTTTCAGTTAAAGGCATCGTTTAACAATGTTAAATCTGAGATGCATGGCCCTACATGTTATCAGTGTCTGTGATATGGTGTAATATTGAAGCGCAAAAAAAGATTGTGCTTCAAAATGATCACGAAGTGCCTCAAAGAAGTAACAATCTTTGAGTGACCGGTTTTACCACACTCATTTCTCCCAATAGACTGTAGTGTTATAAAAACCGTTGAGAAAACAAATTCTGACATTTCTAATTCCAATCATAGATATCTTGATAATCAGACAGGCGATCGGCTTGTAAAAGGCATGGGGTTCCTGACTGACCTAAAGGTTTATAATTATGATTGCAACATGAGCTAAATCGAGGATTATATTTAAGAATCTGCGGCAAATCTGAGACCAAATAATCAGTCCAGTGACTATGGAGCTCTTGTCAATCTCTTTATCCTGTACAACTTACCAATATTTTTTTAATAAATCAAATACAAACAACTTGTGACTATAAAATTTATTTCTCATTTTCATTTTGTGACAAATTTTGTTTTGGTCCATAATTTCAATATTTTACAGCAATTGAGGGTTGGAACTTTACCTTCCATATATCAGTGGCCGAAGTTTAGCCAGGTTTCACTTTATAGGCCCCTCAATGCAGACAACACGGAACGATTGTCACTGGACCAACTGTCAGAGCACAGACTAGTGATTGGCCATGATATGGGGTATGACTTTACGTTCAGGCTTTATTTCATCAAAGGTATAGGATTAGTATCAGGGTTGCGATTGGGTTTTAGGTTATGTTTAGGGTTCGGGTAAGGTTTTGGGTTGAAGTTGAGAATTTGATTAATGCATGAATCCAACAAGGGGAGTAATTGGCACAAGAGTATGTGATAAACAACCGCCAGATGTATTCTTTTGTTAAAAGCTGCTGTTTTATATGCTACTTCATTTCGTTAAGCTACTTCAATCCGACTTCAGTTTATTGCTAACCTCTTTTTGGTAGCTGCTTCTAAGACCTGTGATAGAATCTCCTGTGTGTAATCGACAATCTGTCTGCCTTGCTTAGCATGCTGCTCAAACTTGGTTCTCACAGCAGTCTGGGAAATACATTCCTGTACCATGCAAAAAATAAAAGGAAAATAGGAAGAAAATGTTGTGTTAAAGGTACTACATGTATGTCCCATTTGCAGGCCAAAAAAATGAAAAGGTTAAATTCCAACAGCATTTGAAAGTAAATACTAATTTAGAACTTGCCTAAAAAAAGGGGGGCTTGAAAATGTCTTTAAGTGGGAAAATAACGACTATTAGTTGTCGAATAGACTTAGGAGCTAATAGAGCCAGTAAGTAATAGTCTGATTTTTAGACCATTGTACCGAATGCTCGTACGTTTTATGCTGCGCAAAGATTCAATCAATTTAATTTTGGCCATTACAAGAAGAGGGTTATTGATGTAGACAAATGCTCATGTACCCTTTATAGCTCATTTTATGTATGTTATTACCAAAGAAGAAAAACGGCCAGTTTGTCACTCAATAGTGTCTGACAGTGAAGTCTAGCAAGTTAACGGGTTCCCTTGATAATTTGAATATAAGGACGCTGCTAACGTTTAATTTCACAGATAGGACATCCATGACATATTCATAATTCCTGCAAAGTTCTACAGAATTTGATGTTGGCTGCAAAAGGGACATAGTATCTTTAAGACATATAAGAAAACTGTAATTCATGTTAATGTAAATGGGCAATTCTGTGCTATGTGCCCTGTACGGCATATGACATTCATGCATATATTTCAGCCAGGAATGAAAAATATCTAGCTATTGCTGTGACTGATGGTGTTATGATACCAGAAAAAAAACATAATTCAATGAACTTATCAAAGACTATTTTTTTTTGGAATGAAATACGAGGAAAAAGGACATATGCTGTATTATATGACGCATTGGCATTGCATAGAATTGCCCAAACATGACATGGGCATGTTTTCTTTGTCAGTAGTTTGAATGATGCAATAATATGATGCAATAATAGTAGTAGTCTGTTTTTTTAGACACTTTCCACTCTGAAAGGGGAGTGGAAGAACATGAACAGGTAGAATGCTAGGTCCATAAATGTAGACATAATTTAATACATACAATTATGACTTTCTCACATGGATCTTCCCCATCAAGAAGTTATTTGTTATTGTTCAAAATACTTTCACTCTTTATAGGCCGTCTGTACTAGTTTGGCTAGGGGAGATTAAACCACCCAGAGTGGTCACTGACAGGTGGCTATCTCATCGACTCAGCTCTCAATTAACATAAGAAAAAGAGGATCATGGGGAACCAGTGGTCACCAATTAGGCATTGTTTTCTATATAGAGAGAGCAAGTACATGCAGCTACAAGTAGTACAGTGGGGCTTTAAGGCACTAAATGCTTCAAGTGCAAGCAGTGGAGGTGTGGTGATAAACTGGTTCATTAACTTTCTTTCAATTCTTTCAATCCAAGGGTAGAGGGTCGGGACTAACGTTACTTGGCAAGACATTATTCAACATTTGACACTCTCTACCCAGGTGTGGATGGGTACCTGGCAATTGCTGGGGTAATAAGAATTCCAGAGTCCTCAGGTAGAACAATATTAATTCCGATAAGGCTTTCCTGGGTAAACAAAATCGTTTCACTCTTCAATGACAATCAGCGACAAACTCACCTCAAATTTTCTCTCAAAGTTCTCAAACTCAAACAACCTTGCCTGGTAACCTTCAACAACTGGATCTGGATGAAACAATCATAGAAAAAATTGTGATGTTAGAAAAGACAAACAAATGAATGGATGATAATTAATGGCCAATAACTAACTACTGCTACTTCCATTCCTACTTGTAATTAGTTGTGAACATGTGCAGTGAAGCCCCATGATTATCTAAATACATTATTATGGATGCTGCACTGTAATCCAAAAATACTCTTGTGCCAAATTTTGTTGTTGCCAGTGCAGACCCAGGGTAAACAATCTCCATTCCTTTCCAAAGAATACCAATACTGATAATACAGACATCAATGATTTGTGTAGGTATATATGTATGTAGTATGGTTTTTTGTTGTGTGTGTGTGCGGGGGGCCCCCATCTATAAGCAACATGCTGTTTTGTGGCCCTGGCTATATATTATTTTTGTATTTTGTATGTTTTATGTATTTTTTTTTGTTGTTGAATGTTTTGCTTTTATATGGTTCAATAAATTCAATTCAATGATTCTCCAAGAAATCAAATGCGACATACTTGCATCTGGGGTAGACAGGGTCTTGGGTATCCTGGAGTTAAGGGCCTCCTTGGCCGACACAAAGAACACCCGATCCTTGGCTTGCGCTTCAGTCATAACTTTGAGCTCTTCCACCAAGAATTTGACATCCCTCTCCAAATGTTGCCTCTTCACCTGTTGTATCAACCAAGATAAGATTCAATTAAATTAAATTCAAACAAACATTTATTTTCTTCGATTAAATCTGACAACATATTTGACATCTGTTCAAACAATACAATTTATAAGTAGGAACATAAATATAATTTAAGAACTTGTATTACAAAGAAGAAGGCGCAAATCCCGGTAAGCTTAGCTTGTAATGGGTACGCCCGAGTACACAAATACATAATATACATTATTAATTGAAGAAAGGAAGAAAGAGATAGGCAAGGAGGAGAAGAGGATAGAGAGCTTGGAGAAAGAGAAAAGAACAGTCACACTGATGAGATAAACGACAGACTGTCAACAAACAAATTTTTTTTTTTATCATCCTGATTAAAACCAATGACAGATCGTCAAAAACGTTTTTTTAAATAAAATTATGCTGATTTAAAACCAATGACAGATCAACGACAATTTCGTTATTAGATCATCCTCATTGGCTAGAAATCAGTTGATTTTAATTTGGTTCGGGGTCGGATTGTGACTGAGGTATCAAGAAAAGGCAGAACAAAATTGTGGCAAATGAATGTGGCCTAACCAAGATTTCTATACTCACCGCTTCCATGAACTCTGGTTCATTCGCGGAGGCATCCCATCTGTTGTTCAGAATAAAGATGTTGGGTTTGGAGAGCTTCTCACTTACTTTGTGAAAGAAGCTTTTCTCCTGCAGAAGAATTTTGAAGGAAAACAAATGAAAATATCATCAAGACAGGTTCATCAATATGAAAAACCAAACCAAATTGATGAATATGCTTTCTACTGTTCACATAAGAATGGACTCATAACACCAGGGCCCCATTTCACAAAACTTGTCATCAGTGACAAATGAGAGTTTTTGTTATAAGCTACTGAAATCCTTGCTTCTGATTGGTTATCAGCAATTTTGTCACTGCTTTTTGTCATTTTTCATTGAAAAAAGGCTTTGTGAAACGAGTCCCTGGACAAAGACATTAGCTTCCATTAGACGAGTGCTCATCCAAAATTCATCCAAAACATTACAAAGGAAAATACTTGGCATATGTTATGATTTATTTTTTCTCATAAGGTAACCCCAAAATAGAAGAAAAAAATGAAACACATTTTAATCCAATGTTCAATAAATGATAGATATCTTGTCCTATTATCAAATGTTTAAGTTTAAATAAAATTGTAAGCTGCACTATTTTTCAAAATGTTTGTTAATCAAGACTTTCATTACAAAACATGCGAGCTAGGAAAAGATATATAAATACAACTTTTGTTGTAATGTTTACAATAAAAAAATTTCTCCATCATTTATCCATTACATAAAAATTAAGATAATAATCATCTTACTGTTCTCATGAGAGTAGACTCTGCATTTAAGACCAAGACAAAGACATCAGCATCAACGCAGTGCGTGTTGATCCATTCATCCAAATCCTGTTCTACATCTATTCCAGGACTGTAAATGTTGAACATAGAGAGAGAGAGAGAGATGGAGAGGGGAGGGGACATAGGGAGGGAGAGAGAGACAGAAATAAAGAAGAGAGAGAGAGAGACAGATAAAGGAGGGGAGAGAGACAGACAGAGGGAGAGAAAGGTGCCAGAGAAATAGATGGGGGGGGGGGGGAAAAGAAAGAGGAAATAGAGAAAGAGAAAGAGAAAAAATATTGTTATCGAGTGCATAAATTTGATGTTGTCCAAAATACATGACACTATAGTGATTTTTGTTTAAATGTCATTGAAAGTTTAAGAATATGGGTGCTTTTAGTGCACTTACCCATTAAAAAATGCTCAGTGCAAAATATTTAAAGGCTAAAGTCTATAGATAATGTGTATACTTTTTTAATAAAAACTTGGATTTAACAGGTTAAAAAGTCAAATTGTCCCTCACCATTTTGCCTACTATGCTCCGATCATCCCTCTCAAGTGCCCTCTGACAAATAATTATGGGTTTCATTTTTATTCAATACCCTTTGCCCTATTCCATTGGACTAGGGATCTCAACAAACTGTTTTCACAGGGGTCAGACCTAAACAAATTGAGAGTCTGTGCATTAAAGCTCAAAAAGAAAAACTGGGGAGGGGGGAGGAGGGGGGAGAAGGGCATTCTTAGATTGAAGGCACCGGTTTGAGCCAAGCCCTGGCTTAAGGCTCGTTTAGATATGACGTAGCAAAACTGTAGCAGCTTGTTTATCATAAAGTTATTCGCTTCACATTTCTGTATGTTATGGTCAAGGGTCAAGGGTCAAGGGTCAAGTTCTCACCTGTCGAGCAGGACCACATCATTCATGAGAAGATGGCACTGCGTCTTGGGCCAGAAGATGTGAAGAATGCTACTCTGCTGACACTCCTCGTGGTCACGCTCTCCTGCCAGCGCATGGGCTAACTGACTCACAGACTAAAAATAGGTTTCAACAACAACAACAACAAATCTTTCAATTAAAGAGAAGGTCAAATTTAAAGAAGACCTGATATCTTTATCGAATCAGGGAATTTTCGACATACCTAATAAATTATTGACTAGTTCATGTAGGCTATACATGTATATAATGTTTAATTTTGGTTAAAGCTGATACTCTAAGACAATCCCAAATACTGAGATAATTACATAAATAGAAAGCTTTTAACCCCCATAATAACACAAAATGGTGTCCACCCGACAAAACAAGTTTAGAATAATGAATTTATTCGAGTAAACTCTACCAAAATATCTAAGTCTGAAACCCGGAAGTGCACGTAGAGTCGGGCCTCTATCCGTGACGTCACGAACGGGAGTCATGGGCTCAGTAAGAGTGAATGGCAGTGATATCCCTACGTAAATGCTATCCTGTCAGAGCTTAGATTTGTTGTTGTTAAGGAGTATATTTGATGGATTTTCTGTTTTCATTTGAATGAAGAATAACGAAGCAACATTTTCCAGTCGCTGATTTCTTTTTATATCCTCATATTCACCTATTTGGTAGAGATTTAAGACGAGTTTACTGCTTAGGAATTAAAGTTAAATCGTGCACTTATGAATAGGCGGATGCATTATAAATTATTGTCATCAGATGTACATGAGCAGTTTTGTAAAACGAATAGGTCTAGAACTATGATAGTACTTATCATAGATGTGTGTGACTGCCTCAAAAAAGGATACAGTACCAGTTAAACATTTTATGTTGTAAAATATCAAACTTGAACGAGATCATGCAAGCGCGCTTCCTCTATAATATTTTGGCGAGTGATGCGGCTCTTGCATGAACGTTCGTGGAGCGAGCAGAATTGGGAGGTAAGACCAAGCCGCTGCTCTAGGCACTGCTTGCTTGTGATGGAACGTACGTGCGCTAGTTATATGTTTATCGGCAATTGCAAGAGAATGAAAGTGACGTTGCCAGCTAAGAAAAACAACTAACAAAGACTTGCTCCTGACTACCGGTGTCAGAATTGGTAGATGAAGGATTTTCAGGGCCAAGGAAGGCGAAAGACATGGGAAAAAGGAAGAAGAAACCATCGGGAGATCGCTGCAGTGTATGGTAATGAACTGTGCATGGGTAGACAGCTACTGTTCACTCCGTGCCTGGGCCGATTTCAACACCAAAACAAAAATTACATGGTGAAAATATCGACTAATAGCACATCGTTGGCATGTATATGTCATAATTTTTAAAAGGGGAATTGATATTAATACTATGAAGTACTAGGGGAAGGTAAAGAATTGTACATAGAATTATGATTTATTAGACTTTTCAGCCTTTGAAACAAAAATATGCAGAAAATCGTATCACTCTGCACATGTTTGCTATGGAACATCCAGGTACGTGAATATACTCTCTCCCGGACGTGAGGTCATAAATAGTAGACCAGCGTCGTGACTGATTTTCTATGCAAAGAGAGGCGGATATTTTAGACATTTCAATTGAGGATTTCGAGTAGACAGAATTTTTTTGTGATATACTAAGTAATTGAAAAACTTAAAAATAACATATACTTGCCGTAGGTAACAAATTAAGGGACATTTATTTGCTTAGAGTATCAACTTTAATGTCTTTTGGTGTCTGTGCGTGTGTGTGTATGATTAGCATGTGTATTTTATGAATATTCAACCTAGGTAGTTGTTCTGGGTTATATTTCTTGTCCAATATGTGCATATCTCTCTTTTGCTCACTATGAGCATAACTCTGGGCTTTTTTTTCCTTCTTCTTCATTTCCATGTATGTGATCATTATAAACTCCTTGCCCTGCCTTGCATCTGCCAGTTTACTGACAGTGATGGCTAAGTCTTTGTTTTGTTTAATTTAATTTTCTTTAATTTTCACTTTCTCAGAGCTTGTTTTGTCAGCTCATGTAACCTTCCTACCCTAGACTTTTCAATATGGACCCCTGAGATAAAACTTGATGTGAAGTCTTGAGCCATTCCATATGCTCATGTGGTCCTTCACATCCCACAACCAACACTAACATGGGTCAGGGGCCTGTTTCATAAAACTTGTTATCTATAACAACTGTTAAATTTCCATGACAAATTTGCTCTCAGCCAATCAGATGCCATGATTTCAGTAGCTTATAACAGTAGCTTGTAACTTGTTATTGATATCAAGTTTTATGAAACAGGGCCCTGAGCTGTCTCGTCTGCTCATGGTTCCCTCCTGCCCTCAAATCCATCATCCTTAAGGGCTAAACCTTAATACCGGCCTGGCAAGTATGCCCCCCCCCCCAATCTCCACATTTGTAAGGACCCTCTGTTCGCTCATTGCAACAGGAACCGGGTGGACCTGGGGGGGCATTTCACAGAACTTGTCATCAGTGACAAATGACATTTGTTGTTATATGCAACTGAAATCCTTGCTTCTGATTGGTTATTAGCAGATTCGTCACTGATTTTTTTCATTTGTCACTGAAAAAAAAAAGAAGCTTTGTGAAACGGGTCCCTGTACCAGTATCTAGCTCATCGCAATGGGAGAATTCAGTATTCAGCAGGTTAAAGCAGATAGTACACTGTCCTGCCTGACCACCCGGGTACTTACAGTTATACTCATTTTCTCCGAGCTGTTTTGTCGGCTCATGTAACCCTCCTGCCCTTCGCATCCCTCGACACACAGGAAGCAGTCTGTGGTGTGGCCGATTCCAGAGGGCAGCACCTTATCCCGTAACATCGCGTTGATCACTGTACTCTTACCGTTACTCGTTCTGTAAAAGATTCCACACATGTACATGTCAATCTCCTCCATGTTTAAAAAAAACTTGGGAATGTTAGCACGCCTCAAATGCATGGACATGTAGTTTTTGTACACATCTATTCAATTCAAAGTCAAATTCAATAGTTTTTTTTTCTTCTTCATAAACCATGCCTCACACAGAACATTTCACATGAAGTTAAACACAAGCTGATTAGCATCTCATACAGCAAGAAGGCCATCAGAGCTATGTATGTATTGTCACGGCAGTAACATCCTTCTTGACGACAGCCAATGATATGAAAATAAATGCATTGTCTTTATCACTAGCATTGTGTATATCGCTACCATCATCATCATTGTCATTATCATGATCATCCTTGCAATTGTCATTGTCAATGTCAATGTAATTGGCATTGTCATTCTCATTGTCATTCTCATTGTGGGGTACCCTCGCTAGTCATAAGGACCACTATTCATAACATGTAACTTCCCATACGTGAACGACCACACTCGTACGCGGTCCTTATGAATAATGACCCTTATGAATAATGAACCTTTTCTCAAATTATGAATAGCAGTCCTTAAATTTAATAGCGTTCCTTATGAATAGTGAGCGGACCCCCTCATTTTATCGTCATTGTCATTGACATTCTCATCGTTATGTCTTTGTCATTGTCATTATCGCTGCCATTGTCATTGTCATTGTCTTTGCCACTGTCATCGTCATCATCAACAGCATTCTCATTGTCATTGTTATTTGTCATTGTCATTATCACTGCCATTATCAGTTACTCTCATTCTCACCTGCCGAAGAATGCTACTTTCATGTGGTCTCTCTCCAGGACATCTTGGATCCCTCGAACTTGGTTTCTGAATGATTCTACCTTACTCAGCTGTTCTTCGGATACCACCTGGGAGGCTGCAGAGATGCCTACACAAAATCAAAAGGAAGATGTAATATTGATGGGTATGGCACAATGTCCAGTGACAATTGCTCAGCAGCCATTTTTACATAGCTTCTCTGATTTCTCAGTTTACTTTTAATGTAATTGGCCATTAAGTTTTGATTTTCATTTTCATCATACTACCAACTTTAACCCCAACCTTATGAAAAAGCTTCATCACAACCCCAATCCTGACCTTTCTATTTTCTTTTTCGATAAAGCCCAAAGCAGATGTAAGTGACTAGAGCATATTTCATAAGACTACAATGTCTTTTGTCAGCAATTAAATAGCCCACTGGCTAGAATTAAGGAATCATAACAGTTCAGGTAGGGACTGGGCACAAACTTTGAGAATCCAGTCCTTGGCTTGAAATGCATGGTAGTGAAACTGATTTGCCTACGATAAATTATTAATTCATGTTGTACTGAATAGGCATATTCATACATGTCTCTCAAACTCTACATTACTTGAGAGCAGCACTTAAATATCCCTTCCCCCAAATGAAAAGGAAAATAACGAAATAAACTAAATCAAAATTGATAATAAGGGGCATGGGCCGATCACTATGGTCTTCTAATATTCACAAACAAAATGGAGGAATTTAGTGAAGTCTCACCGTCCAGGAATACATGGCTGTCTGTGATGTGACCCGACACCTCCTTGTAGATTTCATTAATCTTCCTCTTGGCATCAACAAAGAGTCTGAGTGGGGTGCTGCTTCGACTGTCTTCCGGTCTAGCCATTGCACTGGGCCTGCGCCCATATCCATTCTCCATGACAGACAAGGCCTGGAGGCTGTAACGTGTAACATGTACAACACAGAGAAGGTGTCAAGCCATAATTTTTTTTATATTTTGTCTTCAATAACCGTTAAAGGCATGATAAAAATAATTCAATATAATATTCATTCTTTCAGTCTGATTAATGCTTTACTAAATAAATGTGAATTATAGTTTGCTTTAATTAGTGAAGGACTTCTAATAGGCCTTTTTTCAGAGTAAAAAGCGTCTGTGGATCCGAAATTCCTGGGGCCCCGTTCCTCGAAACCAACAAGACATTCATAACTTTATCCGCCAACTTCGGAGATGTCTCTGATCTTCCTAAACCGTTTCACAAAGAGCTTACCAGTACTACATGTAGCTAGACATCTTGTGAAATTGATACTATCGGCGAGATGACGAGCCATGACATAGCCTTAGTTGCAATTCCACCGGATTTAAAAAAAAAGTAATTTTAGGAAAACTCCAATTATTCAAGTGAATTCAGATTAAAAAATATTGAAAATGGTACTAGAAAGTAAGAGATGTAATTTTCCTTAAAATGTTTAGTAAAACATACCATAGAATTACTTGTAAAATATAATTATGAGTATTTCATTTCATGACCGGTGAATCAGTTTTGTTTTTTAGATGGGTACCCCCCGGATATTTTCATTTGATAGTTTATAAAAATACACCCTTATAATAGTAAAAATACAATGTTTTGAAAGTTTTTTCCAATGTTTAAGGCATCAGTACAATATTCAAAGGACGAAACTTCACATTCCAAATGTTAAAACATATGTTTTAAACTATTCATTTTACACATTAGAAGATAGAATTTATCTTGAAAGCTATTTGGGTCTGAAAACTAAAGAATACACTTAGAACTATGGCTTGCCTGCCGTGGGAGATTACCTGTCCCTTCAAGGATTTTACAATATGGAAATAAACGTGTATAATCAGTTTATAAAAGTAGGAAAAGCCCAAGATATAAACATGGCGTATTTTCAAAATATTTTCTAATATAAAGAAATGATACCTTCCTGTTTAAGTGAATGTGTAGAAAGATCTTAGCTGGAGGATTTCTTGTCCTTTTTGCTAGCCAAAGTCTACCCAATAAATGACATGTGATGGCGCTGCCCATCGACTAAAAAGTTATGACAGAGATATGACGGTGTCGTAGGCGTCATAACTACTTAGTCAGCATGTTGTCGTTGATCTTGGCAAATACATGTAGGGCTTCATGAAACGTAGCGGACAAGTAGCTCACAAATGCCGATTTAGTCAAGAAGTTCAGACTTATGACGGTTTTGAGGAAGGGGCCCCTGGGACTTGGAGTTGATCACAATAATGCCAAATAGGCTTCTTTTCAATGACAATCAGTAGAGCGCTGGTCCAACAATAATGATCGTCCGCACATAGAAGATCATCTGCGTAAACGCGGACAGATGTGTCCGCAAAAATAAGTATCATCCGCATTCTGATTTCTAATCTGCACATTGGCGATGCGAGAAACGGATTCCGCGATGATTTTCTTGATGCGTTTTACATTGAATTTGTACAGAGACTTTCATTTCATAAGAGATAAATCCTTGGGAAGACAGACAACCCATAAAAGTAGACGGTGAACTGGGGGTAGAGTAAAGGAGCCGGTTTTCGGCCACTTAAGACAAAATCCTATTTTTTGGACCCTTTACTTCCTATTTATTATCATTTTTTGTTCAAATCATGAAGCAAATATTATTATTATTTAAACAAAACAAGAATCCCAGAAAAAAAATCACGAATTGCCATGACAATATTCATTTCAATTTTCACTGTTTCGGAGTCAGTTTTCGGCATAGCGTACCAGTTTTCGGCCGCATGTACAAAGTCAATAGGAAGCGTGCGCACGCGCCGTGTGTTTCCGCGCTGATCTATAGCACTAGCGGGCGGAGCAGATATCCCACGCCGGAGCTCCCCGGAGCTCGCCAGGCCGAAAACTAGTACTGTGGTGATCGGATATTGGAATCTGAATTAGACAGAGATATCGTGTGTGCATTGCGGTGTGCGGCTGCATTGATTTAAGACATGCGATGAGATACTTTTGAGCTTGCGACTAGCACAAAATCGGGCTCTAAATCTGAAAAATACTTGAAATAAAGCTATTTTATGGTACCCATATACAGACACGCGTAAGATACTCAATTTTTCAGATTCGGGTAGCGGGACCGCCGATTACATCGCTAAAATGTGATATTTTAGGATATATTTTTCATTGCAAATTTGGTTCTTCAGTGACACTGGCATGGTATGGTATGTGTGGGATATGTGTTATGCTATTATGCAATGTATTTTAGAGGGATTTTACCTTGCATCCAACCAATCGGCCGAAAACTGGAGCTGGCCGATTACCGGCTCCTTTACTCTAGTAGGGAGGCCAATGCCCGGGCGTAAGGCTTCTACACCTACGATTTGTGCGCTCGTCGCCCACTTCAAAAAATTAGCAAAGGGAAAAAAATGATGTAAAAATAAAAATTGAAGAAAATAAGAAAAGAAAATACAATTATACATTTCACAACATACCTATAATCACGGATCTGTAACAGTCTTTCACCATTTGTTGACAATCTTGCAGATTTTTATGTTTTTTAATCCAATAATTGTGGTTGCAGACGACCTTGACGCACTCGCACCACCGACTAAGAAAATCCTAGAGGGCGTAGAGGTTTGCTCACTAAAAACCTTCTCATTGGCAGAAGGTAGACCCTAAAAATATGGGATCCGTTTTGAGTAAAGAACTTTTGATAGAGATCAACATTTCAGATGTTCACAATTGCCACTTCTAACAACTAGAAAATATAAAGAAAAAAGATTATATCTTTTTAAATACAGATTTTTAACATTCGAAAGTAGATAGAGTATGATGTTTCTGTCAATCTTGCGTTGGTTTGAGCCCTATAGCTACATCCATCTCAAAATGAGAAGGAAAACAGTGAACAGTGACGTCATTGTTCGCGCCAAAAATAAAGGGTATTGCGACATAATCTGAGCTCCGGTCAGATCGTGCGCAAAGCGTAGTCTTATTTATAGACCCTAGTACCTTATTCTCACAGCACTAGATACAAGTGTCGTGCAGTAATGTATGAGAAGTGTTAAAAAAGATATTTCAGTAAAAAAAAAAAAGTCTACGTGAGCAGTCTATACTCCAATTGAGAATTGAAATGAAAGCCATGATTTGAAGGTGTGTGTTGTATGATACATGGTTAGTGAGTGTGTATGTTACGTATAGCGAAAGGGAGAGAGAGAGAGAGAGAGAGAGTGAGAGAAATATTAGTACACGTACGTTGCATGCATGGATGTGCGCTATGATTGTGTTCGCTGCAAGATGGATGGACCTCGTAACTTCTCGATCGTTGATAATAAGGAATACTCATGAGGAAATCAAATTATTGGAATACACATCTAAGGTAAATATCAATGAATTATATATATTTATTTCCTGCCAATTTTGATATCTATTCTTCATTTTTGAACCATCGTCTTCGGCTCGTAGTAGTAGAAGATGGCTGGACTTCAGCCTGCATCGGGGCTTGCCTGTGTCGGTGGAGGGATCAACTAAGAAGAAGGTGTGTACGTGTGCGACCGATTCAAGGCTAGCCGCTGTTGAGTGATTGCACTTTCGGCGAAGTTTTAAACTTCATGATGAACTTTGTCCCTCGGGCCTGTCCAATTATGAACGTAACTTTGCGACATGAAATATAATTGTTTCAAGGCTCTTACGTACGGAAAGGCGTAGAAGGAAGCTGGATAAAAAGAGCTGGATATCTCCTATTTGATGGAACTTCTGGAGTCGGCAGATGGGTGGATTTTCTTAGTAAAAGTAAATGCTTTCTTTTAATCTTAGTTTTAGTATAAACAAATTAGTAATTAAAAAGTTAGATTTGGGCATTGGCCTCCCTAACTCTAGTCTAGGTCTAGACTAGATCTAGTCTACAAAATAAAGTACAATAGACTAGAGCTCTGGCTCTCTGCTTGTGCCACGCTATCGCACTATATAAAAAAACTACCTGACATGACATTCTTGCCTGCTTTAGTACTCAGCTGTAGCTGCTGATAGAGCGGAGGAAGAAAAATAAGATTACGGCCGAAAAAGCCCACCTTTTAAGTTTAACAGCAGATTAAATATGTGGGACTGAAGTCACCAAACTGCTGTGACTGTGTGCGGTCGATTAACATTTTCTAGGAGATCTACTCAATTTTCAAACTCTACTAAATACAGAAAATTATCTTCCCATTAAAAACAAAAAAAACAAACGGCAAACAAAACAACTAAATGAGGGATAAAAAGACTCTCATAAGCTCACCTTATTCAAACAGATATTACTGACTCAATGACTCTCTACGCCTCGTTTTCTACCGCAGGTCATGTAACTCGACCATCGACTACAACTTCAATTACAAAATTTTGCTGCTTCTTATTTAGTGCCCATATGCTATACAGGAATCCGCTATACAGTCATGACAGTGCTAGCGTAGAGCTCTTCACGGCCAGAGGTAGCAGCAAATAATGCTCTCTGACCTTGATAATAAACAAATCAGCTGTTTCACACGCACGTGGAAAGGGCGCGCCAAAATCAATTTGTAAACACAGTCTACCGCCGGTATTCTGTTATTTCTAGGCAAACGAAGGAATTTTAGAGATGGGCGAGGAGGAAAATGTCGAGGATTTGGCCTATACACAGGTAAGTAGTTCAAACAGATATTCTCATATCTAAATCTAAATAATAATGTCTAGACTCTAGCCCGAGGGCAGAGGCCTATATATATTAACAAATGATGTTGTTTGTTAGGGTACGTGTCTTTTTTGTTTGGATTGTTTTTCACTATCAAAATCATGGTTGGATAATTGAAAACGTCAACTAATTCTTACTCTGGGGGCCGTTTCTCGAAACCGCCATAGGCCTGCAGATCAGACACCCTAGTAGTAGAGACAGTGTTATGTCAGATTAGACTTTTAGAGAAACGTGGAGATAAAATGAAATGGTAAAAGAGTGATAGACCTAATAATTAATACAAAATATACAGAAATTGGAAAAAGCTGAATATGAACATTAGACCTAGATCTAAATCAGTTTAAATTATTTTAAATCAACGTACATGTAACTTTAATGCTGCAGTGCATTTGATTATAAGATTTTCCGTACGTAACCTAGACCTATATAGACCTATATTTTACTTTCTAACTCTAGCATTCCAAGATATTTGTGTATTTTCTCAGATTTTCTATACTCTCTCTCCCTCCCTTGTACTTGTAAACTCTTGGCATCCTAGTGACTTTGTAATGAAACTTTCACTTCTGTCTCACTTTTGCTTTTGTATTTCTTAGCGTCTCAAGGCTGCAGTGCATTTCACCACAGGGCAGATCTGTGAGGAGCTTGGGGTTGAATTGGACGTAACATTCTCAAGGCAATTCATTTCGGCTCTTGCAGAGACAACCTTCAAACAAATGGGTATAATTATTACCATCCATCTCTCTGTAGGCCTAATGCTATCCACAACAGTTGCAATGACCGGGGCATCGTTTCACGAAACTGTCACAACTTCACCAACACCCCGTTGAAACGCGTGTACTACGAGTTGTGATGGCTTTGTGAAACACTGCCTAGAATTACATCTGTACTAGTGTACTATTTGAGTGGCCTCACGACAACTAGAAATTGTCAGGGGAGCATCCCATACATGTTCATTGCAGAAGCCATGAACTTTAACTTGTAAGTATATCAGTTTCATGAGACACAGCCCAGGGGGGGGGGGGGGGGGCATTTCACAAGGCTTTTTTCAATGACAAATGACAAAAATCAGTTACAAATCTGCTGTTAACCAATCAGAAGCAAGGATTTCAGTAGCTTATAACAAAAACTGTCATTTGTCACTGATGACAAGTTTTGTGAAACACTCCCCTGAACTGACATCAAATTTGAACAGTAAGAAACATTGGAATCTTGTAGTTGTATTGACAACTCCTTGGTAACCAATGACATTACCTTATCATATTGAAAACGCGTCATATCAGGGCTGAAGACAATTATAGATCTATACACAGAATTGAGACCAGTATAATTACCTCTTCAGAGTGAGTTTGTGATATAAAGTGAATTTTATAATGTGGTTCCACTGTCTTAAATAGTGGTCTACAAAATCATTTCTCTATTAAAGGCTCTCTTCATTCATTTTTCAGTAGAGCCCCCAAAACTGTGATTGATAAAGCCATGTCTTCACCACATCATTCGCAGGAGACCAATTTAATGAATTTATACATGTAATTATAGTCCCCCCCCCCCCCCCCCCCCCCCCCCCCACACTCCATGAACAGAGGGATACCATGCGTGTTCCCAAACTCTCCGGCTTGTAACAAAAGAAAGAGGTCTACCTGTATTGACTTTACACACCAGACTTTTGCTGAAAAGGGAGGGGGGGGGGGGTCGCTGGGAACACGCATATGCGTACCCTAAATAACACTGAGTGGGGGGGGGGGGCTGGGAATTATAGGTACAGATAAAGTGTCCTGAAAGCTCTGTTTCTATTGTTGCATACTGCCCTCTAGTGGCAAGATATACAGATAATACAACAAGTATGTGTATAGGACTGGTATTGGTATGGTATACTCAATTAGTCTCTCCTCATAATGTAATTTTAATGTTTCTGTTGCACTCAGGACTGTACTTTGATTGAACATATTCCTAATTAATCTTCCGTCCTCTATTGTGGTTTCTGGCCCCCTCTTTGTATTTCGTCCTCTCTCTCTCTCTTTCTCCCTCAATCTCTCTTTCTGTCTCTGTCCATATCTTTTTCAAACCCCACATCGCCCTCAAGTTTAAAGATAAACTCCAGTACTGGTAAAAAAAAATTAAAAAATTCTCACAGAATCAAACCAAACTTACACTGAATGTTCAAGATTACAAATAAATGACATGTGCCACACAATTTTGGAAGAAAATGTATACTGGCTGAGTAATGAGCATAGAAAGACAAGGAAATCAAGGTAGTACTAGCCCCGACACCATGTGTGTTGTCCCATATATAGTTTTCTATGTGAGTGCTTGTTACTTTACCAAGACTCGGTCAAATTTATTATGATTTTGATGACTCCAGAACCTTGCAGTGCACACCAATATGATCAACTGTTTCTGATCCTTTCCACACCTTTTCTTTCACACCTTTTCTTTCACAATGCAATCGCATTACCAGTACTAAAGTTTAGCTTTAAGTCTAGGAATACAATTTCCTCAAGTTTTTGATTTATTACAAAATATCAATTATTTTGTTATTTTTTAAATAAATGCCTGAAACGAACTTTAAGGGTTTAATTTAAGATGAGGTTATATTCAGTTAATCTGAAAACAGAAAATAAACTTTAAAGGCACTAGGCCTTCTTTCTTTTGTTTAATTACAGAAAACTTTGCTGGTGATCTGGAAGCATTTTCACAGTAAGTAATTTGTGCATGTTGTTCAACTGATATTCTGTTTTACAGGGTTTTTGAATTTTCGAAAGCAGGCCCATTGTTTTTAATTGTTTGCAATATAAAAAATTATAAATCAACACAGACTACATTTAAGAGCTCCATAAATCCACAAACTTTTGTGAATGCAGCTTTTTGCTCTTTACGGGAATTCAGTGTTGTGGGTTTTTCTTTGCAGCATGAAACTGTAGCACTTGTGAAACTAACATACGTCTCGTGATCTACTGCGTGAGTCAATAAAAAAGGAAAGACAGACATTGTTGTAATATAGTATAATGTTATGATAGCTGATAACGTCTTCTTTAATTTGTTAGGTTGCTCATCAAAATGCCATCACAGATGCCTGAGCACTGACTTTTGGCCCCCAAAAAACATGTCAAAATCACCTTTGCCCTAGTTTGGGAATTGGGATCATCGTTTGTGAGTGCATTCATTTAAAATGGAAACTATTCAACCAAACCTTCTGTTGACCATAAATTCCATTCAAAATTTGGGCAGAGGCAAATTAAACAGTGCCACTGTTCACCTCTTCTGTCTTTTTCCATACCTTTGTTGATTTTTGTGTGCAATGTTATTCTTACTTTGTATATTACTGCATTTTATCTGACCAATTTTTAATGTATTACATTTTAATGTCATTTTTAATCTTTTGTCAATTCAATTTGTTTCGGTCTTTGGCTGATATTTTGAATATATGTTTTTTAATCAATAAACCAGTTCAATTGCAATCAAATACGATTACAATTTATATTATTATTTATTTTATCGAACATTAGGGGCTTCGGTGCGAGTAACGGGGGTATCTTTGACCAAATCTTTATGTACTGATCAAAACCAACTTTAGGGTAGATCTTGGTTTCTAGTTCTGTGACTCACACTGTGGCTGTGCAGTTGCTTTTCCCCTCTTGACCCCCTCCCCCCCCCCCCCCAAATGACATCTTCCTACTGTTGTGGCTATTTTCTGCAGGCATGCCAAACGGTCAACCATCAATCCTGAAGATGTCAAACTACTGACGAGGAGAAGTAGAGACCTTGTAAGTACATCTATTATGAAATTTAGATAAATTAATTTAGAGAAAAATTTCTACTTCATTTTTTTTTTTTTATATTTTCATAATGTCTCATTACTTCTTTATCTTTTCCTAAATCTATGAATGCCTGGCACACACTATACGATTCTCCTGCGATACGATTTTCAAAGAAAATGCAATTATATTAGATATGAAAATCTAGACAAACATCTCTCCAATATAGATTCTTAATGATGCTATGATAATATAACTACAGAATTTTAGTACATTCAAATCTTTGAGTAAGAATGAAAGCCAAATCGGCTTCAAATCATGGACAATTGCACTACTTGTCTGAAATCACTTGAAATTAAAATTTTATTAAGCATTGGACTATTTGGTTCCTCGGTCATGAAGATTTTAAAAGTTTGAATGTTCCTGTTGAAAGGGGGAAGTCCACCCTGATATTAAAATGGTTTTAAAGCCTGTCTGTACTAGTTTGGCTAGGGGGGATTAGACCTCCCTGCAAGGTCACTGCCAGGTGGTTATATCATCAAATCAGCTCTCAAATAACATGAGGAAAAAGATGATCATGGGGGATCTACAGACACTGATTAGGCATCGTTTGCTATATAGAGGGCGCAAGTAGCTATAAGTAGTGCAGTGGGGCATTAATAGAAGCAGAAAATTAGAGAAACAATTCACTCAAAGTGTTAAGAAAAATCTGCCGAGAAATAAGAAAGTTTTAAATCTTTCAAAATCATGAAAATCATGGAATCTTTGAGACAAATTGGCAATGTCTTAAAAAAATGTAACGTCATCCCCTCACAATTCACCACTGATCTGAATGACAGAATGACACAAAATGTCATTTTATGTATGTTAATGGAATAGTAGACCTATCTTATATGGGGGTGCATGAAAGATTGTCCATGATATATGATCGAGATAGGCATGAAGAAAATATCTTTTGATCAAAATGGAATTTAATGACATTTCTTGCATTCAACAAAAGATAAAATGTGAGGGGGTGACATCATATTTAGAGACCGCCTAGCCAATTCGACTCTCAGATTTTAAATATTCAATGAAAAGCTATTATCCATAAATTTCTTATTATCCAATTTTTCTCAAAACCATTACTGATCTGTTTTCTCAGTTTTCTCCTTATATTAAAACAAACTTATTATCAGGGTGGACTTCCCCTTTAAATGTTATTGCAAATTTGTCCAAAGTCCGATCATATAGTGTGGGCTTAACTTGCCTCATTTGCGTGTTTACTCATTTTGACACTACATAATTTGAGATGCAAATATTGGGATGCATTATCACCATTTACTTTGGGAATATCATTAATGCCTGATTAGATTAAAGCTATAATAGTATTAAGATTAAAGCTATAATAGTATTACGATTAAAGGATTAAAGCTATAATAGTATTACGATTAAAGGATTAAAGCCTTGATAGTATAATGAGATGTCAGCCCACCTGTCATTGCAAATATTTCTTACAGTGAACTCTTTCTTACAGAATGCTCACACAAGTACCCTTAATGTGAGACACTCGTTTTGACACTACATAATTTGAGATCCATTATCACCATTTACTTATGGTATTTCATTAAAGCCTAAGTAAGGATTAAAGCTTCAATAATCGTAAGATCAAAGGCCTTGATAATATATTGAGATGTCAGCCCACCTGTCATTGCAAATATTTCTTACAGTGAACTCTTTCTTACAGAATGCTCACATCGGTACCCTCTGTGCGAGGCAAATAGCAGAAAATGATGCCGTGAAAGAGAAGAAGAAAGGAAAGAGCAAACGAAAAGCAAAACCAGTGGTTGAACTTGAAACATCAGAAGATGCAGAATGATAGAACCATGTAATAAGATCCAAGTGACTTGCGATCTACGTGTAATACACCCGTCAAATTGATTCTGTTTTGGAAGCACTTTCCTGTTGGGACATTTGACATCTATAGACAATTCACTGTTATGAGTACATGATGCCATTGTCTGTGACTGACCAAACAGTGATTTGGCTGGTCAGAGCTGTAAGCCCTCTTCTGATGTTCAATGGGCAATCCAACCTTTGGTATGAATTTTCTTTTCATAAATTTACCCGGTATTTGTATCACAACATTACTGATTCAGCCACTTTGAAATTCCCTTTCAAAAATGTATCAAATATTCTTACGACGTCAGGTTTCCTTCAAAATTTCTAGTTTGTTTCAAACACCTATTGAAAGTTGTCAAGTGGGATTCTAAATTTACAGGTAGTCTAGCTTCTCAATAGAGTCGGGGGTGAAGTGTGACGTCATCAAAAAATCTATTTTTGGAATTTCTCAATTTTTTCTTCATTTTCCGGAGAGCATCAAAAATAATGTCCAAATGTTGAAGAAAAAAAATTGAATAGGTTAAGTATTGGCTGAGATATGACCATCTGAATAAATCGATTTCCTATGGGAACTCAGTGTTATGTGCTCTGGTTCATAACGTTACGAGCCAAAGCGATATAACAATGAGTTCCTATAGTAATATTCAATTGGTTTTCGACATTTGGACATTATTTTTGATGCTCTTTCGGAAAATGAAGAAAAAATTGAGAAATTCCAAAAATAAATTTTATGTCACAGCTTTGGTACAGACTTACTGTTTAACAAGTCTGGAGTATGTAAATTTATAATAATAGTTTGTTCTTATATAGGGTTTTTCAGGACCGCAGGCCCTCTCAAAGCGCTTTACAGATATATATTATTACCCCGGTCATCTAACCACATTAGCTTTTGCATCCTACCGGGTACCCACTTAACACCTGGGTGGATAGTGGCAAATGTAGATCAATGTCTTGCCAAACCGCGGACCTTGTGACCCACAGTCCAGTGACATATCCACTCGACCATGACACCTCTACCTAAACCTCCACTCTTTTCGTTATCCATCGTTTCCTCCAGGGACAATTGATCTGGGCTTCATCTTATCAAAATTAAACTAAAGGGTTAGGGTGAACTGAAGGTAGCAATAGGGTATCACATGTTTGTTAGGATTAGGTTTGCTCTGTGATAATTTCCTACACTATTAAACCGAATTTCTAACTTTAAGGTTGAGAGAAGGAAAAAAAAAAAAAAAAAATTAAAAATATTTTGTTTAGTGCTCACCATCATCACCCCTGAGAGATTGACAAGGTTTTGCGCATAAATTATCTAAAAGCACATTCTGACAAATCAGTATTTTAGGAGTTTACTTTAAAGGTTGTAATTTCTGCAGTGTCTCGAGTCTTAACAATTCCAAATGTTTGAAAAATATCAAACTATCTATATACAGGCAAACAAATGAGCAGTGCAAATTTTATTACAACCCATCAAATATGATTTTTGGTTATTCCCAGTGTTAAAAAAGTGAGTGAAAAATACAGTCCATGAGGTTAAATTTCCAGACTATTCTTATGATTTCATCTCATAGTCATAAAAGAATTGTATATAAATAACTACATGAGTACTAATTGGAATGTAGTAAAATTACTTGAACCACTTATTACGAAGGAATTTGAAATAATAAACATAATACTAAGCATAATAGCCATATGATTTATGAATTTTATAAATCAAGTATTATGTATCAACAGAAAATGCGGCATGCTCTTCTGTTTTCAAAGGGAATTGTTTTACTGCATTGATCAAACTGTCCAAAAAACGATAAGAGTAAAGTTTCAAACTTTGATAGCATTTTATCTGTATTTTATTTTCAAAAATTCTTTGAATTATACATCATGTACTGTTTATTAAAAATAATAATTTCATTAAAATAAAGTGATTGAACATACTATGGTGAATTAAAGGGTGATCTTACTATAGATTTGAAAACCTCTAGGCCCTTATTCATAAAACCTTAATTCGCTATTTGACAACTAATATAGGCTATACCCGGTAGTACTTACATGTAGTTGTTTGACAACTAATAATACACAGTACATGTAGAAAATGCATGCTCTAACTAGGCCCAGTAAGGTTTTATAAATATGGGCCTAGGTTCTTAAACAGCAACCTATGGGCCACCTGCCACTTGCCAAGATTATCAACTAGAAACAGTAGAGGGGAAAAAGGTTTGTTCATTTCAAATTGATACTAAAATTGGATATGTGATGGGCTACATACTTGTAGTTGTATTGCATAATGGGATACAAGATTACCGACTACAATGGAATATAAAGCTCTGATAGAACACGATACCTGATATTTACAAGGTTAATTTGCTGGTCCCAGCTGTTTATATTCTTCTTTTTTCAACCTGTTTATAACAAAGTCATTTTCAAGGTCTGAATGTTCTTGTAATAATGTGTTTCTACTGTATTGAATAGAAATTCTCAAGAGTTTTGCTCACTCAATTCGCTCACTTGATCATAATTATTTGTTTCCATATGATCAGAAGAAAATAATATCAGTATATAATATCAAGCAAGGATAAACAAGGATAGAAAAAAGGATTCTTGATGGGCCTAACTTATTAAATTTCTTGTATCAGGGCAAAAACAAAACAATATAAATGTACATATGTTTATATATATATTTTTATATAAAATTAGTGCTGGATTTTGCAAAATCACCTGTTGTTTCATATGTTTTGTTATATCACAGCTCTGTGCAACAAGTTTCCATTCCACTGTAATTGATGCTTCATTTTTCATTGCACTGTAGTCGGACAAGCATGAAAACTATAAGTACGTTTTGTTTAACCATTCTTGTGTATAAATTTATTTATAAAAGGAACTTTAGTGTCATGCTTTATTTTGTGTTAGCTTGCCAATTCATCATCATAGAACTGAAATAATCAAAATGCTTTTGAGCAATTTCATCCACTCGTCATAATCTGTACCTGTTGTTTTCAAAGGTAAAACAGTTTTTTTCCAGAAGAGACAGATACTGAACCACCCCAATTTTTTTAATTGTGATATTGTAGCTTTCAACTTTTTCAAGGTGGAGAAAATTGATGATCAATTTGAACTTTTTTTCTTTTCAATTTTAAACAAGACTCAAAGGACTTTGAGGAACCACCAATAAAGAATAAGCTTGGACCAGCTGAGCAAAAAGATTGTTAATATGATATACATGTTCATGTATATGTTTCTAAATTAATGACTTATGTCATTTATGTTTGATATCAAATACAACTTGAAATCTTATACATGCATGTTCAAAGCTCCTCTTTCTTAGATTTGAAGTAAAAAAAAAAAATAGTATAAATCAATATTTACAGTGATTAAAAGAAAAAAAAAAAAAATAAGATCATACAAAGAGCAGTGAAGAGAGTTTCAAACAAAAGTCTAAATAGCAATACTACTGTAAGCTATTTTTTTATAAAGTGGAATATCATCACACAAATGAGGGGTAAAAAATAATTCAAATTCTTGGCACAGACTGTCTTGCAAGTAAATTCAAAATTTCAAACAACATAAATACGCACCAGACACATGTACAAATCTATGACAGTTGTGCGTCTGCATAATATGTGTCACAATTTCCAAATGAACCGCTGAGATTGTATGCTGTGCAGGGAGTTGAACAATTCTAGCTTAGGTCACTATACAGTGCGTCCCAGAAAAAACCAAACCGAGAAGTATCGATGTTTTATCATAACTTAATCACAACCATAATTAATGAATGATATATATTTGGAAAGCTTAGAGTCTCCTCTTTCAGTTGATGCTACTCACGTGATGCATATTTCACGCATGAGTGATTAAAAGCAATTTGAAGGAAGGAAACCAAAAAGTATTTTGGCGGGCGGTATCTGAATTTCAAAGAAAAATTCATATTTCTAGAAAGTTCATTTTCTGCTCTTTCATATGACACCTCAATCAAGAAAAATGAGCTAGGAATAACAAAGTTCTGTTTGTTTAAAGTAGCCCTTACATTTTCATAATTTTAACAAACGAATTCGTTTTCACTGGGTGCCTGCCGTAGCAAAAAGCAGATTTGACAAAAGACTTAACTCCGTTTCGTTGACAATCAGCCATGCATGAAGACTCTCGTCTACGGCTGATTGTCAACGAAACGGAGTTAAGTCTTTTGTTAATTTCGTTTATTGATACGGCATGCAGCCAGTGAAAACGAATTCGTTTAATAAAATTATGGAAATGCAAGCACTACTTTAAGCAAACAGAACTTTGTCATTCCTCGCTCATTTTTCCTGATTGGGTGTCATATGAAAGGGCAGAAACTCAACTTTCTAGAAATGTGAATTTTTCTTCGAAATTCAGATACCGCCCGCCAAATGTCTTTTTGGTTTCCTTCCTTCAAATTGCTTTTAATCACTGATGCGTGAAATATGCATTATCTGAGTAGCATCAACTGAAAGAGGAGACTCTAAGCTTTCCAAATATGTATCATTCATTAATTATAGTTGTGATTAAGTTATGATAGAACATCGATACTTCTCGGTTTCGTTTTTTCTGGGACGCACTGTATAGCAGCAAGGTGGCATTCCTTTCAGATATATACACTAAAATTATATCAAAATATCTTGCATGTTTTGATACAAGTAGAAGGATATCAGACTAAATTGAACTTACTAATTTCATTCAAATAATTTCAATTTAGCTACCAATACTGTTCATGATCTTAACTCCAAATCTTCTGTGCTTCCGTAGATCAATCAAGTCGGTCCAATCCTTTCAAAGTTCTTCTACGCATTCAATTTTCATTTGTAGAACTGGAAGGCGATGCCTGATTGTGCTTCAGTACCATCAGGGAAAGTGTGCCTTCAGACTATAAAGTTAAGCTGCAGCCAATGCATGATCGTTCTCCACAGGCTTAGAATACCATTGTTCCAAAGCTCACACATACAAACTGAAGTCAATGCGTTTCGATGTGTAAAAGTTCTGCCCGGATCCAACTTTCCGCACCCAGACCCCATCCTGAAAGTAGTCCTGGTTTGTCCAATTTTCCATCTGTTCACTTTGATAGGGTCCATAGATATCGGCGTCATCTTTGTTCTCCCATTTGTACTCCCAGTAGACTTTGTCGGGGTCCATTTCATCCTTGCCAGTGCCACTAGATTCATCTATGTAGAAGAGAGAGAGAGAAGACACAATAAGAATCTTTGTGTATGTGTCTGTAAGTGTGTGTGTGTGTGTGCATGTAAGGATTAAAGGGGAATTCCACCCTGCATGATAAGTTTGTTTTAAAGGTAAAGACCAGTATTGGAAACGCCTCAATTAAAAAAATGAAATGGAAGCTCTTATTACCAATCATGTGAAAGAATATGTTTTGAATAATACATGATGATAAAAATGTTGACGGGAAACCGCCTACTAATTGATATATTTGGTAAATTAGTGTATCTCTTGCCTGTTGAGAGATACAAATGCACGTGTCATGCACGTGTGTGTAGTCCCATATACATCTTTCTGTGTACAGTGATTCTAACTTTATGAAGACTTGGCCAAATTTCTTATCATTTTGATGATTCCAGAACCTTGCAGTACATCTATGCTAGATGATCAACCTTTTCTGATCAATTTCACAATGTTTCTTTCACAATGCAATCGCATGACCATAACTGGTCTTTAGCTTTAATCTTAGGAGGAAAATGAGAAAAACAGATCAGTGAAAATTTGAGAGAAATCGGACAATAAATAAGATTTCTTTTCATGAATTACTTCAAATCTGTGAGACAAATTGACAATGCAGTCTCTAAACATGATGTCGCCCCCTCACATTTTATCCTTTGTTGAATGCAAGAAATGTAATAGAATTCCATTTTGATCAAAAGACTATATTTTCTCTGTGCCTATCTCGATCATATATCACAAATAACTTGTTCTTCCATGCACCCCCATATGAGATAGGTCTACTATTCCATTAACATTCAGAGGAATGGAGAATTTGGGTCATTCTGTCATTCAGATCAGTGGTGAATTGTGAGGGGATGACATCACATTCTGACCACATTGCTGATTTGTCTCGCAGGTTCCATGGTTTTCATGATTTTGACAGATTCATAACTTTCTTATTTTTTGTCCGATTTTTTCACAAACTTTCACTGAAGTGTTTCTCAAATGTTTTTGCTTCTATCAAAACCAATTTAATATCAGTGTGGAATTCCCCTTTAAAGGTAATACAAAGTTTTGGGTAATTTTGAAAATGGGGTGGACAGTAATTCTTTACAATTTTGATATATTTCGATGCCCTTGTGGATATATTATGAGCACTAAAAAAATTAGCCCCTAAAACACTTCTGCTTTCGAGAAAAATTGAATATAAAAATCGTGATAAATTTAAAATAGCGCCTACGGCCGTACAGTGGTAGCTGCGACCATGAAAATCTCAGAATATGTAGTTGTGACATATATTTCCATACAGGAATAGCTAATCGGTTGATTTAAGTCAAGAAACATTGATTTATAGATTATTAATATATTGACCTTGAGGGGGAGCTATACAACATAAAAAGTTTATTATTTACAATTTCATAACTTTAGACTCGATTTCAACCGCGACAACGATCACTGAATATTGTAGGATCGCATATGCTTCCAATATGTTCATTTGAACCAAATTTATGACCCCATTCCAAAACTTTGTATTACCTTTAACCTTTGTTTCACATAAATAAAAAGGCTAATAATGATCGATTTTCAGAAAAATTCAAAGTTCACCCAGACCTCAACATAATTATGTTCTTCTCCTTGTAAAGACCTGTCACATTGAACATTTTCCCAAGACATTGTGGTCTATTTTGTTTTCAACTGGTTGGTACAATGATTGTATATGATTTAAAATGTGCAGTCGACCACCTGAAGACAAAGAACACTACACTACACTATATATTTCATCTGCTGTATACAATGTAGGCCTATGCCTCTTAAGTTTTTTGCAAAAGTCCACCCATCCCCCGGCCCCCCCCCCCCCCCCACTCAGAGAACGGAGGGATACCATGCGTGTTCCCAAAATGTCCGGCTCGTAGTACACAAAAATCTGGCCCGTATTGACTTTACACACCGGACTTAGGGGGGTGTTTTCAAAAGGAGGGAACATGCCTGCGCGTACCCTAAATAACACTGAGTAGAGGGGGGCGGGACACATCCCCACCCTTTCCCACATGTACATGTACAATGTATGCCTACCCTAATAAGTACAACGTCAGAAATATTCTAATGCTGCCTTAGTCAACCTTTTGTGCATCTCTTGAAGCCCCACTGCACTACTTTTAGCTAAGTACTTGCACCCTCTATATAGCAAACAATGCCTTATCAGTGCCTGTTGGTCCCCCATGATCCCCCTTTTCTTAATTGAGAGCTGATTTGATGAGATAACCACCTGTCAGTGACCTTGCAGGGAGGTCTCATCCCCCCTGGCCAAATTAGTGAAGACAGGCTTTAAAGGTAAATTCCACCTTAATAGCTTTTTTTTATTGCTCTAAAAGAAAGAAAAAATCAGAGAAGCACCTTGGTGAAAGTTTAAATGAAAATGTACAAACGATGCAAAAGTAATGATTTGTATGATTTTGTTCAAATTTGAAATCACTAAACATATGGGAGTTGGCTGAAATAGTAATGCCTCTGTAATGTACAGTAGTGCTGGACAACTCTGCCATTTGCTCAACAAGCAAAATGACTGTAATGTCAATTTCTATACCTCGGAGGGTCTTTTCTTTTTATAGAAACTATGGTAACCCGGCCCCCCCCCCCCCCCACTCAGGTTTCAAAATGACCGCATGCGTGTTGCCAAAATGTCCTTTTCGTAACAAAAGAAAAAGGTCGAGCCGTATTGACTTTACACACCGGACTTTTGCTGAAAAGGGGGGGTGCGGAAAAAGGCTCGTATACAAAAGAAAAAGGTCGAGCCGTATTGACTTTACACACCGGACTTTTGCTGAAAAGGGGGGGTCGGTTGGAACACGCATATGCGTACCCTAAATAACACTGAGTGGGGGGGCCGGGTATGGTAATTAGCTACAGAGCTGCATATAAAAGCCTGTGAGTCTTAAAACTAAAAGCTAATCCTGGTGTTTGGCAACACCTGTTACTGGGTAAACACTCAAACGTTGTCATATACTGTATGCCCATGAGATCCCCCTCTTATGTGTCTTTAATGGGATGATGAATGAACAATGAATGAGACAGATTAAATGGGACATCCGACCTGACAATTTATATGTTTTACTTTTTTTTTGAATAATCGAGAGAAATAGACAAAATACCATAAATTATAAGAAGTCCAATAACTGGATCTATTGAGCAGGTAAGCTTTTCATGGGGGGGGGGGGGGGGGGGGGGGGGGGGGGGGGGGGAGATATCTAGTACAATAGAAATGGAAAGCTGCTCACAAGGGCAATCACAGAGTTATCAATTTGCATTTGATCAAACAATATTTCAAACTTCCCTATCCTTTCTTCAATTTTCCTGAAAATCACATATTTAGAAATATCAAAGTGAACTTGATGCCACAGCCGATTCTTCAAATAAAGAGCACACAGGGGTTTGACCCTACCTTGTTTATTTGTGTTTGTTGTGAGTTTCTTCTTGTCAACATCCTCTGCGAACATGTCAAACTCTGCATCCTTCTTGGCAGCTTGTGCTTCCTCATCCTGTGTGAGTTTGTGCTGGATCTTCTCATATGTGTATTGATACATATCAAACTGTCCCCTAGCCACTAGCTCGTCAACCAGGTCCGTTAGTTTGAGCATGTCAGCCTTGCTCTCAGCCGTAACCTCACTGCTAGAGTCTGAATCCTTCTTTGCTTTCCTCTGCGCGGCTGATCCTGTCTTTCTCTTGCCACCACCCAACCTTTGCATCGCCTTGGTGACACTCTCCCCCTCCTTCATGAATCCCAACATCTCCCGCATCACTTCTAGCTCTGGCCTGACCACTTTGGCATCTCCCTCATCCTCATCATCTGCCTCATCACCCTTTTCCGCCTGTTTTTTCATGGCGTTCTCCTCCTCCAGCCTCTCCCAGTCAATGTTCTCCAGCCACTCGTCATGGACGTCATCATCCTTCTTCTCGTGGTAGTTGCCATCCTTGTCAAAGTAACCTTCAGACATTTCCTGCTTGAGATTAAAGGGGGTTATCTTGATGTCATCATCCGATTCTGCAGTGCCATCATCATCATCTTCAGCCCCTGTGGAAGAAGAAAGTGACAGACAGCAAATTAGTGCAATGATTTTTCTAGAACTGGCCATCATTTCAAGACATTCAAAATTGCCAATAAATTTGTATATAAGCTTGATTTACAGAACTGTACCTGGTATACCAATACTCTTTGGCCCGAATGTACAAACAAAGTTTATCTACATCCATGGTTTAAACCTCCACAAACTTATATGTGCATGTCCTCATGTCCAGTGGCTAATAATACGTATGATTATACACTTATTTACACTTATTTTAGGCTAAATAACAAAAATAATGTGTTTCTCGTCAGGATTTTTAAAAAAGGAGGCGGCAGGGCATTACTATTCACTATTTTTTCCAATATGGCTGCCATGCTAATAATAGCTGGCCAAGCCTATTTATTCACAGGCATTATAATGATGCAATGTAAAACAAACAAAATGATTTGTATCACTTTAGAAGTTATTTACACAAAAAGCATATCACAGGCTTTTTCATGAGGGGGGGGGGGGCTTTTTTTTCTTCTGAATAATAACTACCGGTAGTAAAAAAAAAAGTAGGCGGCGGCCAAAAAGGAGGTGGGCGGGGACAGTAGGGGTTTTAACCATGCTTTAGATAATGCTTTAAATTAACCTCCTTTGTGAATTTGGTCCTTTTAAATGGCAAATAATGATCAGTGATTGTAATTAAGAACAAACTATTAAACAGCCATTTCATTTGTTAACAGAAAATTGAATTAATAACACCCACAGCTGAGCCCATTGATTTAAAGTTTAGTCTATCACAGAACAGTAATGTCTCCCAAGGGTTGGAAGTACGTTAACAAACAAAAAAAGTACAATTTCAAATCTTGCTCACCCTCTATTTCTTCCTCATTCATCCGATATGTAGCTGTCTCATCAACCTTATCCTCTTCATCACTGTCAAGCGAGTGCTTCTCTTTGAAGGTTTTGATCCTCTTGGTCTCTGGCAAACCAGCATCCCCTATTCCATCCCCTTGTTCCTCCTGTTTTGCAAATGAAACATTTCTTTTCATCTTCTCGGCCATGGTGTTTGTCTGCAACCTAGGCACAGAGGGAAGAACAAAAAAACAAAATTTTGAAATACAATTTCATGAATTTCAATCCCAGATTATGCACCCTTACATGAACAAAGTAAGAAAAGACCAAAAGAGAATACACATTACACAGGCAAAACCTGTATTGCATTTTGAAACACAAACTGCACCTTTTTTTTAAATATAATAAAGACTGCAACAAAAATATTAAACTATTGTATCCTAGTGTATACCTGGCTTCAGTGAACATTTAATAAACTTTCTTTAAACATTATAAAATCTAGATATACAGTATTTCATCACGGGCAAAATGCTGCTGCATGTTAGAGTTACATATGTATGCTTCTCTCAAAACTAATAACAAATGTACCGGTATCAAAGAATGTTTCTGTGCAAAATTACCCAGGGATATGTATTGTTCAGTTCTTATCAACTGTGCAACTTTCAAAAAAGATTCACACATATTTCAGGTAAAAAGCCAGATTTCCTGTGTTACTTGAATTGTTTTTTTTCACAAATCAAATATAATTTATGTTTTATGAGTCCACTCGAAAGAAGAATCCACTAGCAAACCAGAGGTAGTTTGCAAAGTTTGTATGATGCTAGAATGGGTGATTATGAACACATTTTAGTTTTTTTTTAATGTCATCACTCTTCATGCAGGGGTATGGGCCCCAATTAAAGGGGAAGTCCACCTTGATATTAACTGGATAATTTATAAAAGTAGAACAATGAGAGAAACAAATTATTGAAAGTTTGAGCAATATCTGATTAAAAATAGAAAAGTTATGAAATTTCTAAGTTGTCATCAGTAAACAAATTGGCAACAATGGGATACTACTTGCTCTCTGCCTTTTGCATGAGTTTTGAGATTTGGAGATTTTTTAATTTTATTAATAACTTTTTTATTTTGTTGGACTCGACGATCGCGATCTCCTGAATCCAATCCAAGAGTAAAACTAATATTAAGACCTCACCAAGGTCCCAGTCAAGACCAGACATGCATCACTAGAGGTGGAATTCGGTGAAGCAAGACGTAGAGTAGTGGCTCCGGTCTGCGGCCGATCGGCGGGAACTGCCGATTCTATTTTTATTGAAATACTCACAGAATACTTCAATACCCTCAATAAAGAGTCCATATACTTACTTATTAAATAGAAGTCACAAATAACCTAACTGACCCACAGCATGGTCAGCATTGACCACGTTTCGAAATGCTTCGAGTTCCCCGGTTTGCGGGCACGCATTACCGGTTTGCGGCACGCGTACGTCACAAAGCTTTATGCGCTACGTCACGATGAAAGCATGTACCAAATTACTACGGGTAACCCAAATTCTCATGTTTATCTGTTGCTACGGTAAATTTGTCAAGTTTTAAACAATTTCACCTTTTCCTCGAATGGATCATCCCATACGGGGGTACGTAGACTTCTACTACTAGAAACTATCGGGTCATAGCGGGTACACACATCAGCACACATACCATCATACACGATCCCGCATGTTATGTGTGTATTAACATCCCCCGCCGCAAACCAGAAAAACACGTAATTACGTGCCGGTTTGCGGCCACCCCATGCAACTGGCCATGCGGTGGCACAATCAAAATATCTGCGATAGGAGACAGACCACAGCCATCATACTTCCACAAAAACATCAAATTTCACCTCCAATCGGACAAATATCGGACAAATAGAGCTACAATATTGATCTAGTCATGCCTCGATCTCTTAACTTAAAAGTTAGCACCTGCTGGAATTTTCATCGGCGACTGGTGCCGTAGATTTCCGACATCGCTGACGGATACTCCGTACCGACAGGAGCACCTGCTACGGACGTTTTCGGCAAAGCAGAACTTACCGTGGAATCCACGGTAGGTTTCAATGATTATTATCGAGTCATATTCATTTTATTTTTAAAACAAATACCCTGGCCGCAAACCGGGCGATGCCGCAAACCGGAGACTCTACTCTAGTCTAAGCGGAACATGTCCCCGAACTAAATAGAAAGATTAGAACGAGACGTGTGCTCGTGGCCCTTTTATCGAGACACTCCATGTATATATACACCTGCACAGTACCTACATCAGTACGAGAATACACCCGACGGTGGACTGTACTTATAGCGAAGAAGAAGAAGTATTGACCGATGTTTCGGTCTAGCCACTCCAGAAAAGCATGGAGTCTTAGAGAGTCAATGCTAAATAATGCGTAGACCTATTGACCTCTAGGCTCTAGCACTCCACTACGTGTTAATAGGCATGCATTTGAATACATTAATAGTCGATACACTCATAACACACAAATGCACACAACACAACCATGATCGGCAAGTTTGACAGTGCCAGTGGACTCGGTCACTCACAATTTTAAATTATTCTTTTTAACAATCGCAAAGTTAAAAAAATTGTATTTTATTTTTATTTAGGTGTCATCAATTGTCACTAAAGTACTGATTTCAAGTGAAATCAGTTGAGTTTTGTACAGTGGTGTTTGAAATGTTGAGAATCAATGCAATGGCACAGCTTTATATACAGCCAGGATAGTAATGCAGCTAAGTATGTGTGACCTAGCCACACGAGTAACGCTATTTACAATGCATGGGACCGTTGTGTAATTATTAGTATTATTTATTTGGCTCAGCATCGGATTTCACTGTTAGAGTAACCATTTCTCTCTGTAAATTCTGCAACGAAATCTAAACATATTATCAAATAATAGCTCAAGTAGTCAAATGGAAAATATGGCATTTAATGATGAGAGATTTTAATTCCTTACCGTGTATAAAACAGGAAAGAGGATATTTTTTCTTAAGTTTTGCTTGGAAAAAGACTAACTTTAACAATTTGAGCTCGTGCATGAATATCATCCATAAATGTTATATCAGGTTGTTTTTTTCTTCCACAATTGATGTTAGATCACTTTTAAGAAACAAATTATTTGTTGTATTACTAAGGGTATATTTTCTAATTCTTGTATAAATCTAGGTCTACTTTTTGTAATTTTATTTAATAAAATTGAAATAAAGTTTCTAGAGATCAGAGTCTATATCGCGCGCTGGTTTTCAAAATGAGGACCGTGGTACCATTTATCGTCTGCTAGCGCTAGCTAACCAAGATCAGCAAATTTAATCCAGTACCCTAGCCTAAGTTACTCGAACAACTGAAAAACTCAGAAGTAAGGTGGTTCCTCGACGAAATTTTTTGATAGATCTATAGTTTGCAGAGGGTGGAGTGATATTGCAGAACTTGAGAGAGGACTTAGAGCGGATTTCTTGTAAGTTGTAGTGTACAGTAGACTTAGGGCAGTTAGGCTATAGAAGTCTAAGTAGGCCTAGCCTAGATCTATTGTGTTTTACCACCAGGTTGACTTTGTAGTTGATCATCCTTTTCCATGTTGAGTAGTAGAGGGGTGGGTTCGAGACGAGTCGAGGCTATGCCTATGGAGGTCTGGAAGATCATACTTCCTCACTGTCTCTTGAAGGACCAGTATTGAGGGTGTATGCGTTTTGAGGGCATCTAGATCTAGGAATGTTCTGAATTCAAAACGGCTGTGATCAAGCTTGATGAGTTGACCTAAAAGCAAGAGCCTGCCAAGGTCAATTTGCACTGAAACTGGCAGGAGGTTGGTGAGCAGGTAGACAATCTCATCAGCAGCAGACTTCGGCACCCTTAATATCTGTTTGGAGATGTGGTTGGGCCCTGTCTAGTTTCAGCAGCATTGATTTTGAGAACTTGTGTACGAGCCATGTAGCATTCTCGGGATGCAGAAGGTTTTCCACAGATGGGAAACCAGTGTAGGGATGAGACCACCAGCCTTGGCCTTGTTTTTGTTTTTGTTTTTGTCACTAAATTTTCTCTCACTTGCTTGTAGATCTAAGCGGGTGAGGCCCCATGGCCATGCACCCATGCCCCCCCCCAAAAAAAAAAACCTTCCCATGGCCTTGCAGTTCATGGGGGGGGGGGGGGGGCTAGACTCTAGGGGTAGGCTATAATAGGGTCTACATGTATGTATAATTATTATCGTAGGCCTATTGAAGACATGTTCTAACTTCTATTCCCTTCCCTTCAATGCTGCTTTGACTTTGTGTAAATAGTCTAGAGTCTAGATTTTCTAGACCTAGACCTAGAGTAGGGAGGTTGGTGAGCATTTTGTTTGATTTTGTAATTGTTTTATTTGATATTTTAACCGTGAGATGAAGATTATTAAAATTAAAGGGCACATAGGCCCCCCCCCCCCCCAATATGCTTCCTGTATTAAATATACTAGTCTTGTCTATGTCCTTTTTTCAACCAACATCTGATTATATGTAGAACTTTGTAGGAATTATGAATATACACTGTTGCTCATATAGTCATAACGAGGGAATATTTTTTTTTTACCCCAATTTTGGGAATTATTTTGACAATGATGTATTCCTAATAGATCTAGATCTAGTAGTCTATACATTCTCAGATTTTATTGAATAATAATTTGCCAGCGTTTGTTTTGTGAAACGCCCCCCTGATCTGTCTTTTACAAAAATCAAAGATCACTTGAAGTTGAACTTTGAAGATCAAGCTGTAACAATGGACGGTTCCGGACGTAGAGTTAGTCTTGATGGCATTGCTGAATCACACCAATGGACTTCATCGGATGACGTTCTTTCTGAGGATGAAAGTAGCTGCAGCACCATGGTGACAGATTCAGTAGATTCTGATGCTACCCCATCACCCTTCCTACTTGGAGGTTTGCAATTGTAAGTAACTGGGTTGTATATGATTCGAGTTATTTGTGTTTTCCAGAGATGCCAACCAGTACGATTAAATCATATTTAGTACGATAATAAGAGTGAAATACGATCTTAAAATCTAAAAATACGATTTTTCATCTTCTTTTTTTAACCCATAAAAACAGCGGAATCGCACAATAACATGTACAAGTAACCAGAGGCACCAACAAAAAAGGGCACTTTCTGGGAAAAAAGGGCACCTACAAAGGGAAATCTCAAAGCGAAAATAAACAATTTTTAGACATTGGTATATACCCCTGAAATTTGATTACATTATCAGGGATGATTTCAATATTTGTTTCTCTTTATACATCGTATAAAATATTGCTTTTTAAAGCATCATACCTTGCAGTTGGGTGTGATCAGTGGCGTAGACAGGTTCGTACACCTGGGGGGGGGGGGATGACTCAGGGGCGGATCTAGCTTTTTGCTAAGGGGGGGGGTTGACCAAAATAATGACGATGCGGAGCATCGTCCACGAGCCGCGAAGCGGCGAGCCGATTTTTTTTTTGGGTGTTTATTTGAACCCCGTAAGTGATGTTTTCCTGGCATCTATTAACACAATGGAGACCATAAAAAGCAGTGCATGATAACGTCTTTTTAAATCAAGTAACAGTTAAATACATAGTTATATCCAGAGTTATCATATGTGTTTGGTTAAGTTACCAGATGAGTTGAATATCTTCTCACAATATTTGCACTTGAAAGGGTTTCTCTCCAGCGTGCGTTCTTTTTTCTTTCTTTTTTTTTTCTTTTTTTCCCCCCTTTTTTTGTTTGTTTGTTTTTTGGGCCGCCCAAGGGGGGGGTTTAAACCCCCTAAACCCCCCCCCCCCCGTAGATCCGCGCCTGTTTAATCTTGTGGTTATCTTGTGGTTTGGAAACCACAAGATAACCACAAAATACTTGTAAGATTTTCTTTTTTTTACCGTCTGAATTGGCTTTCACCGTGTGAATGCGGCTAATAACAATAAACACAATTTATGATGAGGATTATTATCATCATCATAATTATTATTATTATTATTATAATTGTTATCATTATTATTATTACTATTATTATCATCATTATGACTTATTAAGTAAGCAAATATCATTCCCCAAAACCTGGGGGGGGGATGATTGTACATGCCACCCCCCCCCCCCCCCACCTTGTGAGGTGGGGGGATGCATCCCCCTCATCCCCCCCCGTTGTCTACGCCCCTGGGTGTGATGGTCGAAAAAATCATTTGCGAGCGAGGAAAAATATAAGATTTGTGAGGTCACAGTGCGAAAACTACATCTTATAAAGAGGAAAAAATCAATCCTCATCGGGTTATAAATAAGCACATTTTCATAACAGCAAACTGAAAAGACCTTTGATAAGTAACATAATTATAACATCTATAAATGTGAGCGAGCGTAGCGAGCGAGCTTTGGAAGATATTGCTCTTAGTCGCTTGAAATTAGGGGCACGTTTAATGATGAGAGGAAAGGGGGACACTTATCGAAGGGATAAGACACTTATTAGAAAATAAAAGGAGCACGTGTCAAAGTACAAAGGGTTATTATCAGAGGTGAAAATGGAGCACTCACCAGGGATGAAAAGGCACTTATGAGAATGGAAATTGGGCATTTGTCGACGGAAAAGAGGCAACCATGAGATTTTGATAGGGGAATTTATGAAAAAGGGATAGTTTCCTCATAAGAAAGGAAAAGGGGCACGTATCGTTGTTAAAAAAGGTTAATTATCAGAGGTGAAAAGGGGCACTTATCGCACCTGAAAAGGGGCAAACACCATATATGAAAGAGGCACTTATGAGAATGAAAAAGCGGCACTAATAATAAAGGGAAATTTGCATTTGTTGAAAGAAAAGGAGCACCGATATTTTGATAGGGGCATTTATTGGAGGTGAAAGGGGGCTTTTATGAAAAGCGGAAATTATGAAGGAAAAAGAGCTTTTATTAGGAAGGCAAAGGGGCCCGTGTCAAAATAAAAGGGGGTGTTATTAGAGATGAAAAGAGCACTTATCAGGAGGAAAAGGGGGCACTTGTCAAAATAAAACGATTGTCTCTCAGAATTGAATAGGGTCATTTACCAGACATGAAAAGGAGCACTAGTAGGAGAATGAAAAAGGACTATTTTCATAGGTGAAAAGGGGTATTTATGAAAAGGCGAAGGGCTCTTTGTTAAATGGGGGCACTTATCATAAGGAAAAGGGGCACTCATTAGAAAGGAAAGGGGGCACATGTGAAAATATAAGGTGCGCTTATCCGAGTTAAAAAGAGGTAGTTATTAAAAGGGAAAGGGGCACTTCTTACAAAGGAAAAGGGGCAATTGTCAAAGTAAAAGGGGCACCTCTAAGATTTGAATAGGGCAATTATCAGAGGTGAAGGAGGCGCTTAACAAAATTGAAAAGGGGCGCTTCTCGTTTCCGAAAAGAGGCACTTACTAGAGATTAAAAAGGGCACTTATGAGAATGGAAAATAGACACTTATTGCAAAGGAAACTGGGAACTTGTCTGGGAAAAGAGGTACGTGTCAAAATAAAAGGGGCACATATCAGAGGTGGAAAGGAGAGGGGGCACTTTTAAGAATTAACAGGGGCACATATCAAAGTAATAGGGGCACTTTTTATGTAAAAAGGGGCGCTTCTTACAAAGTTAAAGGGGCACTTTTGGGGTACTTGAAAAAGTGGGGGGGGGCACTGTGCCCCCCGGGTCCGCCGCCTCTGCAAGTAACCCCCCCCCCCCCCGCAACGCCAACAAAAACTTTGCTCTACAATTTTCTCATTAAATTTTAATGAAAGAGCAAACAAAAATCAGAAATTTTACTGGCCAACAAAAACTTTGCTTTACAATTTTCTCATTAAATTTTAATGAAAGAGCAAAAAAAAATCAGAAATTTTACTGGCCCGGGGCCGACGAGCCAGTGGTAGTACTGCCGGACTTTCGTGAAATCTGATTTTTCTCTCCAAAATCTGATTTTTTAGGATACTCAGTCTGTTTTTTGTGTCAAGAGGTTGGCATCTCTGGTTTTCTAGCTCCATCAAGATTCTTTGATAAAACGTATTTACTAGTGGAATCTTTTACATAATTTTTTAATCTGAGTAAATTTGAATCAGCACTCGGAAACGATTCACAGGGAACCCTTTCAAACAGTTTAGTGGTCATAATGCAGATCAGTCAACATTGGTACTGAGGCATGTAATGGAAGCGTGAAATTTGTAGCTTCTAAATCCGGCAAATTTTTCTTTGTACATGTATGCTTTTCAAACAGATGAATAAATCATCTAGTTTGCTTGAATGTTGCAATCTTGGCATTCTAAAGGGGGGGGGGGGATGATAACCATTTTATATTACAGATTGAACTGATGATACATGTGGTATGGAATCCTCCTGATGTAGGCTACTATGTTATACAAGCGACCCCTGGTATACGAAATAACAGCAGCATTTCTGGCTTACCTCTTTACATATCATTTATGAAATCTCTGCTTTTCCAACATTAATCTTACAGCTTAAAAAGAACAGAGCGCGGAAGATGGGGCGAGTCAGAATACACTCTACGTGCGGAATCTGGTAAGATCTGCATTTGCGATATGTTCAATCAGATTTTGATATATGCACCATTGAAATTACACACCCATGTCACTAAATTTATTACCGATTACAGGGGCGGATCTAGCTTTTTGGCAAGGGGGGGTTGACCCAGTGGCGGACCCAGGATTTTCCCAAAATCGCGCTGTTTTACTTTTTTCTTCTTCACTTGGCCGCCCAAGGGGGAGGGGGGGGGGGTAAACCGCCGAAACATCCCCGCCCCCCCCCCACACACACACACACACACCTCCTAGATTCGCCACTGGATTATGTCGCCGGGGTCTCTTTCGAATTTATAACAAAATATAAAGGTTTCTTTAAGAAATACATGCATGGCTTATTTCTGTAAAAAAAAAAAATCTGTGGTACATGTGAATAACTCCTCATTTTTATGTATTATGATGTAGTGGCTGCGACTTCCGTTAATATTACATGTATGTGATCTCTTTAGTATATATCTCAGTCATACAATGTAGTACAATGTTAATTCAAGTTTGTATATTTCCAAGTACCATGTTATTGTTTTAAAATATTTTTTGTCATGCTTTATACATGTTGTTTGAATGGAGATGTGGAATTCAAATTCAATTCAATTCTCTTTCTCTCTTTTGCCCTCTATTTCTCTTGTTCTTGAAGACGATTCAGAAAGCACAGACTGTTCGGAGTCTATCTTAGACCCAACGAAAAGGTAATCTCTTTGTTTCATGATCGAGATACTGCAAGATATTACAAGTTTTGTTTTAATCTATTTTTTTAGCAGCAGTCACCTGCTTTCAGCAGAGGGGATTGTTCATAATCATATGATTATAACAAGTCACAATTGTTCTCTAGAACTGCAATCTTTCGATGGCGTTGCAAATTTACCTCTCCATAGGGCTCGAAGATGTGTCAATAATGTTAGCCAAAATCCCTCATCGCGTCGGGTCTTTTCGGTGTTTTTTTCTCTCCGCGGAAATACGAAATTAAAAAATATTTGTTTATCCAATAGGTTGAAAGGGCTCACTATCAAAGAAACGGAGCACGCTCCTGCCAGCAACCAAAGAATGACAGATGACGCCGGAAGCGACAGTCCTGTCATTTATGTTGTTTCTTATCCGACATCAGACAGTCGGCATCACTGTCCATCACCCAAGATACATCAAACTGGTGAAAACGAAGGCAAGGTCGATGAAGAGAACTCTCCCTTGGTCATTAGCAATCTCCCGGGAGTCGCCAAAGATCATCTAGCTTCCCAAAGCCATGATGTGCTCAGTTCCGATTTAACATCAGGACAATATAGTATCAGAAGAAACTTTTGTCGACAGATTGACGACTCGGGTTCAGAAAAGAATTCTGGAGGTGGAAGAGATACTATGGAAGACATCCCTTCACACCCTTGCAGCTCTGACATCACCAATGTCCTAATTGCAGGAGGTTCTTACAGCAACAAAGTTTCTGGAGTACAAGACCCATGCAGATCTCATGATAGCTTCGAATACCAGTCAGCCCCAAGCCCTGAGAAGATGAGGAAGATATCAGATGAATCGGAACGGGGTGTTTATTCGTCTGAAACCAATGTGACACAAGTTGATGGGAGCGCCTGCATGTTTTCAGATTCAAGTCCAGTACAATCTCCACCAGATCATTTGCTGCTTCCACGGACTCTTAGCAGGGAAACTGGCAACAGTGCAGAAGAAATCAGTACTAAGGTGCAGCAACGCGTCGAGTCCAATTTTGTCGCAGCTGATCATCAGAAGACTTGCGAGTCTGATGATATACCATTCGATGAATGCCACGATAGAAAAGTCTCATGTACAGAAAGTCACAGTTCCAACCGTCAATTACAACTGGAGACGAGTCCTATCACCCAACTATCCACATCAGCAGAGGTCAGCGCTAGCGGTACCGTGCAACCAGAGCATGGATCAGGAACTGTAGATGACTTGAAGTTTAATGAACCAATTATTTCAGTGGAGACTGAGCAGAAGGAGATGAGAAACCCAATAGATGAGAATGACGCAGTTGTGACCAAACCTTATCCGAACAGAATTTCAAATTTTAGTCCAGTGGAGGCGGAGGAAAACCAGGAAAATAGTCGTACAGAGTCGGGACATGGTGTAGAAAATACAGGAAGTTTAGAACACTCCACTGATGAGGGCCTATTATCAAGTAAAAGAAATACGAATACGACAGTCAGTGTAAAGGCGGCTAAAGGACAAGGCAGGTCTGGCTATAAGGTTGCCAAAAGAGGGAGGCGGAAAAAGAGATGTTCGCAAACCGATCGAAGTCATGACGAAGTTACGACCAGAAGTCAGCGACTGAATGCTGGAATTCATCGTAGTGACACATTAGTAAGTGCCAATATTTTTCTTGTCACGATAGATTTATACATTTTTGCTTTTTTTCTCTATCAACTTGTTTTGGATGTCCTTGGGCAAAATGCCTTTGCTAAAAACAAAGGATTTTTCTAGTCTGAAATACTGCTCTAATTTATAATAATCTGTTGTATTTAATCTGTTTCTGTTTGAGTGGAAATAAATTTTGAATTAAAAAATTGAATTCACTGAGTTGACATTACCTGATTTGCAATTGATTTCAACGGTAAACTATATTTTATATCGACCTACAGTTTCAGAATACTTTAAATATCATAGTCTATCACCATGCTCTGTTTTGTAATGATATTCATGATGGAAGTTAGTAATTATTTACTCTTACGCGCGTGTGATTTTATCAACAGATTCACGAACGCGTTTTTATACTACATGAAAAGTTGGCTAAAGTGAAATCAGGGCAAGACAAACTAACAAAATCTCTCTCCAAGCCGAAGAAAGTCATCAAAGGTTGGATATTGTGTTATTTTCAAATATGGTTATCAGTGGCGGATCCAGGGGGGTAAAAAGGGGGCACGTGCCCCCCCGGCCAAAAAAAATATGTTAAAATCAGCCCTAAATTCGCCCTAAATGTACTGAAAACAGGGGCGTGCCCCCCCCCTTCCCCCGGCCCAAAAAGAATTCTAATTTTTGTTATTAAAAAAAAATTAAAAAAAATATATATATGCCAATAGCTGACCTAAAATGGTGACCCCCCCCCCCCCCCCCCCGCTTATTCAGCCGCTGGCTGAGTCGTTGCGATTTTTTGGGGACTAAAATATATATATATATATATATATATGTTCTCTTTCCCACCGTGTGCCCCCCCCCCCCCCCGGCAAGAAATTCCTGGATCCGCCCCTGGTTATAACATGTATTTGTACGTACATGACAATAATGCAGGCTGTTATTCAACAGATATATGAAATTATTTAACCCATGGATTTTGCACATCTACAGTCAATATTTTGTGTTATATTATTTTTCTGTATCTCATTGGAGTATCCTTTATTTGGTATCTTTGAAAATTGGGAGGGGAGGAGTTCTTTCCAACTATGTTTTTTGTTGATCGTGTGGGTTACTAAAATAAAATAGAATAATTGAGTCGCAGATGCATGCACGAGAATGTAAGTATATAGCCTAGCTAGGCTAACCACGAGGTCATTTATCATACATCTGCGAGCGTCAACATTTCATACGTCGGGTGTCTTCTTGAATCTTGATGGGTCCTGTGGGTGTTTCACAAAGATCCTAAGTCGAACTTAAGTCTAAGTTGGACTTAAATATTATGAAGAGCCATTTGTAGCCTTAAAATAAAACATTCAAAAGCGAAAATTCAAGTATTTTAGATCAAGAACATAAAATCTCCTTAATAAAAAAAAAAATATATGAATGATTTGAATCAACATTCTATGCCTTTTAAACGAACTTAGAGTTAAGGTCGACTTAGGACCTTTGTGAAACACCCCCCTGGTGTTACATTTGCAGATGCGGCTGAGGTGGGCCAGCAGCTGAGTACCATCCAGACCAACCTACGCCAGATTGCTGCTGACATGAAGGAAGCCAAGAGTGACCTTGAACGCTCTCTCTTTGACCTGCGTTTCGTCTACAGTCAGAAAAAGCGCAAAAACTACGTCGAACAGGAACTGAACAGTGTCCTGGAGATCCAGCAGACTCTGTGGACACAACTCAAGGTTCATCGAGAAATCGCCTCCCGGTTGCAAGAGATCATCCGGAGACACACGGAGGAGATGAAAGAGACGAGAAGAAAGCGAGCAAAGCATACGATGGGGAAGAGGAGAGATAGAGAGGAATCTGCGAGGCTGGGTCCTAGTGATGAAAGTGCGGGGGATACCTGTGATAATGTAAGTTCTATTTATTCGTATCTACTTATGTTACCCACATTTTAAATATTATTGCACATGGAAGCTTTGTTAAAATGATGTACAATACAATGGAAGAAACTGGACAAATGTAATCAACTTTGGCGATTCTTGTGAAAATAATTGTACACATCTGTTCAAATGATAATAGAGAACAATCAGAAAAATCATCCAAATCTCATCATGCTTGCGATCTCGTTGAATTTTATTTCCAAAGTTTGACATTGAACATATCGTCCTTGTTTTCACGAAGTGACGGTAGTGAGGAAAATCGTATCAGCATATTTATTTTTGTTTGTTTTATTTGTTCGCAATAAATCTAAATGGTTACTAGGAAGCTGATAAATGGTTTCTCAGTATAAGAGATCATTTTGCAAATACCATTTAACTTAGCTACATATATCACTAACATGTGTGATATTTGAAAAAAGTTGTTAATATACTTGCATATTTACACACAGATTTAAAGCAACTACTGCTCATCCAGTCGATGTAGTAAAGAAACGCTTGATGTCATCGTCATGACATTGATGAATTAGTTACTTGGATATTTTTTTCTTCAGATAACATGTCCACATCTCATGAAGATCAAGTATACATGATGGACAGCTAGAGATAGAGTCAACCGCCCATCATGTACTTTTTACGAGTCTGAATATAAAGTATTATATATCTTAATGTTGCGAAATCTAGCACAAAATATTGAGAGAAAAAAACTCTTCACTAGAAAGTTAAACTCCAATAGCAGGAAAAAGACGATAATGCGGAACAGTTGTGAAAGCTGTTTTTTTTTTTAAACAGTGGTGTTGTAGATTCTTCGTATTCAATTTTCTTGGATATTTCTACTCAAATATATAGGTTACTGACATAGCATCTGGATGCACAACAAAAGAAAGCATCCCTGCAGATAAGCAGAATGCCCTTCTTCAACAACTGTTGGAAACTCTTGACGAGTGTGAAGGCAATCTCTTAGTCAAGTTCATGTCCGTGCTGCAAAGCAAGGGGTCTGACCAGCTAAAACCATCTGTTCTGAAGAAAGCGCCACTGGTTGCATCAAGTGTAGGATATTCAGAAGAAAGAAGAGGAGCTACAATGAAGAGCATGAGCTTGACCACTTCATCATTAGGTGAAAGAGACCTCACAGCGGACAGCAGCTGTGGACTTGTTAGAACGCGTGGAAAGATAGAAGAAGGGCAGACAGGGGAGATTTATGGAGATAGACACGACTTGTCGACAGAATCATCTTCCCTCAAGCAGGGTAGATCAGGGTCAAACAATCAATTTACTCTTGACCTAGTTATGGATGAGAAAGAGATAGTACCTGATGACATTGAGTATTCCTCTTCAGGAGATGGCGGTGCAGGAGAATTGTCGTCTAGTAGTGAGGATGAGATGTCAGTAGTGCCTGATTCCTCTGATCAATTCCAAGAAGCCATTGCCAGCAAAGAACCTTTGTCGAAAGGTTGCATTGGCAAAATGAAGCAGATACAAGTAACTCCTGTTGGACAAGTTGTTCCTGAAGTGGTTCAAGTCAGTGAAGATGTTAACAATTCGTTTACCAACGTTCAGTCATCGGTGTCCATAAATAATTCTTCAACGAGTGCTGTTGAGGTAGGAAGCTTGCATTCCATTCAGAAGACTGCACAGGCATCATCGGCGCAGATTTGCGACGGTGTTGCTTCTTTAGGGCAGAAAACCGCACCTTTTCATACTCCTTGGAAAGTTTGGGTGAGCAATAACCAAAGAGTCGGCTCAAAGGCGGCTGAAAAAGAAATCCAGCAAGTTCCGTCATCTCACTTATTCGGAAGTGCAACGTCATCTGTGGGGCTGCCAAGGGCATATGCCAACATTCATGGTGGAGAGATAGCGTTGCCGTATGCAAAGCCTATGGCGAAAACGCAGTTCCAATTGATCACCATTCCCAAGTCCGTACCATCAGGAAGCACCCAAATATCGTCTGGTTCCCATCCACAAACACCAGTACCAGTACCTGCAGAAGTCAGGCTGACACCTCTTGCTGGACAGAGAATGCCTGGTCCTGTTAAAATAGTATCACAGAAAGGAGTTTCCAGAAAGCAGAATACGACAAGAAATATATCCGCTGTACCTGAAAATTCTCTCCAGTGCGAGCAAAATCGCAACAAACGCTCCAACCAAGTTGACATTGGCGCTTCAAGTCCAGCTCTCAGGTCACAATACATAGAGAGAGTGAGGATCCAGGAATATACTGCAGCAGTTTCGCATGGTTCACCCGACATCTCCCGCAAGGAAAGACCATTAGCTTGTAATGCGAAAACTCGACCAGAAGAATCGAAAGTAGAGAAGTGGTCTTCACTCAATGGACCTTCTAATCAGAGAGATGCTCCAAGACAGCAACCTGATCAGATGCCGTGTATTCCAGATATGAAGTTATACAGCAAGGTGTGCTATTGATCATTGTGGTACATGTATATTGATGCATATATCATTTTAAACATTAGTGAAAACTGGTATACATATGACAAGCAGTATAATTGCAAATATTACTTTGAATGATGTTAGAATTTAACATTTTGAGTGCGTATAGTCATGTCGGAGAAAGAAAATCACGTGAATTTGAAGACTTGTATTTTATATATACGTTAATTAAGATCATGGAGATTATAAGGATTTCTGTAAGAATCTCAAATTGCATCATTAGTATTTGGTATACACTGTACTCCGTGCAGCTCCAAAACAACTAGATTTATTCACATGTATATGTATGTATATTGCACACGGAGAACAATCAAACCCCAAAGTACAATAACATCCCGATCTTGATTGTTTTGAAAAGAATGATAATGTACGTTATAAAAATAAATACAGGAACGGAAGGCGGTTGTTCCCTATATGACGTCATAGTTTTCAACACTCGACCTTTGCACGTTAGTGTTTATAATCCTGACTTGCTATTCAGTATCATGATCCCTCTCTCGTGCTTTCTCTTAGGTTCGTCTGGTAGATGAGAATGAGCTCATACCGTATACTGAAGTTCTGCCTAAGGAAATGTGGACAACGGACGATATCGCCTTGGTTGAATTGCCTCAAGAATTCTTCGATGGAATAGACTCGTGGTAAAAATCCAATATGCTCATGTTTATCCAATCTCTCCCTGCTGCATGATCATGAAGTGGAAACTACTCTCATTCAAATACCTACAGTACATGTCCATGACTATAGTTAGGTGTGTGTTTTGTATACCAATGGATTTTGTTTCAAACTAAGTCTATTTTTCACAAGTGCTAGCAATCCACTGCATGCTTTTGTGATTGCAATTAAACCATTGACATCTGAAACTCACTTTTGTTGATGCATGTGGTGAAATAATGAACCCAATGCAGTCAGTCATGTGACAAAACGTGTGCGTAAAGAAACCTATTCTGATCAATTCTGATATACGTGACATCGAAACCCTTTACAAATGTGTATACTTGATTCGAAGAGTGTTGAGAAGCTTACTGTAAAAGGACAAACTCTCGCCTGCAAAATCTGGTCAATTATGCGAGTGGTCCAAATTCACGAAAGTTTTATGCTGCGAAATAATTTTTTTCAATTCGCGAGAGTTTCTTGCCGCCAAATCCTCATCGGTAGGCGTGCCGATGTTTACGGTTTGGGTTTTACATAGTATTATGTACATGCATTGTTGAATTTGGCTAATTGATGACTCAAGTATCCTTACTTCTAATTTCAGCTTCGATTATTTTAACTTGATAATGTTAATTATTTATGATGTACCGTAATAATCGAGTTTCTCGCGAGTGGAGGACTGTACTCTTTAAATAGTCTTTTTTGTCGGTTCGTTAATAATGTCTTGCTGTAATAGCCTTCACTTTAGTGTACCCAAGCTGTTGAATGTGAGTTTCATTAGTTACATCATACACTGTAAATATGAATGTATGGGTGCACATGTCATGTGCCGTTTCCAACCCATTCTGTTGTGGTCTGGTCATTGATCAGGCCCTGTGACTGAACGGAGAAAGATATGTGTATTTTTTTTTTGAGGGGGAGGGGCGGACTCTTTAATTGCTGTGCATTATTCTGTGCCTTTGTAGTTGGTGAGCATTTAGGTTGTCCAGCGAATTATATATGTCGCCTAGCTGACAAACCATTCAAAATGACTTTAGATATCTCCTCTTGATTGTAATGCAGTTTCATTAACTCTTGTTAAATTTTGTTGGGGCATTGCTGTATATTGCTTAACAGAACTTTAAATAAAAATGTTTATCTTCGCTTCTGATATTACCTAGTACTTATGCCTTATAACAATCATAACAATACATTAAATAAATGTTTTGGTTTCATATACCTTGAAATTGCCTTTCTTAAACATTAAAATTTAGATTTATTTCAAATTTGCTACTTGTGGACGGGGTTAGTATTAAAGTAGAGTTGTAGTGGGGACATGGGCGTAGATTTGTTATTGATATCTATTGTTCAGGGATGGGAAATTATCTATTCATTCGTCAGTCCCCCTTAACAATAGGTATTAAGTAACGATCTAAGCCCATGGTGGGAGGGGGAGGTGAATGTCAAAGTGAAAAATACTCTGCAAGCAAGCAAGCTCGCACACACCGCACGTGCCAACGCCCACATTACTCTGATCCTGCCGATACACAGACACAAACAAGCGCTTCACATTATTTGTGTAATTAAAAAGGAGACTAAGAGAGAGAGAGAACGATGGAGTTTGATACAATGTAATAACAGAGGCAAGGGTGTCGATTTGTATCCGAGGTTGGGGGGGATGATAGGTGCCAAAATATTTTCGGCAATGGATCAAAGCAATCAAGAGGTAGAAGCGTGTGGCAAGTTGCACCCCCCCCCCCCCAAGCGCGTAGCCAGGATTTCATTCTAGGGGGCGGTAGTGAGCACGCGAAGCGCGGTCCCTAGGGGGTTGCGTGCAGGGAGGGGGAGTCCCCCCCCCCCCGCGAAGCGCGGAAGCTCTGATGTTTCATTAGATGATTAAAGAAAGAAGACGATCACCATTCTCGACTCTTAATCCTTGTTTGAATTAAGTTCCCCTTCCTCCGCGCGTAGCGCGGAAGCTCTGACGTTTCATTAGATTATTAAAGACAGAAGACGATTCGATGTACCATTCTCAACTCTTAATCCTTGCTTGAATCAAAGTTCCCCTTCCTCCGCGCATAGGGCGGAAGCTCTGACGTTACATCAGATTATTATAGAAAGAAGACGATTCGATGTACCATTTTCGACTCTTAATTTTTAATGTTTGAATCAAGTTCCCCTTCTGACGTTTCATTAGATTATTAAAGAAAGAAGACGATCCTATGTACCATTCTCGTTTCTGAATTCATTTTCGCCCATTCCTGCGCGAAGCGCGGAAGTTTTAAAATTAGAGAAAAAAGACGATTTGTTGTATCGTGTCCTTCATGAATTCAGTTTCTCCCCTACCGCGCGAAGCGCGGAAGCTTTGACGTTTCACTAAATTATAAGAGAAAGAAGACGATTCGTTGGACCATTCTCGACTCTTAATCCTTGTTTGAATCGAGTTCCCCTTCCTCCGCGCGTAGCGCGGAAGCTCTGACGTTTCATCAGATTATTAAAGAAAGAAGACGATTCGATGTACCATTCTCGACTCTTAATCCTTAATGTTTGAATCAAATTCCCCCTTCCCCCCCTCTGATGTTTCATTAGATGATTAAAGAAAGAAGACGATCCTATGTACCATTCTCGACTCTTAATCCGTGTCTGAATTCATTTTCGCCCATTCTTGCGCGAAGCGCGGAAGCTTTCACATCAGTGAAAGAAGACGATTTGCTGTATCGTGTCCTTCATGAACTCAGTTTCCCCCCTACCGCGCGAAGCGCGGAAGCTTTAACGTTTCAATAAATTATTACTCTTAATCCTTGTCTGTATTCATTTTCGCCCATTCCGCGCTTAGCGCGGAAGCTTTCACGTTTCATTAAATTATTCGTAAAAGAAGACGCTTCGTTGTATCGTGTACTTTGACGTTTCATTTGATTATTACGCTTAATCCACGTCTGAATTCAGTTTCCCCACTGAAAATAATTTGTGTGACAAATAAGTTGTGACATAATAATATTTCTCCAAAAATGAAAAATCTTTTAGGAAATATCAGGAAATAAAATGAGTGAAAAAAACAAAAATAAAGATACAATGACGTGAATTTTAAAAAGGGTGAACGGAAACAACATAACAACTAGAGAACTATTTTATAAGTCATACTAATATCCGAAAATCTTTCTCCTTGTCTCTGATCTCATCACGAAATCGTCACAGAGTTCATCTATGTTTACACTGTCCAGGATTGTCTGATGTGCATTGCAGATTGCTATTTTTGCGCTTCGCGCTTAACATTTAGCTCGTTGCTCTTTGACGCTGCGTCTTTGCATTTGGCGCACTGCATTTCTATGATGCTGTTGATTGAACAAATTGAATAAATTCATCAAGTCCTGATGAAACCGTAATAACTATGAGCGAGAATTCAATTTATTCTTGTCTCATATACGGTTGTCTTATTTACTTCGTATAAAAAGAGATAGCAAAATGTGCATATTGATGGTCATCTTGCGAGTAATAACCATTAACTACTCTCATCGGGCTCTCATCCTTAATTTTTCTCTTCATTTTTTTTTTTTTTTTTTTTTTTGATGGTGAATTATTGGGGGGATTGTACAGGCCATCCCCCCACCTGAAATATTGGGGGGGATATATCCCCCCATCCCCCCCCCCGGGATCGACACCCATGGGATTGATTTGGAGAGAAAGATAAGAGAATGGAGAGTTTGAGCGATATATAGCGTGACAGCTACGAACAAAAAACACCGCCCCCCCCCCCCCCAAAAAAAAAAAAAAAAAAAAAAAAAAAAAAAACGAGAGAGAACGAGAGAGAACGAGAGAAAAAGGAGCAGACAATGAAACATTTTAGAAAGTTCAGACAGGAATTAAGAGTCGAGAACGGTACAACGAATCGTCTTCTTTCTCTAATAATTTAATGAAACATCAAAGCTTTCGCGCGCTTTGTAAGTGATTTGCGTCCTTACTGCATGTTTGAAAATATAGATGCTTATTTGTTTAAATTAAATCAATATAGAGAATCAATTTTCAAATGAAATTTTCAAATCAAAAGCTTTTGCGCGAAAGGGAAGGGGAACTCCCCCTCCCCCAGGGAGCGCGCTTCGCCCGCTCTGTAAGGGATTCGCACGTTTTGCGTGCTCACTACCGCACCCCCTAAAATAAAATCCTAGCTACGCGGTTGCTAGGAAGGGAGAAAGAGGGGAGGGCATACTCAACGGTATCTGTGAATCGAATTTTATCATGCTTGTAAAAGATGAGGATCAAAGTGTGCACAAAGTATCCAGTACTATACATGTATGTATTGTTATGTAGGCATCAATAATCAAGTGTGAGTAAAATGTAGGGGGAGGGGTCGCACCCCGTGGCGCGATCCCCCTATCCTCGGGCGCCCTGCCAATATTTAAACACATGTTAATGATGTCAAGGATCAACTGCTCACTAGGGTTTCTCTTTGGCCTAATGTCAGTAAATTCAAGATTCGCCGCATAGGCCTATATGTTTTGCGGAATTTATTGATGGATCTCTTCTCTTTTTTCCTTTCATGTTCCCCTAACTAAACAACCGGAGTGTTGGCTCAGTCAGTAGAGCGTCCGCCTCACAACCGGTATGCAGACAATGAAACATTTTAGAAAGTTCAGACAGGAATTAAGAGTCGAGAACGGTACAACGAATCGTCTTCTTTCTCTAAAAAATAATTTAATGAAACATCAAAGCTTTCGCGCGCTTTGTAAGTGATTTGCGTCCTTACTGCATGTTTGAAAATATAGATGCTTATTTGTTTAAATTAAATCAATATAGAGAATCAATTTTCAAATGAAATTTTCGAATCAAAAGCTTTTGCGCGAAAGGGAAGGGGAACTCCCCCTCCCCCAGGAAGCGCTTCGCCCGCTCTGTAAGGGATTCGCACGTTTTGCGTGCTCACTACCGCACCCCCTAAAATAAAATCCTAGCTACGCGGTTGCTAGGAAGGGAGAAAGAGGGGAGGGCATACTCAACGGTATCTGTGAATCGAATTTTATCATGCTTGTAAAAGATGAGGATCAAAGTGTGCACAAAGTATCCAGTACTATACATGTATGTATTGTTATGTAGGCATCAATAATCAAGTGTGAGTAAAATGTAGGGGGAGGGGTCGCACCCCGTGGCGCGATCCCCCTATCCTCGGGCGCCCTGCCAATATTTAAACACATGTTAATGATGTCAAGGATCAACTGCTCACTAGGGTTTCTCTTTGGCCTAATGTCAGTAAATTCAAGATTCGCCGCATAGGCCTATATGTTTTGCGGAATTTATTGATGGATCTCTTCTCTTTTTTCCTTTCATGTTCCCCTAACTAAACAACCGGAGTGTTGGCTCAGTCAGTAGAGCGTCCGCCTCACAACCGGGAGGTCGTGGGTTCGAACCCCGGCCGCGTCATACCAAAAGACGTTAAAAGATTGGAGTTGTTGCTACCTTGTTTAGCGTTCAACAATGAGGGTTAGAGCAACGTCGATCTGGCGCTGCTCAGTGGCTGCCGGGCTCACGATCAATTGGGCAAAAAGAATTTCCGTTTCGGTTTAATAAAATTTGGAGTGGACTATTAGGCTATTATTATCATTATTATTATGACATAATTATGCTTATATTCCTTAATGAAATAATAAATGATTATAAATATATTCTTTTAAAAAGCATTATACTCATGAAGTCTTTAAGCACTTTATACATAATTTATGTAGTGTATAATGTTGATCATTTTTAGAAAACACATTTTCATAATCAAAAGAAATTATTACAAGGGATTAGGTCATATCAGCCCTTTTTATTCAAATTATTTACAGTAATGTATTGGTAAACTGGTAAATTATTTGGCCGATAAATAGAATACATATCGTTTTAAAAAAGGTGATATTATACCGACGTGCGAAATCGTGTTGTAGTTGAAAATGGATTTCTGAACATCTATAGTTTCATGAGTACTTTTGTAATATTTTAGTTTAGAGGTGTTCCATTTCTCCCGCGTCACAGTTCACACTGTTTACCCTTGTTATCAAAGAATTACTCAATTATAATTATCATGCTTTTTATCAATTTTCATTTCAACTTTACAAATAAAAAGCTATGCAAATCCTGCCAGCTGCCTGTGATAAAAGCGAAGTTTCGCTAATTTACTGGCTATTAATCATAATTAAGTAAACATGAATCAGGATGTTTATTT